GGGAATTGCTGGGGACGCTTCGTGGTTGCACAGTGGCAACGGGGGATTTCGCGGGCGCGAAGACTGCCTTGTTGAATTTATCTATGCGAATTGTTAGTCTCCAATATCCAACATCATTCATCCATCAAGCGACCACCATCGCGCCGACAGAATCTGAGCACATGCGGGCAGCGAGAGGTGGCAAAGCGACATGCCTTTGGGCGAGCCCTGCGTCATCCAACTGACGTCGACGCCATGGACCTGTTCCATGTTGGAGGGTGTACGCGACGCTCGCTCGCGGTTCAAGGGGTGGTGAGCGACAACGAATGATGCAGTGTTGTGGTGGAAATGAGCGAAAGGAGGGAGAAATGAGAGGCGGCGAAAAGGGCCTATAAGATGTGTTCAAGGTTTGGATTACTGTACAATATCAGCCTCGACTCGACGGAAGCCCCGTGGCTGCTCCAGCTGCGAGCGATCTAGGCTGGGGTAAGGCGAAAAAGATGGGGGGAGCGCGAAAAAAAGACGTCAACTAAGCCTGCTGGAGCAGTGCTATCACTTAGCAGCATCCACTGTAGCGAGAGACCTGGCAGGCCAATAGCGGGGTAGATCCAGTGCCAGACCCTCTGTGCAGCCGCTCGACAGTCCAGCCGGCCCTTCTAAGCTTGTGCTCTGCTTTGAGCCCGGGCGCGTCAATCTTGGAGCAGTACAGCGGAATGTATCCCCCTAACAAGTCCGCCGCAGCCGCCGCCACGCTGAGTGTTAGTGCTCCCGGCACGGCCAAGTACCGCAACCTGCCAGCGCGCGGGACGCTTCCCACTCGGCTAGGCCCCCGGTAACTTTTTAATCACGAGCCCCCTCCCCGTTGAGTGCTTTTTGTTTGTCTCACTGAGCACAGCACGGTGCAATTGGCCGAATAACTTGGCCATTCTGGATTATATTCGCCACAAGAGACAACCCCCCCTGGAGCCGTGGAGATCACTGGCATGCGATCAAGTAAGAAACAAAGGATGAGAGGCGATTTTGCTGCTGCCCGGATTTTTTACGTAGTCGACACCCGCGCGTGACGATTTGCGTGCCAGCCAAGTTTTGTGCGCGGAGCATAGCTGACTGCGCTCGCAAGCCACAAGACCTTATTTCGATCTCTGATTCCACCGCTACCAGCAATACGGCACGCGAAAATTTTATTCGAGCCTTTTTGTGGACTGAACTCTTTTAACGTGGCCCCAGTTTCTAAGCACTTGCCGTCTAGCTACCAGCCCGGCGCTGACAGGTCCCTGCGGCCTCGAAAAGTCTCTTTGTCCGCCCATCGGATTGGCGCTTTCTGCTAGTGCCATGGGACCGATCCCGGATGCGCAGCCGTGATGTGATGCTTCGCAGAAAGCATATACCAGGCACTCGCTACGGGTACACGTATCGCCATGCTGCAGCCGCCACGGATAGTTTGGAACTACTGCGTCAAGAGCTCAGCAAGGTGTAATCCGCAGGCGACAGTCCGTACAGTGTTCGTGTCACCGTACTGTAGAAGCTCTTGCTTGCTTCGTGCAATTTCATGGCTTGTCTACCGAGCTCCGAGAGTGCCGAAAAGCCCGCCGGGACCAAGCGCAATCTCATAACCCTTCAAGCTACTATAGGTACATACACGTATCGGTGTCTCCTGAGCTCAAAAAGGGAAAATAACAGCTCAATCAAGCTTGCCAGCTTTCGTCAATGGGTCGATATGAAGGGTCCTTTTTCGGCTACAAGAACCGGGATAATGGCTCAAAATCACGAGAGCCTCGCCGCTGGCGAAACTCCCAGCACGTGAGCCCTGGGCATCCGAGTCTAGCGCAAGGAACCGACTCAGCCAAATGAAGATCTTCTCTCACTTTCTTCCTTGTTGCCTTCAATACTCAGCTGTACGTCATTTTGGGTCAGGCGTAGCCACGGATCTGCCGCTGTGCAACCCCAAGTACCTGCTTACTTGCCAGGAACTCTATTGACTTATGACATAGGCCTGTTGCATGTCTTGATGTATGTAGAGAGCCATTCCCAGATATCGACTTTCAGTTTAGATGAGATTGTATTCCTGCTGGTGGCCTCATAGGTACGTATGTGTACAACATCTAGCTTGATGAAATCGCCGCCGTCGCAAAAAGTATCCTCGATGAATGCACAAGGGTAGTAATGACATTGATTCCGTCAACGACAATGACGCCGCGGACCTATTGGGTGATTTTACACGCAACCCGGAACACGCGCCGAATCTGGTACATACATGCACTCGTACGTTAAAATGTCTCCGATCCTGAGCTCGGGAATTCCCGATGCACGCCAGAAAAGGGGAGGGGCGACTGCTTAAACAGACCAGTGCCCAGATTTGGACTCGACGAGATCGATGCCGGAAATGTGCACCTTTGCCGCGGGTATTGCAGCTTTGGCAAGAGGTTCGAGATCGGTGGAAGCGGCATTTATTTGCTTGTTAGTCTCCATGGAGAATGGAACAAGTTTGATTTGCTTCTGGCTTTGGAACATGGATTCCACTCTTGGTAAGCGAATACGTGTATCATGCAGCTTGTGTAATTCCATGGAAATGACGCCGGTCTACGAATTACTCTACAGAGTTTACTCCTTATTCTCGTAGTATACTTGTTCAATTGCCAAGCATGATCTATCAGAAATAGAGTCCCTATTTCCGTCATTGACGAATAGTCTGCATGAGGACGTGTATATGTTCGCTCAAACGGGTATATAGTACTCTTGATAGAAAATTAGCGTAAAGCCAGAAACCCACAGAATAAAACGTGTAAAGTCAAAAGAATAGCATATTTTTTTCTCCTAGAGTGCTAGCTGTTTCGAAAAGAAGAAACTGGAGCTGCGATATTTTTTCGATGCTTTCTTTCGGTATTGTTCGGCAAAGGAATGGCCAAGAACAAGGAAAAAAAAACTTCAGGGTAGGGCAGCTGCGAAGTTGGCAGCAGTGGAGTGAAGCATGAGTCGAGAAATTAGTCAGATTCCATGGAACTTGGTAATTCACAAAGATGCATGGAGCAAACAAATCAAAGTGCTCTCCAACAATCGAGTTTAGTCAAAGAGACCAGCCCTGTATTAAACAAGATTGGGCAGCACAGAACCGGCATACTTCATTTTCAATTTATAACTGACGCTGGCTCGGAGAATGATTTAGGTGTATCCACCTGTCGCTTGATTGGGTATCACTTTGATTGACATATGATTTTTACTCGTACTGGATGCTAGAGAAATATGATGCACGAAGCAATGGATCGTAAGATCCGGAATCGAAGGTATCTTTTCATTTATTTTACCATGACCGACCCTTTCATTCCTGTAACTCCGGACCCAATATATCGAGAATCAAATTTGCAACCTGCCTATATGCCCCATTTTTACTCCTCAGCCAGGATCTTCTGGATCTTGGCCTGGACGTTGGCAGCCTTCTCCGCCTTGGAGATTCTGGCAACCTTGTGCTGCTTGGAGATGGCCTTCCACTCCTCCTTGGTCTTCTTCTCACCCTCGGGCTTCTTGAAGGGGTCCTCACGGATGGCCTTGTGGGCCTCGGTGTAGAGGTCCTCGAGACCGTCGGCCTCAATGTCGTTCTCAATGTACTTGACGAACTGGCCGTTGTAGCGCTCCTCATCGTCGTCGGCCAGAGTCTCCATGTACTCGGCAACGTGGCCACCGTAGATGTACTTGCGGAGGGTCTCGGCGTCCAGCTCCTTGGACTCGATGTCGTAGCCAGGGAATCGCTTCTCGGAGTGGGGGATGAGGATACCACCGTCGGAAGCACCCTTGAGGGCACCGAAGACACGGGCACCGGTGGAGGTACGGGCAAGACCAACGTCGAGGAAGGCCTTGAAGGGGCGGCGCTCGCCATCGTCGGTCTCGGCGGACTCGGTGAGGGTGAACTCACCGTCGGCCTCCTCAACACCGACAAAGGTCTTGTCGAGGCCGAGCTTGCTGAGGACACGGCGGGCGATCAGGAGACCGGTGGCGTAGGCGGCGGACCAGTTGGTCAGACCGTTGGTGATGCCGTAGGCCTTGAGCTCGTGGGCGTAGGCGGCGGCGAGGACCTTGTCACCAGAGATCTCAGAGCTGACGATCTGCATGATGATGTCCTTGTTGGTGAAGCGGACAACCAGGCGGTACTTGGGAGCATTGTACTTGTTCTTGGCCTGGGTGATGAGGCGCTTACGGGCATAGTAGTCGGTCTTGCCTTCGCGTCTTCTCTTGTACTTAGTCTGGAAGCGACTATATCGAAATTGTTAGCTGTATTCTCATCCGGCAGTTTTTTTGATACATCTTGAATAGATTGCATTCATTGCCATAAAAATAAAACTCACCTGTAGTACGCGTTGCTCTTGATGACCTTGCGGAAACCCTGTCAAGATAATCCCCGAGTCAGCAATTTGCGCTTCAGACTGCTCGTCCTTTATCCGAAGCAACTTGCGACGACTCTCAATTACGAGCAATTGATGGCATTTCTGCCATTTTGAAATTGTGGAAGAGATTCCATTCACTGGAATCTTCCCGATAGGCCTCAACTTACCATTTTGATGGTGATGCCTGGAGATGGCTGATGTGCTCCTCAAACTTGGAAATTTGATGATGAGGATAGAGGAGGAAATCTTGGTGGGCTTATTTTTGAAGCCCTAAAATTTCTCGTGCGCTACCGCCTCGCCTAGCGCCGCACAGTTGAAGCCGGGTTGGGGACGAATCGCCTGGCCAGGTCGGGGACGAATCACCTGACCTGCTCTGATGCTCTTGCTGGAATATTGGATTCTTACTAAGCGGCTAGAAGGGTCTTCTTATCTTATCGCTAGCTTGGCCTCGATACATGGGTACATGTGGAGCGCGGACCGAGGCACCGGCAAACTGTCTGGAATCTGGGGACGCTGCATCGTTGCCGCCATTTCGGCTTGAATGCGCTGTGAACCGTTTCTTCTTTGCACTGAGTGAACTTGTTTCTTGGCATGGACCCTGAAAGCTACTCTGTTGATCAAATACTGGAAGCAATTGACGCCGAAATGGAAAATCCGAAACCAAAGGTCCTTTTATTTGACATTGGCGGTGTTTGTGTAAGTCGCCCATCTAGGAAATTGGTTCTCGCGTCTGTAGCGCCACGCGTTGCTTTCAATGAAGAAACCAAAACTTATGCATTACTTTTTTTTGGATTTTGGGTGAAAAATCTAACATTGATACCAATAGGTCAACTCACCTTTCCAAGTCATTCTAGACTACGAGCTTGGCTTAGGAATTCCTCCCGGCTGGGTAAACTACTCCATATCAAAATCTGGCCCAACCGGATCCTGGCAGCGGATAGAGAGAGGGGATATTCCCCTGGATGACGCCTTCTTTGACGGATTCAACAAGGACCTGCATGTTCAGAGCTTATGGGAAGACTTCTACAGGACACAGCAAGCAAAGAACCCACGCCTAGCTAAGGAAACCCCTCCGCTACCCAAGATTGACGGTAAATGGCTATTCAACGAGATGATGTCTGGCTCAGGCCCAGATTCGTACGATCCTTGGATGTTTCCAGCGCTGGAAAAACTCAGATCCAGCGGCAAGTACATCCTAGCAGCGCTGAGCAACACGGTCATCTTCCCACCCGGCCACAAGCTGCACAAGGAGAATTTCTACGATGAGCCCGTCCGCCGGATATTCGACGTTTTCATCTCGTCAGCCCACGTTGGTGTCAGGAAGCCAGATCCAAAAATGTACCAGCTCGCCTTGGAAAGGCTTAATAGCTTTGTTAGGGAGAACGCAAGCGACCCGAAGCATCGAGGAAAGGGCTGGGAGACTGGCATTTCACCAAAGGACATTGTTTTCTTAGATGACATTGGCGAAAATCTGAAAGAAGCACGCAAGCAAGGGCTCAATACCATCAAAGTCCCTCTAGGCAGAACGTACGAAGCTGTTGAGGAGCTGGAGAAGATTACGGGGTTGTCACTTGAGGGGCCGCATCCAAAGATACCCATCGAGCCGAAATACCGCGAGCCGCGAGCCAAGATATGACGACGGTAATATGCTAATAACAGCGATGAGAATGAAGGGCGCATCTGGAGTACTTTACGCGCGGAAATGATTTGAATAGATGTATTAAGATAGAAATGTATTTGGTTGCATAGTAGTTACTGTGATTTCCATACGTACATACCGTGGGCGTTCTGTCATTCTCATAAATGCATCCAAGTATCCAAGATGCATGCAACCGCCAGCATACAAAACGCAGAAAAACATACACCCTCGTATCCAGAGCGATTCTCCATAAATAGTTTCTAGTATCATTGAACAACAGCCGCACTATTCCATCCTTGCTGCCTCTCTTTGTAAATTTATGAATCTAGACACCATATATTAGCTGAATTATATCATTTACCTGGGCGTACATGAGTTCGCACCTTTGTTGTCAATATCACCCTGGCGATACATCAAAGTGTCTCAAACCGATGAGTATCACTTGACGCCGTCCTTATCTGACGTCGTGTGTTCATCTGCCACTTCCACGGCTTTCCAGGTGCCATCAACATTTATTTGAATCTTCTTGACTTTGCTCATACGCTCCTCTAAAAGCCTGTCCCTTATGTGAACGAAATAGTCGTCTACTTGGAGGTTGCTAGGCCGAGCATCTTGGCCACATATAGGGCAGCCCCAAGTATCGACCATTGTTGGCTCGCCCGCCTCCGATGAAGGTTTGCATGGGCGTGAATTCAGCCAGTTTTCCAAGTCGATACACTCAAGATGCCGACAATTGCGGCCTCGAACCGGAACATCAAATAGTTTGGAACTAAAAGAGTCTGCAACTGAAACCGTCAACGTGTCGCTCTGTATAATGATTTCATCTATATCCAGCTGCAGTCGCCTCTTAATCTCGGCCTTTGTCTGATCGACGCTGATATGAGGCGCAGAAGTCACCAAAGCGCGGGTAGAGTCATGATCTAGAGTGACAATGAGCTCTACAGCCATAAAATAGGCAACATTTTCTTTAATATTCTGAGGGAAACTCGGCACATGCACTTTTATTGTATTCACCCCTTTAACCAAAGAATCGGTAAGCTCTATGGGCAGATCCTTATGAAAATGCTGCCTGAAAAGAGGAGAGATGATTTCGCCATTGAACGATATAGTAATGTGTGACGGCCAGTGGGTACGGCTTATAGCCCATTTTGCAGTGTCAAAAGCTGTTTCTCCATCATTGCTCAGCTTACCGCGTCCGCACATGCGGAGACGGTATCGTTGAGAATGGTTGAAGTGTCGGCTCACAGGCATATCCATCGGTAACTCACCCGCAGGCAACTCAGATGGCTGGCTGGTAATAGGGCGTCTACTCAGGTCTTGTTGGTCGATAAAGAACTCCAATTCACTGATTCCCATATGTATCTTCACCTCTGTTGGTTCCACCAGGAATCTGGAGAGGAATTGGTAGTAACGGTTCTTCCCTGGGCTTGGGCCGGGGCTGGAGGAAACCCTTCGAGGGCTACGCAAATGAGTCAAATGGAGGCCCGTTTGCATGGATGTCCAATTATGCGGACTAGTGGGATATTCCGTGGGAGGAGTTCGGTGAACCGTAAAGTGTCGGCGAAATGGATTGGGTGTAGGAGTACGAGACGCCTGGGGCGCTGAGTTTTGAAGGATGGGCTGCTGTTGCGACTGTATCTGCTGAGATTGGGATGCTGGCAATATTTGCACCGGAGACTGATGTATACCGAGAGCCTGGGAAGCCAGGACAGCCTGAGGTCTCTGAGCCGTCAAGTGGACAATGGCAGCCCGAGGTTCTTGAGGCGTCTGGGGGATCGTATTAGGTTGGGATCTCCGATCTACCTGAGGACCTGATGACATCTGAACGTCTCGAGAATCATTGGAGCTTTGAGGCGTCTGAAAAGCGGGAGAAGGAGCTTGCAGAGCTTGCGCTGGCTGCAGATTCTGCCGACATGGCTGCGGAGATGGAGGGGTCAAATCGTTGGGCTGCGATACTAGGGGGTGCATATTTTCCTGCTGTTGATTTCTTTCCATTTGGAATGGGGGAGTCTGCGGAGTTGTTTGCGATCGGAGTAAAGTCGGGTTTGCAGAACGCTGGAGATGCGGTGATGGATTTCGAGCATCATCCGGCTGCATTCGCCATGGCCCCGGCTGTTGCTGCGGCATCGCTGGCTGTGGCTCAGCACAAAGAGGCAGATCTGCCGGAGGAAGCAGAGTCTGATCCCCCTGAGCAGGCTGTGTCGGTGACTTTGGACCTAACGCTGGGTACTGCAAACCGGATGACGAAGGTTGGTTTGGGGAACTTGGTCCGGGCAAACTGGGCTGACCTGAAGCTGATTCAGGAGTAGATTGAAGCGCATAGATTTGCTGAGGGATTTGCTGTTGAGGAGAGACTTGCTGTTGAGGAGAGACTTGCTGTTGAGGAGGGATTTGCTGATGAGGAGAGACTTGCTGATGATGATGGACCTGCTGATGATGAAGGGCTTGCTGATGAGGAAGGGCTTGCTGATGATGAAGGGCTTGCTGATGATGAAGGGCTTGCTGATGATGAAGGGCTTGCTGATGATGAAGGGCTTGCTGATGATGAAGGGCTTGCTGATTATGAAGAGTTTGTTGATGAGGAAGAGCTTGCTGATGAGGAGTTTGCTGATGAGGAGCTTGCTGCTGGAGATGGGCTTGCTGATGGGCAAGGTGCTGAGGGACCTGTTGAAAGTTTTGCTGCGAAGTGACTGGAAAGTTTGTCTGAGAATTGGGCGCTTGAGTGTGTAGCGCTTGAGCTCGAGGATGCGTTTGAAGCGTAGGTTGAGCTTGGCCACGTGCTTGAACTTGGAACTGAGGTTGGGGTTGAGGCTGAGGCTGAGGCTGAGGCTGAGGCGGAGGCCGAAGCTGAGGTAGGAATGGGGAACCCTGTGATGGAACGAAAGAATGCTGCTGCTGCTGCTGCTGCTGCTGTGGGGGTGGTGGTGGTATGCCAGTAGTGCTATTTACGCTGTTGTGGTAGTAGTTGGTTGGAGGGTGTGCTGCAAATTCCTGGTTCAGGTGGTCAGCTGGCCGTGCGACTGTGGCCGGTCAGTCTTGCGAGCGTCTCTGCACAGCATCAAAAGGCAGTGACTCACCTTGCATGACAGCATGCATCTGCTGTTGAATACGTCCAATAGTCTGTTGGTAGCTCAGTACCATCGATTGGCGAGCCTTGGCCACGTCCGCAGCCGGCTCATTCAGCTCTGCATACAGGCGTTCTAGCTTCTGGTCCATGTTGAAAAGAAGGGTGGCCTCGTTTGTGAATTGGTTATCTGGCACTCCAATGATTCTGCGGCTGTGGACGAACAGCTTGTTGGCCAAGGTCAACGACGGGCATTTAAGCTGCTCGCGGATTTGGCATTCCATCAGAGGCATCATTCGGATCTGAGCGGCCTTGATCATCTCTGGCCACTTGACAGAAAACGCAAGGACAAAGTCTTGGATCTGGATCTGCACCTGAGGGGCACAGTAAGCGTTCCCGTCCAACTCGGGGAATCCTGAAAACCACTGCCGATGAGGAGGCGAAATCCGCTCTTCGTCTTTAAACATCACTCTCATCTGGGCAAAGGCCCTATCAATGTCGCGGGTAGAAAGGCGGAAATGGCCATGTACGGTCGAATTGTCTATCAACCAGCAACTGTAGTACCGATGAAGCATAAGAAAAAACAAGTCTGCATTCACACAGGCCCCGTATAGCGTGCTGTATCGCGCCTTCTCTTCAGGGGTCATGGGCTCGTTTCCCGAAGCTCGCTCCCTCACTACCCCGGCAGCATGGAGCATGACATGTTGTAAAGGTATCCGACATGCACTGGGCTGCTGCGGTTGGTGTGGTTGGTGTGGCTGTTGTGCCTGGATCTGCTGGGCGACATGGCCAGTTTGCCCACCCAAAGGCTGCCCCGGAAAGTCCTCAGGAGCGGCATGAATGGCTACCGCCGTTTCCTCGACAGTAGCAGTTGATCTGGCGTCTACTCTGCCTTGAGAGTGCTCGCTTGCGGATGTTGGACTTGTTTCGTTTGTAGGAGGCGGAGAAGGCAGTTCAGCTACTGCACTGAGGGCATCCGTGTTAGTATCGCTGAGCATAGATGGATGGATGTAACTTCTGAAGGGGCTCGAGAAACCCGAGGCACTTCAGAAGACTAAAGAGGGGCGAGATACTAGGAGCAAGTAGGAAGAAGCGGTTCGTGGAAGGAAATTGGAAGACCAACTATTGCTGAGGGCCGGCATATGGAGCGGCGGCAGTATATGAGGCCGGCCATGCATATGGGTTTATCACATGTATGTGCGAGTCTGGGGTCGGTGCGGGATCAAAGACCGGCGGGACATGCGGCCAGGGCGTATTTTGAGTGTTGTTTGCATCGTCTGTTGGCTGTGGATTCTGTGGATTCTGCGGGTTCTGGTCGTCACGCTTGCGCTTCTTTGTACGAGGCTGCCCACCGCTGCGAGGAATGCCTCTGGGCATCGTTGCTGGTCTGTTGGCGGGAAGGATCTGTTAGTGTACCGGGACTTGGACGGGTAGATGTGCATATGGAGCCGTGCTACTGACCAGGCAAACGTCAATGCTATTGATTGATCCTTGTAATGACTCGGGCAAATGCTTGGGTAGGTAGCTGGAAGTCGAGAATCTTGTAGTAGCAGTATCTCAATGCGGGAGGCTTGATGCTAAACGAAAGAGAAATGGATAGGTTGAAAAATAGGAAATGTGTGATGAGGAAGGAAGCGAGAGAGGATGCAAACAACAGAAGGAGAACGATACGCATGTGCGCCTATTTATATGTATACCAAGTACCTACCTGCCTGCCTTCCAATAAACCGTCTGGTAGGATATCCTACAGGTACCTACATGCATGTTTTACTCTGCCTTGTAGCCATCATCATTCACGGGCAGAGAGCTAGCAAGACTGGCAATGGAGCCTCGACGTAATGCAGTCCTGCGAGAGATGGCATCGCAGCCAATACCCGCGTGCTGACCGAGACAAGAGCTGAGAGTAGACGCAAGATTGCGGGGATGTCAGTCCATGTACTGCTTGTCACACTCATCTCGTTTCTTTTTCCCATGCAGCCAGCGTCGGTGAGGTAACACAAACATGCGGGACTATGCTCCCGAGGACCAGGTGCATGCATCCAGCGCCATGGCTCGTTGAGCGGTGAGAGCAGGCTTTGAACCAAGTTGCGAGCAATCATAGGTACAGCCTGCATGGAAGGATTCCCGGCTGCTGCTGTTTGTATGCATGAGTGTTTGGGCATGTATTAGTTCCAAAGCGTGACTCTCACAACCGTCTAGAGTACTCTGTATGCTATGCTATCCGCACGTGCGTATCAACAAGCTGGACTGTCTACGATATAAACTATCTGCCTATACATTTGGATAGATCGGGTTACCATGCTGCAATGAGAAACATCTATGCACCGGCGGCATCAAACGCAGCCTGGGAAGCTCCTCCTCGACACTGAGACCCCGGCCATGTACTGGGCAGCAGCACAGACGGTCATCTGCATGTCGTAACCGCTGGGTGCCTGCTGATAGTAGCTGTAGATGAGCCAATACAGGGCGAGAGAGAAAGGGAAGTAAAAAGAGACATTGGCAACCTACTAGGTAGTGCCTTTGAAAGGGAGAGCCCTGTCTGTCTTTTCTTATTCCATCCCCTTTGTCGCAGTATTATTAGGTCAATATTTGTTTGCTTGCTCTTGGAGCCGCTAGTGATCCTGCTGCAAAAAGCAAACATGAACAAGCAAATGTGAACACTCTGGTCGCCAGGGTGCGTGTACTGCGTGTGTCCATGTATGTACTGTATGTCGCTCCACCTGCGCCGCATGCGCTTCGGAAGCCTTCTCGAGAGTACATGTGCAGTCCTTGGCCAGTAGCCACGCAAAGGCGAAAAGCACACGGCGAGCTGGGTCCAAACAAGCAATCCAGCCTGGGCCAAAGCGGACTGGAGGGTCCATCGCCGCATCCATGCTAACCGTTGCACCTAATGGCCGCAGAAACGAGCGTTGAACGCAGCTGTAGTGGGCAGGGCCAGAGCCTTGCGAAATATGGGCGGCACCAAGACGGGGCCATTAATGGACTGCATGCAGCTACCGCCACTAGTACCTGTGCTTGCAAGCCACACACGCTGCCCCGTATGGAGCTCGAGTCGCAGTAGCTCTACGACTCTGGCCAGCCCCCTGCAACAGCTCTGACGTGACGCCTGATGGTTGGACTCGGGGCATGCAGGGAGGCTGTCGATGGAAAGGAATTGCTTGCGAGGCACATGAAAGCAAAAGAAGGCCGGTGCGGCGAAGAGCAGAGGAGAGAATCTCAAAAAAGTGTGCTGTGCAGCAGGTGCTTGCCTCTGTACAGATTCACGGATGGGTACCTGGGTAGAAATGCAGGCAATCGGTGCCCTGATATAGTGATGTTGGCCATCTGAATTTTTTTAAATACTGCGTTGAACATACGAAATACGGCATTACTCGCATTAGTCCCTCCATCAGCCTGTTTCCCGCCTCCTCTTGAGCTTCCATTGTATCAGGTCGCAAGTAGGGAGTATGCAGTACCTCCAAGCGAGCGGCACGTTCTGGGCCTCGTGCTCGTGTTAGGCACCCAGTGGAGCCCAACAGTGCCAATGTCTCCCCGGGTCCATTCCTGCAGCGCTGCACTCGCTCAGCTGTTTAGGGCACTTTGCACTTCACATTCCAGGTACGAGGTACCAGCTAGCCGCCGACACTGACAAGGCGCTGGGCTGCCGGCTAGATCTCGCTCGCCCCTGCCATTGGCTGCCGCCCTCCCGCCTGCCAGCAGCCCGCCCAATCGCACCGCGGCACGCTAAAGGGCTCTTTCAACCATCCCGACTTCCACATCGCACAAGCCGTCCAATCATCCCCTGGTCCGACGAGCGCTTCATTCGACCGCACAGCCCTCTTGGCTTCTGCTTAGTCCTGGTTGCTCTGCTGGACTCGGCGCAGCGCCTCTCAGCACCGCACAGCATCGCATCGCATCGTATTGCAGCGCAGCGCAGCCACCGCGGGCCACCGGCGAGCCACGACCTTCCTCTGTGGCGCCCACGTCTCACCAGCTCCCAGCTCCCAGCTCCCAACTCCCCTGTCCCCAATCCCGAAGCCTTCGCCAGGCTCAAAGGGGCGTCGACAGCTGCAACGCCTCCACGCGGCCGCGCTGCCAGACCGTACGAGACGCCATCTGAGACGACAAGCAAAGCGCGGCGCAGCACCCGGCCAGAGACCGCAAACGCTCTGCTGCTGGCGCCGTCTCCTCTCTCTCGGTCCAACGCAGACTCGAAGCAGGGCCGTCGACAAACAATCTGATGGCCGCTATCGCCCATCGCCATTCATGAAGCAGCATCTTCACCACTAGCCCATCTTCGAGCAAATAGCATCCGCATCCGCACGCGGCATCGAGATCCGTCCCGCCCGCCCTCCCGCATCAACCATTCCGCATCTCGGAACCACTTTCGAGTTTTCACCTTTGCGGGCTACATTGTTCTTTGTTTGCTGCTGGTCTACGCCGCATCAGCCCCCGCCATCGAAACAATGGCTTCTCGAGCACCGGCCGACGGGTCACTCCGACCCGATGTGGGCGATGTTCTAATGGTGATTCGTACGTCTTCACTCCTCTTCCCAGCTTCTTTCAAAGGCCATTGCGCCAAGATTCTGACCATTCCCGCTCCGCTATGCAGACGACTTTCACGCCCGCAGCTCAGACGAACTGAGCCTCAAGAAGGGGGATCGAGTCGAGTTACTAGAACGAGACGATGAATTTGGCGACGGCTGGTTCCTCGGCCGCCACTTCGCCAACAGCAACACTGGTCTTTTTCCCGAAGGTTAGTAATTCTCCTTTTTGTCGAATCTCTCAACTGTTACGAGCTTCAACTGACTCTATCTCGGTAGTTTATACCCGACCAACCCCAAGAGCCGTTTCGAACCCAACATCAACTCCTGCTTTCATTGCTTCGCAGCCACTTTCTCCATTGGTGGAAGTCACACAAGAAACCGCTCTCCAGGGCATTGCGAATGCTCCTGCATCGGCCAGCACGTCTACTGTACCTTTAGCGTCGACCGAAACACCCTCTATCCTGTCGACCCCTTTGCCCAAAGCTGAATCAGCCCCTGCGTCTGGCTTGGGTGGCATAGGCTCCCCAGTATCCGCGCCGGGCAGAGGAGCCGCACTTTCGGGGCAAGATGAAGTTCTCAGCGAAACTCTCAACGTCATCGACGAGCACATCACTCGCTTGCAGTCGCCGCCTGGCACCGGTACTATCAATGCTGCTGCTACAGACTCTGGAAGCGAGTATAGTGTTGCTATTGACCACCGAATGTCGTATATCCAGGGTGAAGAGACGGACGAAGAAGAGGAAGCTGTACATAGTCGTGCCGAAGTTGTGGCTTGGTCACCGGATGACGTGGCCGAGTACCTCTTCACTGAGGGTGTTGAGAAGCACCACTGCGAAGTTTTCAGGGACCAAGAAATTTCTGGAGAAGTGCTACTGGGCATGGATCAGAGCTCCCTGTTCATCAAGGATTTTGATTTAGGCTCCGTGGGCCGGCGCCTCAAGACATGGCAGAAGATTAAGAATCTCCAGGATGAGGTTAGCGGCGAGGAACCAGATGCAAGGCGAGCCACACATACCCGCGGTAGCGATGGCGGATCCGAGGACGCGACGAAACGAACGAGAAGTCGAACCAGCACCCTGACAGGGAACTCTGCATCACGACCCACCTCTGTCCAGGCTAGACGCCTGTCCCTGGCTCAGTCATCTAACAAGGCTTCTCCAACTGCTCATATAACCCCAACAAACGGCACTCAGGAGAGCCCATCACGCACGCACTTCAAACGGCCGTCGGCGGCATCCATCCGAGACCTGAACCAGTCACGACGACATTCGGCATCGACAAACGCGAACCTATCTGCTGGTGATGGCGTGCATAAGAAACAACCTTCCTTTGATCGAAACTGGACCCTTGGCGGCGCTGTCTCGCAGACCTCTCAAAGGCCGCTTTCCTCAACGGGACTGCAAGAAATGCTGGGCACATCTGAGCCGGATCTCCAGGACTCAGCCGTTGAGCTAGACCGAGGCTACTTTTCTGGCACTGAGGTATTTGGAAAGAAGCGCAATGTTTTGCGGAAACGTGGCAGCGCTAACCATGGGCGACAACAGAGTTACGCAGACGAGCAGAGGGTGCGCAGCGCCACGGCGCTCTCCCGGCACTCAAGATACGGTAGCGTCGATTCTTTCCGGGATGGGGCGCCAAACGCTGCTCAGAAATACTACGGCATCTCGCCAACTCCCCACAAACGAACTGCTTCAGCAAACACGACGGATTCTGCTCGGCCGCCACCTCCAGCTAAAGACAGCCCAGCTCCCGCCGTCACCAAGCTGGATACCGCCATGGGTTCAGCTCAAGCAGAAGCATCGCCAGTCTCCGGCAGGCCCCAAGGCCTCAGCACCGATTGGCTCACATCAATGGCCAAACCAGTCGGCAAAGCTGCTCGACCGGCTATGCGAGCCATCTCAGATAAGCTCACTTTTGATAGATCCAAGGGATCAACTGATCTATCAGCCAACGATCCGTCTTCCATGCCTTCTCCCGTAAGAACAGGGTCTAGTACCCCCTCAGCTGGACAAAGCCTTGATCTCGACTCTCATGATGCGCTCAAAAGCCCCGTCACAGCGACGGCCCCTTCCAGCAAGACCAGGGGAAAGAAGGGCAAAAAGGACACAAGTGCTTATACACAAGGCTTGTTAAAGATACCCCCCCAGGTCGCCATGAAGGATGCAGATTACTACGGCTGGATGAAAAAGAAGAGCTCAAACCTAATGACCACATGGAAGCCCCGATTCTTTGTTCTCAAGGGACGACGGCTGGCATATTACTACTCTGAAGACGACGACCAAGAAAAGGGCCTCATCGACATCTCATTCCACCGCGTTCTTCCTGCCGACAACGAAAGATTGACTGGATTGCACGCTACTCTGACCGGTGCAGCCGGTGGGGGGAGCATGCCAGGTAGCCACAGCATACCGCCTGCAAGCGACGATGGAGCCATGGAGAAGGGCGACGACAGCATGTTCATCTTCAAGCTGGTGCCACCTCGAGCGGGCCTATCCAAGGGCGTCAGCTTTACAAAGCCGACAGTCCACTACTTTGCGGTGCCTAATCTAAAGCAAGGCCGTTTGTGGATGGCTGCCTTGATGAAGTCGACAATTGAACGAGATGACACACAAGCAGTCACGACAACGTACCAACAAAAGACAATATCCCTGGCCAAAGCGAAGCAAATGCGCCACCGTCCTCCTGCGCTCATGAATGCCGAGGAATCTGCCGCAGCCAGAGCAGCCGAGGAGGCAAATGGCGGCATGGCGGGCATGGCAGCCCTTCAGATCGACGGTGCTCGATTAAATGTTAATTTTGGTGACAAGGATAGTTCGCCGTTGAGCGCATAGAGCGCGCTGCGATGGAGGAAGACTTGTTGAATGGCGGGAATGAATCACATGTGTCACGAGAGGCTATGCTGAGAGAAGTAATTTGACATATAAGAAGAATTGGCCTCATGGCCAAATGAGAAAGACTTTGAGAGACTCAATCGATGATGAAGACTATGCAGCACGAAACCCTTGCTTTTCCCTTTCCCTTATATAATAGCATGTCTTTGTCTCTTCTTTGTCCACCTTTGGCCCGCATGGACCATTTGTTGGAAGGACGACTAGGCTATGTGTTTGCTAGCTACGGCTTGCTTTTTCTTTTTCCCTTTTCTCTCTTTCTTTTTTTTTTCCTTGCGCCAATTAATCACCAAGGGGAAGCGTGTCATATTTTCTTCGATTGCTTTTCCTTTTTTTCTACAGGCTCTTCAAAGTGGCTATTTGTTTCGGCGTTGTCATGGATCAAACATAATCTAATGGGCTGTTTCTTAAAAAAGAAAAGCAAGAAAAGAAAGAAGATGCCAAAAAAATTGACATTGATGATTTTTTTTGCGGAATTAGGAGGCTAGATAAAGTGCCAACACATATATATCTATATATTATCTTTTTCCTAATTCAAATTTCTCATCTACGTTTTTTCCTTTCTTTTCCTATTCTCTCGTTTCTTTTCTCCTTGGTTCTGTTTTAAAGAAAAGAAGTGAGATTGACATGGGCTGTATATAGAGGAAAGGGGGGGAGAAGGAGTACTTTGAGAGGAAGCGTTTTCTCTTCAATTTATTTATAGATGAGATGCCATGTTGATGAGGTGTAGATGGGAACTTGCTCAACAACAGAAAGAGAAGGACCTTTGATAATAGATAGAAATCACCTTCACACAGCGGGGAGATGGAAATGTCTTTACAAACTATCAAATATTATATTCGTTCCCTGAATGGCAGAGATGGGAAACAGAGACGCTATCATAAAGCAACAAAAAACTTGTGTTCCCCTGTCCGTCTTTTTTATCTAGTGGTCAGCAACGCCTCCAACAGTTCCTTTTTGCGTCCTAGTCCCACTACTATCCATACGACAGACAGTGCAGTCATTGTAAAAATTGTCAAGTCATGTTCATTCGTCAAAATAACATATAGGTCCTCTAGTATTATTATAATCATCACTGTTCACTCCTCCCAGATTTCCCAATGCTCTTATGAGTCGCCTTGTAGCTTCTGATTCATGCCCTGTAGAAGCTGGCGGATTGACTTCATAAGGTGCTGCTCTACACCCTCAAAGTTGCTGGCTGGCTCGCCCTCTGCAGCCTTGGGCATTATACTTGCATCTGCAAGGCCAATAACACGATCAATAGCCGATAGAGTTACAGCTTCAGCCTTGGCTGCGCCCAGGCCCGCCTTGATCGCATTGACAGAGGCGTCCTTGAGGCCATTCAAAGCCGCTAGCACCTTGGGCTCGAAAACAGGTGGTGTGTCTGTTGGTAGCGGAGTAGAGCCGCTAGGGGTAGGGCTTTTGCCTTTGGTGAAGCCATCAATGACTTGACGAATACCCTTGATGCAGATTGTTTCCATCTTATCATTTTCAGTGGCTTCCTTCTTGAGCCCGATGCACCGGTTCAGAGCTGACATGACGATAGCCTCGGCTTTGGGGTTGCCAGCCTTCTTGAGATTTTCTACCAGGCCATTCTTGAGGCCCACAACCGCAGTGAGAAGTCGAGGTTCGATAATGGGCCTAGCAGGCGTTGCTGACGGCCGAGCTGTGGTTGGGTGGCCGGTTCCAGCTTGGGTGGCCGCCTGATGCGATGTCGACGCAATGACTGGCTTCGACTCTGCGGAGGCGGCCGAAATAGGTCGCTGGCCAGGCACAGCAGCAGATGGTACACTGGCACCGGCATCCTCGGCCTTTACAGGTGGGGTTGTCAAGGGAGGCGGCCGTGAGGCATAAGGCGAGCTGTAGGCTCCTGGCTGAGCCACGCCAAGCTGAGGGCGAGCTGGGGCTGCAGGAGGGCCGTATCCTGACAGCTGAATAGGGGCCGGAGGTGGCGCACCTACGATTTGTTGGACCGGTTGGACCGGTTGCACTGGTACCGGCTGTGCAGGCTGGACAGGTTGGTGTATAGGAGGTGATTGAGAGGCACCGTACTGCACAGGGCGCGCCGCATGAGCCGGTTGTCCAGCATATGCAGGCGCTTGGTATCCAGGAGCAGGTGTCTGGCTAGGAGGGTAACCATGATGCGCGCCGGGAGCCATATGCTGTGCAGCATATGGGTAAGAGTAGTGCCCATATGCCTGTGCAGCCACCAATCCTCGGTCAGGAGAGGCTGCCTTTCGCTTCTTGCCAGCATCCAACTCCACGCCAGGCACTCGGGACCACAGATTTGTCGTCTCATCTTTCTTAAACGCTTCGTTCCCAATCAGATTATGGCGAACGCTACTTTCCCATCCCTTGGTCTCGGTGTGGAAATAGAACCACGGGTATCTTTGGCAAATCCTCTTGTAAATTTGCTTCAATGTGAGACCGTCAGGACCTGCTGCCGTCAATGTTTCGTCAATAAGAACTCCGTAGTTCTTGTTTGGCTTCTGAAGTTGCTCTTCTGTATAATCCTCAATCTTGAGCTCCAGAGGAGGTGACTTGGGCCGTGACTTCTTCTCCTTCTTCTCTCTCGCTCGTCGCTCCGCATCAGAGCCTTCGACACCATCTTCATTCTTGGGTTTCCGCGGCTTATACTTGCGCTTCTCTGGGCGGTCAGTTCCGTCTTCGGGTAGTGGGTGTTTCCTAGGCCGGCCGACCTTGCGCTTGAGGGGCGGTTCAACTGGTGGCGCTTGAGGTAATGTCTTCTTGGCCATCTCTTGCTGCTGCTTCTTAAGCAAGCGTTGTTCCCTCTTTGACATGATACCGTTCTTGGGAGGCCTACCAGGGCCTCGCTTTCTAGCCATCTGTGGCATTGAAGGGTCATTGTGAGCGTCTCCTTCATCTTTGATTTCAGAATCTCCTTCGATGGATGCTTCGAGCGCATCCAAATCTCCATCTTCTCCGTCTTCTCCGTCTCCGTCTGCGTCTCCGTCTGCGTCTGCATCTGCGTCTCCTTCGCCCTCGCCCTCTCCTTCTCCTTCTTCTTCAGCTACCTCCTCTTCATCCCCTTCTTCCTCATCATCTTCGCCAAAATCGGACAGTTCGACCGGGCTGACTTCCACATCTGATAGCTCATCGCTTGTATCTTGGATCTGGCCATTACCGTGAGACTGTTCAAAGTCGAAGCTCATGCTCTTTCCACCATGGGAATGCCGTTTCTTAGCAGCGTCTTCTTCTTGATACTCTTCTGCGCCCGTTCGCCCCTTTTCGACTCCATTAATAATAAATCTGAAGTCAATGTCCTTGATCTGTAATCGGTCGCCACACCTCAGCACAACCTTTTCGCTCTTGTAATGCACATCTTCGCAGAAAAAGCCATTCTTGTGCAAAGGAATGGCCTCGAATACACCCTCGGCTTGATTATACGCAATCTTGAGATGTTCCCGGGAAATGGCCTTGGTCTTGCTTGCGATATTCGGACCAGGGGAGTGAATACCAATGAAGGGAACGTGCCAAGGAGATGGCCTCAACGAGGTTAGGTCGACAGCAGCTGCCCCAGGGGTATGAGAGACGTATTGGCGATTTGATATAACGTTATCTTGGGAATTTTCAACTTCTTCATGGGACGATCCTGTAGTACTGGTCTTGCGCCGTTTTGTCGGACGTCCGTTTTCTTCGCTATCTGATTCGGGACCCAGCATGCCGCCCTCCTCGCTGACATATGATTTACTAAACTTGTGGCGGTCCTGGACAATGGGAGATGGCGGCGGAAGCCCTTTGCTGGCATTCTCCTCAGTTCGCCGTTTATAATCATCAGCACGTTTTTCGTCACGCCTGGCTTGTTCCAGAGCTCGCTGATCTCGACCAATAATGACGGCGTAGGTGGTCATCTGGAAGACACTGTCGGCAAACTCAACACGAGCAAACGACTCGAGGCCCATGTCTGTGCCAGGCCCGGGCTGTCGCAGGTTGTTGTTATTGGCCGAACCCATGCCAAAATACCCGTCTCCCATTATGTTAGGTAGAGTCACTTGTGATGGGGTTACAGTTGGTGGTGGTGACATGGCGGGCGGTGCCGCAGACATGGAAGCCAGAGCCATCATCATGTACGCATGTCGATGGTCTATGGGGGCCTGTGGTGCGTAGGGCGTTGAGGGTTGGAACTGCTCGGTTGAAGACATCTGAGGGGCCGGCATGGCAGATGCATGTGATAGGGTCTCGGCCACAGCAGCAGCAGTCGTCGCATTGACATCAGGAGCATCCATCATCGTAACATCCTCCGTCTTGATATCTCCAGATGCAGGCTTGTCTCTTGATTCGCCAGATTCGCCAGAGGCGTTTGCTGTTGATGAAGCGGGCAGATGTTGGGTTGTGTTGTCGGTCTCGGCACTTGCGTCAGGTTTGGAAGGTGGCTGTGAAGTTGAAAACTGGGTGGTGGTGGGATTTGCGGAAGATGAGCCTGCCGAAGCCTCCGTAGCGGCTGGAGGAGCAGAGGTGGTCGCGGCCGTTTGCTGTTGCGCCGGAGCGGAATTTGATGAAGGCGATGATGTTGTTGGAGGAGGAGCAGCCTCGGCAGCAACAGCCGCAACTGGAACGGGGACGTCACCGCCCTTGGAGTTGGGCTGCGCATCGGACAATGTTTTCTGTTCCACCACCGTCGCAGGTACTTCTACCTGTAAAGTCCCAGGCTCTTGCGCCGGCTCTTGCGCGGCTTCGGTCTCCATCGAGACGGCGGCAGCTTCTGGCCTGTCGGGCGGCGCTGCTTCCTGCTGCGCCGCGGCTGTCACTGCCAGAGGGGCCATGGCAGCTGCAGGGGCTGTGGCGACCGCAGCCGGGGCGTTTGCTTGAGCTTCGACTTCGGGATGGGCATCGTGGTTCTGGTGGTTGTGGTGGTTGTGGTGGTTGTGGTCGCGGAGGCCGTCGTGCCCGGCGCTGGACGAAGTCATCGCTGCTCGCTCGCTCGCTCGTGCAGCGTCCAGCTCGTTCGCCGCGGAATCGCTTCGTGGTGAATCTCCCTTCCACGGCTGCCGTCTGACCGTGTTTGCTTTTGTTTGGCGCTGGTCGAGCAGCAGCAGCAGCAGCAGCAGCCTCGGGCGAAACGAGAAATTGCGATCCCGATTCCCTTTGCAGCCTCTTCGCTCTTGCCTTGAACTTTCTGGCGCGATTGCCGGAGGGTCACAGGCGCGATCCGGCGCTGTGATTGGCCAGCCTGGCGGCAGTTTGGAGCCTCCTCACCTGGTCCGGGTCGCTCTAGCCGCTAGCAGCAATCGGCGGAAAAAAAAAAGATGCTGGAGCCCAGCAGGCCTTGGGCATCTGCAGGAAAGAGGCGTTTGCTGGCTCTCCCCCGCGTTCGCCTCTTGCCGGCGTTGCTCTTGCCGCCTTTTGTTTTGTTTGCGTTTGTTTTGTTTGTTTTGGCTTCCGTTTGGGCAGTGATTGATGGCTCATGCAGGTTGACGATGGGGGATTGCTTTGTACTGTCATTGATGCTTTGATTGGCGTTCAATGTCAAAGCTGGCGACTGATGAGCGGTTTTTTTTTAATCGTGCCGTTGCTTTGCGTAGCATTCTGCATGCCGCCTCATGAGTACCTTTCGCGAGTACCCTGTGATGGAATTCGACTTTTGCCAAAAGCGACCAGCTTTTCTCTTCTTGTCTTTAGTAGCTGTTCAGCACCGATAATAAGTAATGCTGGATTTCCCCCAGTCTCTCATGCATATCGCACTGGCAGTCACAATCGATCTCATGCGTGTGCGTCGAGTGCAAATCCGCGTTATGCACATCATACGACCAATGCCGGCGGATTGAAGCGTTAGGATGGCTCCATGGCGTCCAAATGATCGCTCGGCTTGGCTTAAATAAGGCCAAAGTACTTGCAGCTCAAGTACATGGCTAAGCCTCTTTCGCCGATCACTCCGCCTTGGTTCTGCTGCCTGTACCTGCCTTAGCCGTACCTCTCGCCTTGGAGATTGAAAGTCTCAATTCGCCTCGATTACAACAGATTGACTACTATTGCTACCGCTTTGTCTTTTCCAACCGAATCCACTTTCCGTCGTCCCTCTCACGACACTCTAATATACCCTCTGTTGAACAGCTCAAAGCCATGCCTCAAAGCCATGTCTCACTCGATTGCCGCTAGTGTTCCCATAGCCTGCGCGCGGCTACCGACTGTAACAACAGCGGGAAGACCACAACCACTCAAGAGTTCGTATCACGACATTGTTCAAAGAATGCTGTTCACTTCTGAACGGCGGGCGGCGCAGAGACAGGGGGCCGGGAATGTTGCAAGTGTGTTTAATTGACTACCAATAGCACAATGGACTGTCTCAGAACAACAAGCAAAGGATTGAGGCTGCGCTTCGTTTGTATTCGAGGGTAGGCAAATCATAAATGTCAAGGCTAACCGCTTCGATGCCTACCATCCTCTCTTTTCTCTCCCTCTCCATTTTTTTTTTTCTCTGGCGCGGTATCAGCCGTTTCTTTTCAGAATTTTTATATACACATTTTTAATCTAGATACGCGAGACGCCAAGATGCCAAGGTTTGAAATCGAGGTACACCTCCAGCGCTCCAACCCCCGGAGCCCCAGCTCTCAGAACTCTTACTCTCAGAGCTCTTACTCTCAGAGCTCCAATCCTCAGAGCTCCGACTCTCAGAGCCTCGACTCTCAGAGCCCCGACTCTCAAAAGGCCGGCTCTGAACACTCGCGCTATGTCCAAATGCTCCTCCATCAAGATGAAATTCCCCTGCTACACAACATTCTCGCCGCTGTACTCGTCTGGCTTCTGCTGGCGGGCTTCCTCGTCTTCCCCGGAACGTTTACCAGCCTGCAAAAGTCCGTCGAAGGCCATGACTCCAACACACTAGGCGACCAAGCTGCCAAGCTCATCGTAAGGAGCATCAAAAACATCCCACTGCTGTACATGGCCGCGATAATGTGCGGCATATCCGTTTTTGGCATGCTGTATCTCGCCTTCAGACACGCTAGAAACTACGTCTGGCTCGTGAACAAGCTGTTTAAGCCGGGAATGACCAACTCTCTGGCCGGCTTGGTGTCGACTCTCATCGGCGTGTACTCTCAGCAACACGGCACATGGAGCATCACCGCCAAAATCACCGCCATGGTTGAGGGAGCCTCGCTTTTCGTATGTCTGAGCCTTGTTCTCTTATACCGGCTGGCGTTCTTGAAACAAATCAAAGCCAGGCATGGAGAGCATTATGGTGGTTGCCCTGGCCAGCAGCGGTACTCAAAGCAACTGTTCCCTCAGAGAGCATAGTGAAACCTGAAACGAAACTGAGAGCTGGATGTAATGATACCACAAGCTTACTTCGCTGGCGAAGACGTAAGACTGAATGAGATTTGCCTTTTTTTTTTTTTTTTTTTTTCCCCATCCTTTTTTTTAGGCTGGATTGGGACAGGATAGACACTATGTATTAATCGCTTCGTACATTAATTAAAACAATTTGTTTGCTGCACTCCCTCAATACCTACACAATTCTCATCGTAGTAAAGGCGCTCGTTCGCTCGAGATGATGGAGTGACTGTTCTTCCAGCCCATGAATCGTTCCGAGAGCCTATACGAGAAATGGCAAAGCATGCCAGCCAGGAAGCCAACTGCGTCATTCTTAAAGGCCAAGATACCAGCCGTCGTCACCAGCATAATGGTCCATCGTTCCAGACGTTCCTCATCCGATAGCTGTCGATGTAATCTCGGGCTGACAAGGCCGCCCTGCCGAGCAGATTCGTGCCACAAATCAGGGGCGCCTTGGTTCAGCGTGTGCCCAACCTTGGCCAGCTCCAAGCCGGCCGCCACGACCATGACGCCGAGAAGGCCATGTGGGATCTCCGTTAGTAGATTGACGAGCGTCTGGCCGAATAATAGTCCCAAGGCGACTTTGAAAAGACCCAAGATGATTACGCTGGCGCCGCTGCGCGCTCCGAAGCGATATTGAGCTGCCAGGCCTCCGGCGCCGTGGCACACGGGCATGGCTCCAAACCAGGTTCCCGAGAGGTTCATGAGCGCCACGCTGAAACCTATAGACGTGACGGACGGAGAGGGTATATCCGGCAGCAAGTCGCTGGCCAGCGCACTCACCGCGATGATGGAATTCAGCGTCGTCAGGGGAAGCTGCCCAACCGCCATCCACAGAGCCGGGGCGTCCCCCGCGCCAATCCACGACGGAAGCACAAAGCGCGGCCGCCACACCTGGAACCAAGGCAAGCTGCTCTGGTCGTCGGAAGCCAGCACCTGGACGAGGGCCAGCACGAGGGCCAGCAGGAAGAAGCCCAGCGCATAGGGGAACCGCGGCTTGTCCTGCGTGAAGATGAGGACGAGAAAGGCCGCCATGGCCCAGAGGCGGTTGTCCAGCGCGGGATGCAGCCAGTGAAGCGGCTGCAGGAGGGACGAGCCCGCGCCGATGATGAGGGAGAGGCCTGCGCCGAGCTGGATGCCTTTGACGACGGGGATGGGCACAAAGGCCACGGCGGCGCGGAGGAGGCCCGTGATGCTCATGAGAAAGACTGCTGCGCCAACCCATTGGCCCGCGGCGACGACGACGCCCATGGAGGGGTCTTCGCGCGCGGAGATGGCGGCGGCGGCGATGGCCTAGGTTTGCCGCATGTTAGCAATGAGGCTTTTCAACAGACAAAGGACTGAAGGACGCTTCTTCATCCCAACGAGGTAATAAAGAAGCAAGCAGCAAAGGGATATGCCGAGGTCTGTCTCTAGCTCCAGGGGCAAACAAGATACAAAAAAACAAAGAAACGGCTATATGCTCCACACATGTATACATATACAAAGGGAAGCGGCATCATGATGCCAACATACCTTCATGGGCTGCACCGGCAAGGGTATGCCAAAGACAAGGCCGGTGAGCACATTGAAGACGCCGGAAAAGACAAGCGTCGAGCCCAGGTCGATGTACCCCTTGGCGGCGAGAGCGATCATCAGGGGAAGCAGCGTGCCCAGGTCGCCCAGAGAGCCGGATATCTCGGCCAGGGGCGCATCTCGAAAGGTGCTGAGGTTGTGGGCGTTGCGGCGCCGCAGTCGGGCCAGCCAGGCGGTTGCCATGTTTATTTGCCTCTTATTGTTTTTTGCTTTACGACTCGTATGATGGGTAGGTTAGGTGGTCGATAGAGCGTAAGATAATACGTAGGTAGATAAGGGTGATGATGAAATATGTATGAGGTGTTATAGAATCATAGGTAAAAAGGGGGAGAGAGTGAGTCTCAAGACACCAACATGCTTGAGACTATCTTCTTCTTCCTTCTCTCTCCTACTTCCACTTCTTCAATGTGGCATATGAATGGTAGCTTGGTGTTTTTTTTTCTTTTACAAAGGAAGCTTGAGCACTTACTCAAACCTTCAAACCTTAGGCGCGGGCCGCCATGGTGGACTCACGTGGGATGGATTACGTCGGCGGATTCAAACAGCTGGTCTCACGTGGTGCCATCTCCAAGACATGAGCGATACTATCGACACTATCTCCGCGGTTTTTATTGGAGAAGCCGGTCTCCCTTTCTCGAGGGGTGGGTGTGACACGGGAAAGGAATAAAAGATGGAGGAAATGATCACATTCTACTGGTGCTGAAATGCCCCCAAAAGAGTGCTTGGCCAGCTGGGCGATCATGAGCTCGTCAGCTCCTCCAGGCAGAATGTCTCGCCCGCAACGCCTCTTCCCGCAGCGCGCCCTAGCGTCGGGTAGAGGAGCTGAGATGACGTACGGGCCGGTTGCCCAGTTGCTTTATCCGGAGAGCTGCCAAATATCACCGCTTGGTGAAGTCCGAGAAAATCGCATCTTGTCTTTGCCACAGCAGCCTCGCGGAAAAAAAAAAAGTCTGTTATGCTTTTCTTGCCTTTGCCGTGCATGTAGCTACGCTTCAGCTCGATCAAGCGTGTTTCGCCAAGCACGTTGTCGGCAGGGCCGTCGACGAGGATGTCGTGTCACGTGACTCGTAAGACGGACCGGTCGGTTCAAAGGCAGAGACTGCGCTCACAGCGATCGGAGTACGAGGGCATGATTCGATCCGCGCGTATCTCGGTGATGCTGCCGGTGCAGCAGTATCGCGAAATGGGCGAAAAATGAGCGCCCTGGTCATCAGGTCTCCGTACCGGTCCCAAGCGACGCTTTCTCTGCAGGAACAGGCGCCCGTCTCAAACAGGAGAGATACGCAAGGAAGGGGGTAAAGAAAGATAACTACTGGTCAGCTTATGTATTCGTAGTGCCGTTCCATCAAATACCCAAATGCAGGTCCCCAAAAAAGAATTGGAAGCGTCCTCTTTTTCACTATCAACGGAGTTCCACCGAGGTAGTTGGCACGAAAATCGCTCTGGGCCGCTCCGATTATTATTAAACATCGGCCCCGTACTTTTAGGCAGGAGAGCTCATTACCGGAGGAACCGCCTGTACCGGATTTGGCGCGTGCCGTGGAAACGCAGCATCTGGACTGGAGGAGACTGGAGACTGGAGACTGGAGATACGGCAGCGTGCTAGGCCCAGCAGTGAATGGCACCAAGGACTTAGCACCAGGTGCTAGTGGCGGTGCGCGTACGGAGTACCTGCAGCAGTTTTCTCCGATGCGCGGAAATCGATATCCGGTGTTCTCCACGATGGGGCCCGCCGCGGTGAGTGAAGAGGAATAGGACAGCAGTCTAGAAGTCGCAGAGGGCGAAAAAAGGGCTGACCGCCTGGGGGGACTGCGGTGCTTTTTGCTCTTATCCTGGACATGATTATGCCGTGTTCTTTGTTTGGTAGCACTCGCTTCTGCTGTAGAAGCTGGTTTATCCTCTGCAGTCCCATCATTGATCTGATAAAGGACTTACATGCATCGTAGTACGAAAGACTTGTAGAGTATACATACGTACCTCTTGTAAGTGCAAGGCAGAAAGAGGCGCACGGAAGAGTCAGTGCATGCTCGACATTGACGCTCAGAATTTATGTTTAATGAAGCGCCCCAATGCAGATGGAGACCAGACGATGCGCTAGTGGCATGGCGATGGCTACTTTTTCGCATACCAGCAGTTGCCGCTAGCACAGGCGGTATCTACAAGTACAACGGCTGTTCGCACAGGAATGAACTCGACTCTCCTGTAGAACTGGGTGCCAAGGCCGGGGTAACAGAAGCAGGATGAGGTCATTGGCCGACCGCCGCCAACGACCCCCGTTTTCAACGCGATAAAGGCGACGCCAAAAACAATCTAGAAGCACACGACTGGATTCCAATCAGCGCGTATACTGTAGCTGATCACTGGTAGGGGGGTGGGATCCTCGCTGGAGCAAGGCCAACAACGGCTGACGGAGCTAGGCTGCACCTTTTCCTCTTCTTTTGCGCGTAGCTGAAGGGCCCCATCTTTGCGGTGCCCTGAGTCAAGCAGAGCCCAGGGAAGAAAAATGCACAGAATAGGAAGGGCGGCCAACGTCCGAGATTTTGCCGGATCCACCGAGCAGCGAGCTTTGTCCGGAGTCCACGGAGCGGCTTTTATTTTGCAGCCCAAGCCGCCAGCATGTCGGGCTTGCCGGGTAGCGAATTTAGGTGTGGAGTTTGTTCTGTCTAGCCCGTAGGGTCTGCCGCAAGCAGCAAAGGGCACAATTCGTTGTCACTCTGGTCCTAGGCTGGAACTGGGCTTGCCTGGATTTGCGCTGCCGGTGCCGTTGCCGCCGCTGGCGGTGTGTGCGTCTGTGCTGCCTTTTTGCACCAAGACGAGCGAGAGCATGATGCTGATGGGATGGGATGGGATGACTGGGGGCGTCTCGCTATGCCGACTGGGGAGCGGCGGCACGGAACAGCAGGTAGCATTGATTGCTGCTTGCGGCGGCTGACGATTGGACAATCGGCAGAGCCCTGAACTCGTACTCAATCGGGAGCACGGGAGGCCATGGACATGTAAGGCAAAGCAGGTTTGGTCGTGGTTCGTGTTTGTCTGGCGCGGCCTGATAGTAGGGCCGCTTCCAGGGTGATGTGATGCTCTCTGCAAGCACATACAAGTAGATACCTGCTCTCTCCATCGAGCCGAGCTTCCAGCTGACGGGATCGGTAAGAGAAGTACGGTATCGGTACAACGAAGCACGCATCGTCCCTTTCAATTGATTTCCCTTCTCGGTGTTAATGAAAGGGTCTGTATGGGGTAATACGCAGAGCCACAAATAATTCGCACTCAGCACAGAATCTGCATAATGCCTCCATGGTGTGACTGCTAGTCGTGATAACAATGACTCCGTATCAGCTAGCAGCAGATTAGCTGCGAAGCCTGGCGTCCCTTTTCTCTCTGCCTCTCCTACTTTAAAACCACATGGAGAAAGAAAAGTAGCGGCATATATCGGCCAGGCCTTGGCTTGGTGCTGAATGATGGAGCCGTGTGTACAAGTATGTACAAGTATGTGCAGGTAGGGAGTAGTGTAGACAAGTAACGAGTCGCCGTTGGTACCCAGTACAACCGCACCGCTGGCTGCTGGCATGAAATGCTCGCCGTCTGATTGAACGATGGGCTCTGCCGACGCGCGATATCCGTTGCAGCCGAAGCCGTTGGTCACTAGGCAGAGCTAGAATTCTGGAGGACCTGCGCACAACCCCCAATCTCATTCGCGCAGCCAGCTCGTTCGGTTTCCAGAATATCACTCAAATAAGCCACGCAGCTTTTGATACGCGCGCGAGGGCCGGGTGTCAGAAGGTGTGGTGTGGTGTGCCCCGTTGTTATGGCTTGCCGGGGCGAATGTACGGGGTACTTGCAGTAGCAGCTGGAGCTGGAGCTGGAGCGCGCAGGCGGCCAGCGCAGCAAAAAGTAGACAACAGACTCCTTGCCTCGTGAAGAAGACGCGAAGAGAGCAGAAACAGACGAATGGACCCTGGAGATGATTGTTTGCCTCCTGGAGGGTGCGTCATACAGGACCAGACAGCTGCGGCCAGATAGAGGTGGTACTTGTATCCCGATGTCAAAGCCGCGGAGGTAAAGCGTGCTGATGAGGTTGCAGCTCGTATGTGCCTCCGACTGCCTGGTGCTACCGTACCCATGTAGCGGTACTTGCGAATGCTTCATGCAACAGACGCAATTGCATTGATTCGGATGCTTACCTTGGTAAAAGTACCTGAATGATGCATGTCCAGTTCCGACTCAATGGGCGCTCGCGGAAATATCACTTTCATCGGGGACCAAGGTCCAGGTCCAGGTCTTTGCAGGTACACGGTACACGAGACCTGGTACGTGCGCTCCGTAGTCTCTTTTTTCTTTCCTCTTTTTCCTTCAACAGGGACCAAGTCGGCCGGCGCGATTAGCAAAATTCGCGCAGGCAAAAAGAAGAAAAAAATCCACCTGGTATGGCGCCGTCATGATTTCCCCACATGGGGCGCCCGGGTAACCTGGGCAAAAGAGGCTGGGAGAGCGAATAATGGCAGCCAGCAGACCTAGCCGGAAGAGGCAATGCTGCAGTGCTAGTGCGCATTCGGTGTAAGATACTTTGGTACCTGCTAACCGTCCATGGGAGGGCAGAGAGAGGGAAAAAAGAAAAGAGCGAGAAAAAAAAAAAAAAAAAAAAAACTTGGCGGCACCTACTTCGAACAAGAAGTCGCCGCACGTACCGGCCGAGGATGGGCGCTAAGGCGGCCAGGGTCAGGCGCATGCCGTGTTCCGATCAACGACTACAAGCTTTTTCGCGCGAGCCGGCCGCGGTGTAGCGAGTACCTCCCCCTTCGCCCTCAACGGGCTCCCAGCTCATGACATGCCGTGCCAGGCGCGAATCCTTTTTCTGGCTTCCAGTCGCCAATTCTTTTTATTTTCGCCCTCCTCTTTTCCTCTTTTCTCTTTTCTTTTTTTCTTTCCTCCAACCCTCTCGTCGTCCGTGCCTTGGTTCGTCTCGTCTCTCCAGAGCAGTTTCTGCGTGTCTCTCTCGCCAATCGTCAATCTCGCTATCGACAATCCAGGCTACCCCGTCTTTTTTTTCCCTCTTCCAACCTTTTCGCTAAGCAACAAGACAAAAAAAAGGTCAGAGCGCCAATTCAATCCCCCCCCAAAAAGCCAAGTTTTCCGGCCCTCCCCCTGGGCATTTTTCCCTCCCCCTTGGCCTCGCCTCGCATCTTTTTTCGCTCTCAATTGCCAGCGGGTGGTCCGTGACGTGCCTCCCCCACTTTTCCCCTACCGAGCTCCCGCGCCTTATAACAAAACCTCAGCGCAGTCCACTTACGCGACCTTTTTTTTTTTCCAGACCCTTTCTGCCTTCATCCTCTGCACGTCTCACGTCTCACCCAACAGGTACAGACAACCCGCCCCCAATTGGTTCATTTCTTCTTCCTATGTCGAACTCCAATGCACTGCATATGCAGTGGAAGCATCAGCTGCGAATGCTCTCGACGTCGGTTCTTTTTCTGTCTCATTGGATCCTGGTCTCGGGCGCAATCTGAGCCACCGCTGCTCCAGATGTCAAAACCTTGTTATACTCCGCCAAGGGCTGCCACGTTGGCTGGGGACTTGGCGGGGGAAAAGCCAACGTTTGACACGTCTGTTTGGCATGGCCTGCCACGAGGTGCACCGCGAGATTGATTCAATGAGATGGGAATTGCAACTGTCGGTTTTTTTGAGGCATTTGATGGAGTTTCCACATCGCCCTGCCCCTGTCCCTTACCGCTTCCTCTCACCCCCCCTGACACGATCCTCGGCCCTGCTCATTGCATTGTTCAATGGAGACATAAATACCACTCAAGCACCCCGTCACTAACTCGCCTTCTTCATCCAGACAAAGCAAACTCTCCCCTCAGACACAATGGCCGCCATCGACAAGCAACTCATTGCCGCCCGGGATGTTGCCTCCCAGCTCATGAAGCGAAAGAACTTCGCTGCTAGAGAGCCTGGTGTCATTGTCGTCTTCTGCATCGTCTTCATCGGTAAGTCGCCGCCACTCATACACACACATCCATGAGAGAAGCAATTGTTCTAATGATACATCTACAGTCGGTGTTGGTGTGCTTGGTCTCCTCATCCACAAGTGGATCCAGAGGAGAAAAGCTGCCACCAAGTCTCAGATCTAGACGACAAGTCTGAGGCTAGGGGGAAGAGGGGGTTGGACTTGAAGGTGTCGACGGAGAGGGGACGCATTAATGGACCGTGATTGTTAAATGGCGAAATGGTGTTGCGCGCGACATTTCAGCGTGGTTATAAAACAGCGACACGTTTGCGCGCGTCAAAAGAAGAAAAAACACAAAAGCAAGCCGCCAAAGTATAATATTTTTTTATCCACCCGACCACGAGCAACACCAGCCAAGTCGTCATCTTGTCGTCAAAGTTTGTCAACAACAACTACAGCATGCGCGATATTGGCCAACTAATGTATATACGCATGCGTTATCTGCTCGCAACTCAAGCCCGCCATCGCTCTATGATCCGGTGGGCTTAAGCTATCTATTGGTGTCGGATATTTTGAACGGCGCGCTCGTGCTCGTGGCCACAGGAAGCTGTATTCTCTATTATCTAATACTCCTGATACCTCATACAACAATCTAGTTATTATAAAGATATAAAGTTTTCCTATTGTTCAATCATACTCGCTCTCCTTGCGCCATCTATTTCTATCAGTGATTTGCCCAAGACCCAGTACTAACGATTGCAAAGTTCCCTTTTCGAAATACATATAATAAGTAAGTCTCCCTTTCGAAACACATATACAATCATACAAGTACAAAGTTATAATCCCTCCTTGGCCAGCATATCAGCCACATCAAGGTAAAACGCAACCGCATTAAACGTCCTCTTCATCCCCATCCACTCCCTCACCGTCCACGCCGCCCGGTTCGACCAATTGATCAAATCCAAGTGACTCACCCCCATCAATGTCCCCCGATACACTCCCCATCGACTGCTCTCCACGCTCACCAGCCCGTCATTCTCCCCCTCGGCCCTGCCCACCACGCCGTGCGGCAGCCGAAAGGCCCCCAGCAGCGAAGGCTCGTCAATCGCCGCCCCGTACGAAAAGTACCTGACGGCCTCATCGTCACGCACCCGCGGATTGAACTCGTCGCGCATGTACCGCGTCGTCAGCTGGCCAAACGCAGAGGTCCCCAGCCCCGCGCGCCGGATGATGCTGTACAGCCGCGGCAGGTGGAGCGGCCCGGCGCCGCGCTCGACGAGGTAATCCGCAAACGGGCTGCCGCGGTGCGGCGTGGCGATTGTCACGAGCGAGGCCACGCGCACGTTTTTCAACACGGGCTTCAGCCGCGAAATCATGTAGCGCGCGTCGAGCCCGCCCATGCTGTGGGCGATGATGTTCACCGTCGGCGGCGCGTCACGTTCGTCCCTGCTGGTTTGCGCGAGAATGTCGGCGGCGAGCTTGGCGGCGCGCTCCTCGATGGACCCCGTCGGCGGGACGGACGCGGTGATGACGGCGCAGTTGTTCTGCCTGAGGGCCTGCTTGATGCCGTGCCAGTACTCGATTGGCGGGAGGAGGGCCGAGACTCTGAGCTCGGAGAAGCCGAGGAGGCCGTGGGCTAGGACGATGGGATGTTTCGGCGTTGCTGCAGTTGTGTCAACATGCCTTTATCCCTTCCGAACATCATTGAGCATCATACCGTAATTCTCGCGAATAGTAGCGTAATCGTCATGTATGCGTCTCCCAAAGTCCCGAATGCGAGGATCGTGGCTGTCCTTGAGATGCGCCTTTGCGGTGCTGAAGAAGTGATGCCAAGGAATAGAGCGTAGATTTGGTAGGGGACGAGAGAGGCGAGGGCCACGATGATGAAGAAGCCATTTTCTCATGGCTTTTTGTTTTCAAGGCTATAGATGAAGCATACTTTGGGACAGTTAGCAATTGGGTGGTGAGAGGGAGTGAATGTGTTGCTGGTGATTTCTGCGCCTTGGTGAAGCTAGAAGCTGTTTAGTGTCGCAAAGATTGCTGACGTCACTGTCGCAAGTCGCAATGTTCAGGATGGCGGCCTGCTACTATAAGTTGGTGATGGCAATCAGGGCCAGTAAATTCCTTTCTATTTGGGTCACTCATCTCTAGACAACGCGTGTCAATGCCTTGATTTTTATTCCATTACTCGCTCTCCACATGCTATTGTGGCCAAACTAACTTTCAAAATCGCTGTCACGAGCTGCTAAAAAATGCTGCTCGTTATTTACCATACCAATCCTCATAAAATACTATATAAACAGGTAGACCATAGACATGCCATATGCATGACCCCATCTCCCAAATCTATGCTTGTTTCAATTCTTTATGCACAAAAACGTTTTTTCAAACAAACTCCATGTAACGCGATATCAGAGGAGGATACCGGCTCTCCGACGACGACGCAGCCTCTGCTCCTAGCTTTTAACCGGGCCCATGGGCATCTCGCTAGGCGCATTCTCATTTGTTATGCCACTATAGGCCGGCCGGGGCCGTAAACCGTCAAACGGCCCAGACAGGTTCTCTGCCATCGCTTCGTCGTAGCTCGGAGGCGGCACGTCTTCATAAGCCGGAATATCGCCTGGTGGGAGCTGCGGAGGGTATAAAGGATCTTGCGGAGGCCTGGGAGGCATGACGGGTGCAGCAGGCGCGCTTGGCCGTCGGGGAATTCTTTGAGGAGCTCCAAGACCCCCTGGGCCGCTGGCTTCAGAGACTGAGCTCCGGGGAGGCAGCCGAGGAGGTCGAGAAATAGTAACCTCTCCTGGGCGTGTGTTCTTAGCAGCTTCCAGCAACTCAGGAGGCGGCGTGATGCCGGAAAAGACGCTGACGTTTGCAAAATGAAGAGGCAGAAACAGAGCTTGGGGCGGAGAGTCTTTGGCCGTCCTGGGCGTCCCCCAGCTCACGCCTAGCTTGAGATCCAATTCGTATTTTCGAGAAAGGTTGCAGGTATTAAAAGAAGGGGCGACGGTATTGGGCAGCGGCCTATTCCTCCAGAGCTCATCCGACAGTATCAGTTCTTCCCCGACTTTGTCGTCCGGAGCGCATAGGGGGATTTCGAGGTCGGTATAGGAGGCAACAATCCAGCGGTTGCCCTTGGGACTGGCCAACCCATGTGCCCTGATTTCCGTCAAGCTAAACAGCTCCAACTGAAATGATGTCAGGTAGACTTGCTCGGGGCTGTCTACGAGCTTCTTTGCAATGAGCCGGAGGGGAATTGGCTGATTACACGTGAGAATGGAAGGATGCGGTAACCGGGCTGAAATCTCTATTGATGGCGGCGTTGGGGAGTCGGGGGTAGGACTCGCCAAATAGTCATTCTTTCTGCTGCTAAATATTGAACTGCGCTTCTTCTGTCCTGGTGTCCGCGGCTGGAAGGTAAAGGGCCGTCGAGCGAAGGCTTCTTGGCCGGTGATGGGAGGCCGAGGCGGTTCAATGGGCAGGAACTTGAAGCCGAGCTGATAGCGCCAGTTTTCTTTCAAAAGTCCGGGCCGTTGGACCGTAACCTTGATATAATACCGGATCTCCGCCGCCATAGGAAAGCCAGTCAGTGATGGTGGCAGCGTTGCTGTAGCATGCCGCAGATACAGTTGCTTGGAGCCGTCCATGACCCTGACACCGCTCAATCCAAAGAGGCCACCGCTGGCTCCATAGCCTCCTATGCCGGCCAGGCCGCCGATTCTTGCCATGGCTTGAGGGTTGCTGCAGGCATTGTTGATGGGCAGCTTGAACTTGAAGGGAAACTGGTGCTGGCCGGCATCGAGGGGATACGACCCGTAGGGGCTGGAGGAGCTTTCGTAGTAGTCGTCTGGAAAAACCTTGACCAGCTTGTAAAGGATCTTGTGGTTCTCGCTGACGAAGCTGCCCGGAGGCCCCGGTGGCGGACCGGCGCGCGCAGTGATGGGATCGTAGCCGTAGTTTTTGGGGACCTGCAGAGCTGTGCCTGACTCTCCCTCGAGCTTGACGACAATGGAGCCGATTTGCTCGCTCCGAGGGAGATTCAGAATGACTTTGCCCGAGACTGCATCGAGATTGGTGTAGAACTCTGGCTGGTTATCCAGCGAAATGATGATGGACATTTTGGTGATTTAGCCGCTCCGTTGGCGAGCAGAGCCTGCCCGCACGGCTATGGAATGCAATGGCGACGACAGAGAAAAAATAAAGAAGAAGAGAAATTGTTTGTTTTGCTGTTAGCTCCGCGCAATTGGGTAAGTACCAAGGTAGTAGACGAGAAGGTAGGCCGGACGACGCTCGGCAATTGATCAGGCGAGGGGCTGAATCCGGCGCAGTGTCATTGTCTGAGACCTGCGAGACCAGTAACGGTGCACAGAGTCGAGCCGGATACAGAACCCGAGATACTTGATAAAAAAAGACCAAGCAGGGGTCGCAGGGCTGAGGCGAGGGCTACGCGTCAAGTGTTTGGCGATGGGGGCGCAGCTCTTGAGGCACGCCTTGAGCTCATGGGGTGCTGAATTCTGGGATTGATGTCATGCCCGTAAAATGCTTGGCTAGGCGTTCCTGCTTATTAGTCCAGCGCCTGTGTGGCTTGCCGCGCGAGACACTGACGACGTGCTGAGGCGCAAAGGCCGCTGGATCCGACCGCCGTGGCTTTTGTCTGAAGCTCGGAGGCTCTTGCGCTGCGACAAGGGGGAGCGGATGCTTTGATCATGCTTGAGCATTGACTGCTTTCTTTCTTTCTTTTTTCTGAGTTTTGGTATGAAAGAAAAAGGAAAGAAAGAAAAAAAAAAAAAAAAAAAAAGGAAAAAAAAAAAAAGAATCAATGCTTTGTCCGGCTGTGGCTGGTTTCTGCTGCCGCGGAAGCGCTATGCTCGACACTGAGAGCCGGCGCTGAGAGAGAGTTACTTGGCTGCGACAAGACGGCAAACAGAAATCTCATCACGACAACGACAGAGGCCAAGACATAGCACGCGGTGTTGGAGATGTCAAAAGGCTCTAGCCAGGCTGGATTGATTACTATCATCTGCAGACCAATCGCTTAACATGATGCCTTCTCGAGACGTGAGATATGCAGAGCCAAAGCGCGGCCATGGCAAAGTTTCCCTCGCCCGTGCTCTGTTGCCGCGAGTAGGCCACGATCCGGGAGCTGTTGCTCTGCATATCTGCATATCTGCTCAGGTTGATGCTGTCTATACGACCAAAGCAGTTAGCTAAAGTTGCATTGGCGCCGAGGCGCTCTTCACTGCAACTTCACCTTAGTTCCCGCCTATCGGCATCCACGTCGCCCTCATCGCTCCGCCTCGCCTCGCCTCGCTCTCTGCGACGCATCATGTGATGGCCAGATGAATTGCATTTCAAAGTGAAAACCATCTGTTGGATGCGCCGTTTCCCGGCTTTCCACGTCGAGCCCCGTTCAACGACAACGACATCGACCTTGCTCTGCAAACCCACAAGCCGTGTTTGACGCGCTGTGCATCGCCTGCTTTGTTCGTGAGAAAACCGGGGCCGTTGTTCTACAGCTGTTGGTTCCAGGCACTTCAGCTGCATATTTCACCTCTGCCATGGCGCCATTTTCAGTCCCCAGATTCTCCAGCGGCAGGCTCGTCAACCTGCGGTGGATCCGCTGTTGGCTCTCGTTCGCTTCTTCAGTGCACCCTTCTGGCTTCATTGCAACGTCGTGATAAGTGTGCGAGTAATACTAGCCTCTGGCTGTGAAGAACCAACTGCATAGCTGCTTGGATTTGTCAACCGGCTGTCGCTGATTCCCTCTGACCCGAGACTCGATGCCCACGAAAACTTGCGTGGGAGAGCTCTTTCTAAGCCAAGTATGTCGCAAAGAGGCAGTAGAATCTTGCTAATTGGTACAAATCGAACTTGGAAACGAGCGTCAAACGGTATGGGCTTCTCTCTGACAAGAGTCTACCGCGGAAATCACAAGATTGGCCTTGCAATTCGTATTGGCATGACAGCCGGTGTCACCAACTGAAATCAGGAAGCTGCCAAGCACAAATGACCAGAACTCGGGTGATAGAGCCAAACTGCCGGATCCAGTCCTTTCCTCTCTTTGTGTCAACCTGTCTGCCTCTTGAGTTGGGCTACATCCAATATCCACGTTGCGGACCAACGCACGTATTGTGGACATGAGAGGCTACTAGTAGTGTGCAGGGGTGTCTACCAACAGCAGAAACCATCAGTACTACGGCACGGCACGGTATTATCCCCGAACGGGCTCTGTTGCTGGCCCCCATCCCGTCATCAAGATTCTCTTCCGTCTGAAAAGAGAACTCGTCCGTGGAGAGGAAACTATCACGACCCCTGTTCGAGTGACACGCCAACGGCAGTGACTTCTGCAGCCTTAGCTTAGATGCACTCGATCAACGATGACCAGGGAGCTACTCCATCGGGCTGTGGCTACCCATCTGCCTGCCATTCTTTGAGCAAGAGCTAGCAATATGCCATCCGTGGATATCTGTTAAATAGCTACCGATTCCCTGATCCGTCTCCCCGTGTGGGATTTCCTGCCCATGGCTAGAGAGCATCCGAGGCTACTACACTGGACCATCTTTTCACCATGGCAGCTAACTGTGGCTCAACATGCCCTACCGAGAACAGATTCTTCACAAATGATCTTAGTATCGGGGGCAGTGCAGTCTTCCTCGCTCTCTACGCCTTCTTGACACCCGTCACCTTCTACCAGGGGTATCGGTTCCGCACTCCGGGTTTTTCTGCCTTGCTGGCAACTGGACTGTCTTTTGAGGTCTTGGGATTTCTGGGGAGAATACTCTTGCAAAAAGGCCGAGACCACCAAGGCTACTTTGCCCTCGCCCTCCTGGGAAGCATTCTAGGAGCAACATTCATATGCAGTGCCATGTCGATTATACTGCCTCATATACTTGCCCTCTTTGGAGATCGGCACGCACCATGCCAGTCACTCTTTACAGCTTTCCTCCTGAGTGCTCTTCTCATGGTGAGCCTTATATTCAACATAATCGGCATTGTTTTTGTTGCTTATGGGTATGAGGGAGTAAGCGTATGTTAAAAAAACCCATCTCTACGCCTTGCGTAGACCATCTGCTAACAACGTCCAAAGCGTGATCGAAGTGCCGATATCATTGCCGGAGGGCTGGGTGCTCAAGCTTTCTTATTGCTAGTCATCTCTGCAGTGTATACTAGCTTTATCGTTGGTTTGAGGCCCGAAGCCGAGGCTCCAAGTCCAGTACACTCAGATATCTATTATTCCAGTCGCTTTTCTCGGTTCCTTCGTTGTGAGTGCTTCCAAGTGAGCCCCGACCTGGGCAGAATACACCTCTAACACAACAAAGGCATGGAAATAGCAACCTTTCTTCTTCTCGGGCACACGATATATCGGATTTTCGAAATGATTGGAGGTATAGATGGCACTCTGTTTCAGAGCGAGCTAGCTTTCATAATCATGGACGCACTTGTTCCATTTCTCGCTTGTGTCCTCTTAACGGTGGCCCATCCAGGTGCCGCGTTTGGATCGTCATGGGCTTCAACATCCTCTCGGAAATGCAAGCGTCGTGGGCCTTCTCTGCCGCCACTACAAACGTCGTTTAGCCACGCTGTCCATCACCGCTACGATCCTAATATCCGCCAACAATTTTCTCCTTCTACTCAACGGCCACTTCGGGAGACTAAGCCCCCGCCCACGTACGGCTCCTACGGTTTACCCTCATCTCCACGGCCATTGAACAAGCCACCGAGCCCGATCATCTTGTCACCAATATCGGCCCGAGCGGTAAACCCAGAGAATCTGAGTGAACGATTGGAGAGGTGGGTAGTGCCCCCGGAGTTGGTTGACAGTGACGAGCTATGGTAGCCGGGCCAAGGGTGTGGAGGAGTTGGATCCAACGGCATCTGACAGCGTCTGCAAAAATATTGCTCCACTATCAGTGCCTTTGTGTTTACGAGGATGAATGGTTTTCCTCTTCATGTACATGTATCTAGACAGCAAGAACTGCGTTCAACCCGACATGCCTTATTAGGTAAAATGTACGGGCCGAAGTGGTTCAAAACCCTGCAAAGGGAAAATGAGCCTATGAGATTGAAGAAATTGATTCAAATTGTTCAACTGCCATTGGACCTCTTTGCTCTTCGTTCATGTTGTTCATGAAAGGCGCGGCTAGTTCGCTTACGGTTCCACACGAACCTCTTTTCCGCAGCGGGCGCGCGGATAAAGAGCATCCTGTAGCAGCTCTTTCTCGGCAGTTCTCGCTTCCCGCGTTTCTTTGCTTTGCGCGTTTTTCTCCCCTTGGACGGCGGCTGTAGCTGTAGTGTGATATGTTAGTGCTGCCATCTCCATCACGGCGGCTGTGACTGTGATTCGCCGCTTAACCGCCGCTTAGCAGAATTCTGGGCGAGCGGGCACTTATATCCCTGCACGAACCATCCGAGGGACCCATGGAGCCGCGTGTCTACGGGAATTATACAGCTTGGATGCTTGTGAAGAGTTGGAACTTTTTTGCGAGATGGAGAAGCCAAGATGCTTTGAGCTATGGGGACGGGGCTGTGAAGTGATTGCAAGGGGGTTGGAATACGAAGCTCTCCCATGTAATCAAGCATATGGACATTGTGTGATGATTGAGAGTTGCGATTTGCTACTTTGAACTGTCAAGCGCCCGGAACCGTCCCGGCGGGGCCGGAGAGTTGACTCGTGAGATTTTGGGAAACAAGACATGGCATTTTGTTTGATCGGATCGAAACAATAGTGTTGATCGAAACAACCTCGCTTGGGGCGTCTGTCATTGGCAATTCTCCACATTCTGGATCTGCGCTCGGCTCGCGTCTGTTTTAGTTTCTTCTTGCGTTGCGTTGGGCACTTTGGCAGAAGGATTGTCCGCGGAGGATTGTGAGGCCTGTTGTTGATTCCGTGTCTTTACGAGGGACCAACGCTTTTCATTCACTTTTTTGGGCAGCAATGCCGCGGGAGTGACAGGTGGATGGAGCGGACTTTTTGGTTGTTTCAGCATGGCAGGTATGAGCCTGGGTAACGGTGTGTGAGTAGAATGTACCGGTGTCAAGTGGTGTATCCCTTCCTTTACAGTTTGACATGTCAAATCTCTTCAGAATGCGCTCCCGTGTAGCCAGACTAGCTGGTTCCTATCAAGAGCCAGACGCCAAGGATTCCTCCAGGCGCGAATGGCCCAAGCAGAGTTACTGGCTGGGACCAACCACCATCACGCAGTTTGACAAGTTGGTCCGGTGAAGAATTACTTGGAGTAGCATAGCTTTTCCAGAAAAGGCTATCTAGCATATCAGCTGTAGCTCAACAAAGCAGACGGTCTATATATTAAGTACCTACTGATTTAATTATCATTTATACTTGAACGCCGTAGTAGCAGTAGTAGCAGTAGCAGGTAGAGCGTGGATAACCCTTCTCCCTTCTTGGGTACGTGTAGGCATAGCTTGTGGAAGGACGACACGTCTCGATAAAGGAATCGAGCGAAGATGCATTTGGCCCAGGACGGGGGCTTTTTGCATTGCTTGAAGACCCTATGGTTGCTGAGATTGCCGACCACTGCTAGGAGATGATGTATGCTTTCGATTTGATCATTGCTAGGTACTCCTTTTGCACGCCGGAATTGTTCAATTGTCGAGGGATCTTACAATGTTTTCCATACTTGACAGACGGAGGGTGCTGAAGTCATCATCAGAACAATGTCGGGGTACACGGCTGAGTTAGATGACTGTTAGACAGAGTTGGTGGGCTGGTCGGGTAATCTATCTTGGATGCGTTCTGCTTTGTTCGTTTCCCCTGAATAAATTTGGGTGGATTGGAAGGAGTGTTGTGTGAGAAGGGTATACTGTAGCAGAAGACTTCGTTTCATTTAGTTCAGCTCAGCATAAAAACTTATGAAGCCTCTCCCGCAGTGTTTTGAGCAAAAAAGCGGAATTTAGCTCCTACGTGTATTTGCTTTCGATTAGTATGTACGCAACTGTGTGTATACTTTTACATGTTAGCAGTGTCGCAAGCTACACTCAAGGCGAATATCACATGGCCGAGACTATATTTGAATATAAAGTACCAATGTCGTATATTATTATGCTCTGATGCTTGTGTTGCCTTTGTAAATGGCCTAGGATAACCCTATTTAGAAAGCTAATAGGATAGCAGAACGAGCCACCACATAGAGAGCCATTATGCTCATCTGGGATACATAGTGGACAGGTTGTTGCATCCAAATGCCAATAAAACCATTCAATACGGAACTCTCAGATCTGCCTCCGCACAGAGACAAATTTGATGAAGGATCCTCTATGGGCCGTCAATTCAAGTCTGCCACCAGCACTAGGAGCGTTAATCAACACCTCCATAGTTGATTTCTTCCTGCCTTTAGCTTGCAGCGCATACCCTCCATATTCCCCATGCCTTGTTCCAGAGTATGCATTGCTGTTGAACTTCTTGACTGGCAGGAGTATGTCGTCGTTGTACCCTAGGTACATGCCGGTGCTTTCATTGAAGAACCCCAACCAATTTCTAAATTCAACGACAAGCCAAGTTGTCAAGTTTGGCGGGGGTGAACGGAGATCCCATATGTGGGATTTCGCCCAAACGAGCTTTTCATTGCGAATACAAAGTGCCGCTGTGGAATTGTGTCTCCGAATTATATATGTTTTTCCAACCACAGGAATTGCGTCAAGACAACCAAATTGGGGACCGGGGAAATTGGTGCTTCGAGTGTGCGTTGAGTAGGATGACATCATGGTTTCGTTTGTAATGAGATGGTTGGATGTTATGTTGAGTGGTGTATGGGAATCGAGAAGGTGAGATATCTCAAGCTGATGATGCAGGAGTGAAGATGTCGCAGGAAAAGTTCAGGCTTCATCCATCTTTTAAATACCCGTTTCCATGGCCTTCTTTCGCTTTGTAATTTCGGGACTGACGAGGCATTTCTCTCCTTGACAGACGCGTTTTTGGACGAACGCGCTTCAATGGCAGTTTCTGGACGAACGAATTTGGACGGCGGTTCCTGGACAGACGCGCTTTTGGATGGCAGTTTTTGGACAAAAGCGATTTTGGCTTGGAATAGAGGCTGGTTTTTGATAGATGCGTTTATATGACAATGTAACTTCTAAAAAGACGTAATTACGAGATGAACAAAGCTCTGGATAAACCTGGGTTTGAATAGAGGCAGGTTTTGTAAAAGCAGCTTCTAGACAGAGATGGTTTGTGGTGTAAGTCATCTCCTCAATAACCAGACTAGGTACATGTAGCCTCCATGCTTTTACGCCAAGTAAGGATGGGATATAAAGTACATGGAGTAAAAGCAAGTAATGATTTTACTATGAGAAAAACATATTTCCATGAGTACAATCACTACAGTGTGGTTGATATTTTCTACGCCAAGTTTCAAAAGAGACAGCCAGTCAGATAACAAACGGTCATAACGGCAAAAGTATCCAACGTCCATAACCTGGCCGATGTGCCCACCTAGGTACTTTGTACAAGCTCATTTCTTCCTCAAAAGCCAGAATTTGCCCTTCTATAATGGGGAAAGAGGGGTGTGCGAACGGGTGGGGTGTGTCTTGCGTCTTTTTCCTTTTCTCTTTTTCTTTTCTCTTTTCACAGGAGCAGGGGGGTGTGGAAGGGGGTGTGAGAGTTTATGATTTCCACTGGACAGAAAGCAGTTTCTGGACTCTGGCTAAGCAGAGGCGGTGAACTGACGAGTTCTCTCGAAAAACTCGACCGTGGTGTGGAGCCAGGTGTTTTTTGCTCAAATATTTCCTACTATAGTTTAGTGGCAAAATAACGAGGATACCCGTCAGCTATCTGTGCTGTGATGGCCTTTTCCTGCCATTATCCTTGTTGAAGCCTTTCCAGCAATGATCCCAGAGGACTTACTTTCTCGGCCTATAACTTTTGGCTACTTCACTTGCAATGCTGGACTTTGAGCTCTTGGTCCGGCACATACTGCTTCATATTTTTGATTTCAAAGCATAATTGCTGTTTTGTTAGTGACATTGTCATTCACACGTTTTGCTCTCGTCGAGGCTGGGATTTGACCACGCTGTTGGTACACAGCTCTCCGAGTCCATAAAAGGCCAACGTTTGATGTGGAGACACTTGTGAGAACCTGAGAGTACTTTAGCGTTCATCTAACATCCGAAACTGGATCAAAAAAATAAAGAGGAGCGCCGACCACTGCTCTTGTGCTGGATGTAGCTTTTAGTACATAGCTCAAGGTACTACATGGGGGCTAAAAAACGCGTGAAACAGTTGTTCCCGCCGCAGCCTCTTCTCTTCACTCCACAGCAATCCTCAATGGTGGTACGAGTGTGAGTCCTTTTTCGGCTGCACTTGAGACGAAAATCCCACTGCCGGGGCTGTGAAGTCTTGGGCAATCATGTTGTGTAGCCGTTAGTCAACTACCTAGGCAAGCAATGGCATCTGTGAGTTGCGCAGACATTCATCAGCCGCTTCAGTTAAAATTGCATCCGTATTACTGCGAAACTACAGAGTCTCGACAACACTGGCTACTACGTACCTGTGTTATGTTGTTAAATACTGTATGATAGCGATAGGTAAAAGAAGATGAGAATGAAATGTTGCCATCATTCTGACAAGCAGCGAAAAGAATTGTGCAAGTGCTGCGCGGTGGTTACCTCTCGGGTGGCTTGGAAGTCTGTGTTCAACATCCTCAACAAGGCTACAAAACAACGCTGCTTTCAAGAACCCACGCCTATTCTTTGCTTCATCTCATCTCATAGACTTGCTTGTACAGCAGCCTCGCCACTATCTGCCTTGCTGTTGATGCTGCGTTACTCCATCTGTGTTCCCCACATACAGCTGAAGGATCAGTCGAGGTTTCACAAGGCGCCCTGCATAAAGGCCTCTGCCACTATTAATAGTCGCTTAAAATACCATTGCGTTGGAAGATCCGCAAGACACAATGAGTTTGCAACTAAAATTGGATCGTTTCCGGTTGAACAAGCACACGTGCGACCCTGGCTGGCGAATCGTATTGCGACGGGAAAGGGGCCGTGTAGAGACTATGCCGATATACCCTGCAGACTGAAGCGGCACATGGGCATATAGTCTGAGGCTCGACCAGGTTAATGGATATGAAAACCGTGTGTTGGCAGCATCTTTGTCGTACAACCAACAGCCTATGAAGGCTGCAAGGCTGTACAGGAGTAGGCTGCGTTCGTCCAAAGTTGGAACCCTGTTGTCCACGACTATATAAGATCGCTGCATTGTTCTTCTCCTTGACCTGCCATCCATCTCTCATTAAATGTGTTTGTAGGCATAAACCTAACCGCCATCATGGACGACCAATACTCACGGCAGCAATGGGCCTTGGATATGAGAAATGATTTACAAACACCTCCATTGCCTCATGATATGAGGCCCGAAAGGGACACCAACAGACCAGAATGGGATGACACTGAATACACCCCAATCCAGTTGCAGAGCGACACCAATACGCTGGAACAAGATAGTCTCGGTTATGTCGACCATGTCACTACTCAGTCCGACAGCGATACTCTTAACGCGCCGGATCAGGACATCTACCACGCCTCAACCACAACCCCGTCCATCGTCAAGCCAAAGAAACCACAATCTGCCTGGACCAGGCTGTCCACAACGTGGTGGATGGAAGTACTCACCATATTCATCAGCACCGGCTTCATGATTGGTCTGCTTGCCATCCTCGCCAGCTTCCAGAACCGGCTCACAACGGAGTGGACGTTCTTCATCAGCATCAACGCCGTCGTTGCCATTGTCATCACTGCAGCGCGGGCAACTCTCCTCGCCACCGTGTCGGTATGCCTCAGCCAGGAGAAATGGAATCATTTCAACAACAGAGCTCGTCGCCTCCAGGACCTGAATATCATCGATAGAGCCAGCCGTGGACCATTGGGATCCATACAAATGCTCTTCAGCGTCTCGTGGGGAGTGGCAACAGTGAGCGCGGTAGTCATGATTTTGTCTCTCCTCACCGATTCGTTCGTGCAGCAGGTAGTCTCCTTCCAGCCTGGGAATATATATGCCCATCAAGATGGGTCGGCAACTTTCGGACACGCAGTCAGCTATAGCAGTGGCCTAAACTTCAACTGGGGACGCTCTGTGCACGACGGTATTATTTCCTTGAATGAAAATGATGGTCAGTATTATCCGAATACCCACCCACCCACCTACCTGCCATATTGGTTGAAGCTGTAACCTAACACGAGAATTAATAGCCACCAACCCTGACCTGGAATCTGCCTTCTTCCGGGGCATTTGGCAGACCAGTTGGCCGTCTGGGGTGAACTGCACTTCCAACTGCACCTGGGACCAGTCCTACTACACGATAGGCTTCAGCAACACCTGTGCCGATGTCACAAAGGAGACTTTGGCGAGTCTCCAGTGCTCTGACAACCGCACCATCACCCTGCCTTATGATAATCCTGCTCCTTGCAATCTGACTACACCGCAAGGCTTACACTTTCCGTTTGTGCCCAACTCTGGGGGCTCTGCCATGGCTATAACCTCCATCGGCTGGGATCTTGGGACAAATTCAACCGAGAATTTAGATGGCAGAAGCCTTTCCAAAAGTGCCTTTTGGTCTTGGAACCGAAACGACATTGACCTGATCAGTATGAGTCTTCATCTAAAGCCGATGCTGCAGAATTCGACAGTCGTGGAGTGCACATCCAGCATTGTAGTATACAAATACTCCAACATCTCATTCATCTCAAACAACCTCAACATTGGCGCATCCGAGAAGACGCCCCTTGGAAAGGTATCTGGTACAACAACGATGCTCCCGCCGGAATGTGTTTCCAACAATTGCTTCTGGGCAGATACGCTGCTTTGGTGGAACAATACCAGCCCGGAAATCCCACATATTTCCATCTCCGGGACGGACCTATCCATCGTGGCTCGCCTCTTTAGATCGCAGGCCTTCTCCGGTAGCGTCGGCCTGGGTAGCCAGTCCGTAGGTAGCACGACGGCCTTTGGCAACGGAAGTCTGGAAACCGTATCCGGCGTGCTCGACAACATTGCACAGAGCTTGACGGACATGATACGGGAAAAGGGCGCTGTACAGGTCGCGCAAGGCCTAACGAGCCAGGCCGTCGTGTACATGCGCGTGCAGTGGCTGTGGCTCATCCTGCCGATAGCATTACAGGTGTTTGGCGTGCTGGCGCTGATTGGGGCGCTGGTTGAGAGAAGGCAGACCAAAGACGTGCCGCTGTGGAAGGGCTCGGCTCTGGCGGTGCTGTATCACTCCGTTGATAAAGATGGAGTTTTGGGAACTCGGGTGAGGGACTTGCAAGAACTGGAGGATCTGGGAATGACGCAGGTTATGCTGGAGAAGAAGAGTGATGGTGCCGATCCGTAGCTCTCCCTGAAAGGGGCCACATGACTGGAAGGGAATTTCATTTTACTTTGTGCCCTTTTCAAAAGAGATGGCTGCGGGAGGATTTGTTTGACATTTTTGGCGCAGGGATCTTGGTTCTTTGAGAGATGTTTATGATATCCGTGTCTTTGACTACCTATCGTGCTTTTATACGAACGACTTGTGATGTACGTTACTATTGTTATGATGCAGTCTGTTTATTATGCAACCCCAATTTGCTCCGTGAAATGACCTTTTGCCGCATTGCTTAACTCCTCATAGCCTCCATAAACGTTTATTCGTATATGCAGCACGGCATGCCCCTGGCATTCGATTAAACCGAGGAGGCAGTTGGGGACCAAGGCCGCTCTGGCGCCGCGCCTGAGAGCTCCAGTGTCGATTCGAAACAGAGCCATACGCACCAAAGTCATGCCAGGCACTGAAGACGAGCTGCCCGCTGAGCTGGTAATAAACGGCTGTGTAATCGGTCGGGCACCACCTGCAATGGCGATGTACCTCTTGCCCTGGATTGATGACCGCGTGGGCCACGGCTTGGTGGAACTCTGCTGTTTGGTGAAGCCACGCCATCATCCGGCGATAGTCCAACGGGCTGTCTACCATGGCCAGATGTGGGCAGATGGTGACCAGGCTCTGCTGCATGCTCGAGTATGTGGCTCGCCTGTCGCAGTCTCCGACAACTATCTTCTCATACAAGAGAAAGTGCCCTTCGACAATCCGGGGGCTCGCACTATATGTCATGGGCATCCTAGAGCTGGTCGCATAATGATGAGTAGTCAGTAGTCTTTCGAGATGGTCTCTATTGGATTCTCGGCCAGAAAGCTTCAGAGCAAGCTGGATGTGATGATGCTCGAGATAATATCGGGCCCATGTACGTGCCCCGTAATCCGTTGGCCGCACGCAAGGACGCAGCCTCCTCTCCGAAGGCAAATCGTGCGGATCGACGACGTGAAGCCGGCCGCAAGTTTCACAGGCCCAGTGATATGGAGCGCCAAAGGCCACGCCTATGAGGAATTCGTTCCTCTCGGGAGGGGACCGGGAACGCACGTACTCGTTCCAGTCGCGAGATGCCAGCCTTTGCATGGTCCGGCAAGTTTGCGAGAGGAGAAACTGGTCGTGGGCGGCGAGGTGGTCCGTAATGCAGAGGACGAGCTCGTCTGGCAGCTCGAGAATCGGACATTTTGTGGCTGCCGGGGCCGGGCTGGGGAAGAGCCAGTTGTACCAGGCGTACAAATACTGTAAGAGAGCCGTGATGGATGTCATGTCTCGAGTCGAGAATGCGTTGCGGGTGTAAGTGCAACAAGGTTACGGTCTGTGGTTGGAGTAGGGCATAGTTGCTGGCATATTCCAGCGTTAAATAGAAAAAAAGAGACGGGAAAAACGACAGATGAGTCTGGAAGAGCCTGGGCCTTACGATAAAGTTAAATTGGTGAGGCGACGACGTGTGGCTCTATCGTAGCCTTGCAACAGAACAAGGTGGCTAAACGCCATTGCATGTATCAAACTACCTACGCAGTACTTGGCAGCAGAAGGGATTGTATAGTAGATTAGTAGGTGATACAACTCCCAGCTAGGGTATCTTTGAGCCTCACGATGGAGTAAAAATGGCTGGATGACCCGTTGTCTACGACGCTCGCTTCCATCGTAGCCTTGCAACAGAACAAGGTGGCTAAACGCCATTGCATTTATCAAGCGGCCTCGTAGTACTTGGTAGTAGATGGAGTAGCATACTAGATTTAGTAGGACTCCTGGTTGCGGTATCTTTGATGAATGCATCTTGTAGAGTTGTGGCGGCAATACTTTGCAAAGCAAATCGCTCATTTATGCGAGGAATAGTAACCATCGCGACTTGAAACGGAGCAAAGTGGCTAAACGCTGTTGCCATGCAAGCTACCTGGATAGTACTCGGCAGCAGATGGGACAGTACATCACATCAAGAGAAATCCAACTCCTGATGCTGACATCTCTGAGCAAGATGGTTATCACAACTGTACCAGCAATGATTCGCCAAGCAAATCGCTCATTCACGCTGAAAAGCGACTTGTCAAAGGCGGACAGGCTGCATATGACGAGTCGCCATGGAGAAGTATACCGCCATGCTTTGTCGATCCCGCCGAAGCCACCGCCACTCAGTAGCAGCCGTTGCAGCGCAGATGCAGTGGCTGGGAGCTAGAAGCCGAAAAGAGAAGCCAGAAGGAGAGGCCAGGAAGAGAAGCCAGAAACTGCGGCGTGGAGAAGCGAAACGCTCAAAGCGAGCAGCTGGGCCACGGGGGTCAGGTCACTGTGGACAGTCTTAGCGACTCCACCCGTCCAAATAAAGGCCTCTCTTCTCTCACTAAGCCCGCGCACCGCCTTCTCTGGCCGCCAGCTGTGCTATATCAGGCCTCTGTCCGTGATTCTTTTTCTCTGCTCTCCTATTCTCTCCTCTTTAATTCTCCTCTTGCACGCAGTTTGCGCTCCTTGTTCTGATCTTGCTGCGGGACAAGCACTCACCCATCGTCACGGCAAACATCCACCGTCCCTCTATCCTCACCGTCTCGCCAAACCCCCACCATGGATGACAGCAAGTTTCTCGAGGCCTCGGCCAAACACCCCATCGTCGACAACCACGTCTACAAATATGGCACTGCGGGCTTCCGCATGAAGGCCGACCTGCTGCCCGGCGTCTCGTTCCGCGTCGGCCTCATTGCCGGGCTGCGCAGCCGCAAGCTCAACGGCCAGGCAATTGGCGTCATGATCACCGCCAGCCACAACCCGGCCGCCGACAATGGCGTCAAGATTGTCGACCCCATGGGCGAGATGCTGGAGCAGGACTGGGAGTCGCACGCCACGCTGCTGGTCAATGCGCCCACGCACGAGGAGCTGCTCGAGACGTACAAGAACCTGGCCTCGCAGCTCAAGATCGACCTGGCCTCGCCCGGCCGCGTCGTCTACGGCCGTGATACTCGCCCCTCTGGCCACAGCCTCGCCGCCGCCCTGGCCGCCGCCCTCGAGGCCACCAACACCGAGTACACCGACTTCAAGATCCTCACCACGCCCCAGCTGCACTACCTGACCCGCTGCGTCAACACCGAGGGCACCCCCAAGGCCTACGGCGAGGTCAGCGAGGCCGGCTACTACAACAAGCTGTCGGAGGCCTTTGTCCGCGCGCTGCGGGGCAGACAGATCCAGGGCCACCTGGTTGTCGACTGTGCCAACGGCGTGGGCGGCCCCAAGCTCTCCGAGCTCCTCAAGGTCATTCCCAAGGACAAGACTGGCTTCAACGCAAAGGTTGCCAACGACGATGTGCTGCGTCCCGAGGTCCTCAACCTTGATGTGAGTACAAGTTCTCACCGACACTATCTACCCTCAATAAAATTCAAAGCTAATGTTCTTATCTTTAGTGTGGTGCCGACTTTGTCAAGACGAAGCAGCGAGCTCCCCCAAACGTCAAGCCTGCCGCCGACACCCGATACTGCTCCCTCGATGGCGACGCAGACCGTCTGATCTACTACATGGCCGACCCTGAGGCCGGCTTCTTTATGCTTGACGGAGACCGCATCTCGTCCCTCAACGCCTCCTTCATCGGCGACCTTGTCCGCTCTGCTGGCTTGGAGGATGATATCCGGATTGGAGTCGTCCAGACCGCCTACGCCAACGGCGCAAGCACTACATACATTGAAAAGAACCTGCAGCTCCCTGTGGTCTTCACCCCTACTGGTGTCAAGCACCTGCACCATGCCGCCTGCCAGTTCGACATTGGTGTCTATTTCGAGGCCAACGGCCATGGCACCGTTGTCTTCTCCCAGGAGGCTCTTCGTGTTTTCCGCGAGAAGGAGCCCCAGTCACCGGCTCAGAAGGATGCTCTTGAGACGCTGGCTGCTGTCGGCGATCTCATCAACCAGACCGTCGGCGATGCCATCTCAGACATGCTCATGGTGGAGGTCATTCTTGCCCACAAGGGATGGTCCCTTCAGGACTGGGCCACTACTTACACCGACCTGCCCAACCGCCTTGTCCGCGTCGAAGTCGCCAACAAGGACATCTTCGAGGCCACCGACGCTGAGCGACGCCTTAGCCACCCTCCTGGTGCCCAGGACGAGATTGACCAGTGCGTTAGGAAATACACTACGGCTCGCTCCTTTGCTCGTGCCAGCGGCACTGAAAACGCCTGCCGTGTGTATGCCGAGGCTGCTACTCGACACGAGGCTGATGAGCTGGCCAACAAGGTGGCCAACATCATCAAGCAGTTTGGCTCATAGTTTTCGTATGAAAATTGAGTAAATACGCAAGGGAGAAAACAAGTAAAAGACAAAAAACAATATACCAAAAAAAAATTATGAGGATCTGAGAGCAAGGAGCCGTATCAGTTGTTTTTGAGCTACTACTATCACGACTGGCAAACTACACAGGAGAAAAAAAGCAGTTGACGAATTTGAATGATGGTTACGAGTTACTGGGACGGCATTGCTGGAGTAGAGAATTTGCAAGATTTTACAAAAATAAAAAGGGCGATTGATAGAATTCGCGCAACGCTGACATAGATGTCCATATGGCCTAGGTAGTTTACCAGTTTTGGGGAGAATGCCTACTAGTAAATTAGGAGTGGCTGAGAAAAGTGCAAATATTTACAACTCTAGAAGATGCTTGGTCTTTCGATAGTAAAGTCTATTCATTAAGTTTTGTTTATTTTTCTAATTTTTTTTTTTTTTTTTTTTTTGTTTCTTTAAAGCTGCGATGGCCAGACGAATGTCTTGATGACTGATGCCGGCCGTGCCCACTAGACGCGTGCCTTTTTACTTGACGCGTGCACTAACACTTGCACTGTTTGATGTGCTTTGAATTCACGTTTAAACAGTTCACATTTAATTCCCTCCTTCTTCCCCTTCTTCCATCTTCATTATTCACTTTTAGATCTTCCAGACCACTTGCTCTCTTTATCCTACTCTCTTGTGCAATCCACAATTCTATTTTGGCTGTATTCTGGGATGGCTGTTCCGTGCAGCCCTCGGCAGCATGGAAGACTCTGAATGTGCCAACGCCCAGTTCCTGGCCTGGGTCAAGGAATGGCTAGATGTTGCCAGAGAACGCAACTCCAAGGGCGTCACCGCATACAGAAACGCCTATGAATCTCTCAAAGCATGCCCCATTGCATTCGAGCATCCCGCATCGCTGCAGCAGCTCAAGGGATTTGGGCCAAAGCTCTGCGAGCGGCTTGAAGACAAGCTGAAGCAGCACTGCCAGCAAAACGGACTGCCCATGCCGGAGCATCCCCAAGTCAGGAAAGCCAACGAAAGGGCCCAGCAAGAGGAAGGCGATGCGGAGACCGGACCCAAGAAGAAGACCAGGCAGCCCAAGGCATACGTCCCTGCGTTTCGATCGGGAGCCTATGCCCTGATACTCGGCCTTTCTCACCTGCCTGAAGATGTATCCTCCAGCTTGACCAAGACAGAACTGATAGAGGCCGCACAACCACACTGTGACGCCTCATTCACTACGCCAGTTGACACGACAAAGTTCTACACTGCTTGGAACTCGATGAAGACGCTGGTTCAGAAGGAGCTGGTGTACGAAAGAGGACGGCCCCTACGCCGATATGCATTGACGGACGAGGGCTGGGCGGTAGCTAAACGAATCAGGGAGACGGCGCAGTGGCGAGATGAAAACATGTCCAGCGTGCAACAAGGGCCAAGTCAGCGCCCGCAGCCACCGTCTATACCAGTAGAAGATGAAGACTTGATGCCCATTGCCAATGAAGCCGTAACAACAACAGCCGATGAGCCTTTGTTTTATAGGAACATCGTCTCAGATGGCCCGGTTGTTTTGGAAGATGAAGATTTACCCACCTTTACTCCCATCATTCTCCCTCCTGGGTCTTTTACCGTGCACCTGCTACTCGACGTTCGAGAGGTCAGAGCCAAAACGGATCGAGACTATATGCAGGAGGAGCTGGTCAAGCAAGGGGTAAAGCCAATTATGAGAAGCCTAGAAGTCGGCGACGTCCAGTGGATTGCCAAATGCCATGATGCAGCGCTCTTATCAAGACACGGAGCAGAAGGAGACGAGATTGTCTTGGACTGGATCGTCGAGAGAAAGCGTCTGGATGACTTGATTGGAAGTATCAAGGACGGTCGGTTCCACGAACAAAAATTTCGACTCAACCGGGCTGGCGTGAAAAAAGTTGTCTATCTCATTGAAGAAATCTCCATGGATTCCGCCGCATATCAGAGATACGAGGAGGCAGTGCAGTCAGCCATTGCGTCAACGCAAGTAGTCAATGGCTATTTTGTGAAACGGACTCAAAAGATTGACGACACCATCAAATATCTAGCCAAGCTGACGGCAATGCTCAAGCGCACGTACGAGCAGAAGCAGCTGCACGTCATCCCAACAAAGGTCATCACTGCGCAGAATTACCCGCGCTTGATCCAGCACCTTTGTGAGAAGCAGCCCCCGGTTGGATATTATGTCACGTATCCGGCTTTTGCGTCTTTGGCTTCCAAATCGGAGACAATGACCCTCAGGGACATGTTTCTCAAGATGCTCATGACAACAAAGGGGCTTACCGGAGAGCGCGCGCTCGAAATCCAGCGCAGATGGAAGACGCCATATGACTTTGTCAAGGCGTTTCACGCGTGTGGATCAGATGAGCAAGGCAAAAAGCGCAAGAGAGAGCTTGTATGCAGCGAGCTGAGTCACTTGATTGGACGTAAAAAGATATCCAGACCCCTGAGTTACAAGATTGCGGAAGTCTGGGGAGACGCTTAGAACATTTGACGCTTCAGATTTTTTTTAGCTTCTATATAAATACCCCCCCCCCCCCCCCCCCCCCCCCCCCCTTCAACTATTGCTAACGCTGCATTATTATGGCTTTGCACCCTGGCTCTTTGCAATGACACGCTCAACAATCTTCTCAAGAAGAGGGATCGAAGAAGCGTTGCCGTCGCCAAGAATACCGCCCAGGGACTTTTCAGCGTACTTGGCCATCATGTCAACCTCGATGTTGACGGTATCGCCCTTGACCTTGTTTGCCAGGACAACTCTCTCCTGAGAGTATGTAATCAACATAATCTCCCACCACCCCTCAGCATCATTGACTTGTGTGACAGTCAAGCTGGTTCCATCAATGCCAATGTATCCCTTGTACACAATATACCGCAGAAACTCCCTCTTCTTTGGCTGGAACCGGAAAGTGAGAGCATTGCCATCCGGCGTTACTGAGAGGATCTCGGCGGTTGTGTCGACGTGGCCCTGGACAAAGTGGCCGCCCATGCGGGTGTCGGCCCTGACGGCGCGTTCCAGGTTCACCTTGCCGGACTCTACGAGCGTGCCGAGGTTGGTGATGCGCAGCGTCTCGGGCGCGACGCCGATGGTGAAGGTGTCCTTGGAAAAGGACGTCACGGTCAGGCAGACGCCGTTGACGGCGATGGAGTCGCCCTCGTGGCAGTCTGCGAGGAGGCTGGATCCGGGGGAGATGGTGACGGTCATGACCGAGCTACCGGTGGCGGCATCATTCTCGATGCGAGAGATGGCTTGGCTTTGATGTTAGTTGACGAGTGCCATTATAGCGATATGATAAATGCTGTCTTACTGCCAATCTCTTCGACAATACCGGTGAACATGGTGTCTGATGCGAATGGAATTGAATCTGGGTTTGAGTCTTAGTTTGACGTCAAGTCAAGTCTTGGAATCCTTTAGAAAGGTTACTCACACGATAAGTGAAAGACCGCTCAGCAAAGCCGTGAATAAGCCGAGACTACGGAATACGGTGTGCAACGATGTGGGATGGATCGCTTTTGAGACCAGGCAACTTGTTATATGCTCTGTAACAATATCAAAAAAAATTATCGAGAAGCAACCCGGTATGAAACAGAGATTAAGATGCTAAATTGACTGATTGTTAGCTTCAACTCGCTTCGCTTCTCAGCCAACTAAGCATGAGGCTAGTCTTACCAATCTCTCAGCTCGACAAGTCTGGTTGATGCCAAAGCAGCAGAGCCCCCGCATGTAATTGTTCGTTCGCAGTCAAGCTTATCGATAACGGCCCCGCCAAAAAATCTCAAGTTTTCAAAATGGAATTTGTGAGTGCGATGCGACTGAGCCGTCACAGCTTTTGTGTTGGAATTCATTCTCCTTATACCATTTCTCACCAACTTTTGCAACCCATTTTTTTTTTTAAAAAAAAACCTTTTCTGCATACATCTATCAGCAATATTTGAACTGTAATTTCTCGCATCTCATCACATTCTACCTATTTCTAATTAATTTTTATCAACCATGGCACCAGGCCGTGCCGGCGCCAAGAAGGACGCCCCCAATCTAAACAAACTTCTTGCTGATGCAGAGACTCAGTATGAAGTGGGAAATCTCGACGAGGCCATTGCCCTCGCGTCAAAGGCCCTGGAACAGACGGGAGAAGGCGGCGACTTTGAACTCAAGGCCCTGAACTTGCTGGGCGTTTTGAACGTGGAGGACGGTGAGGTGGAAGAGGCTCGCGAATACTTCTTACGAGCCGTCAAGCTGGACGAGGAGGGAGTTCTGGAGGAAAAGATTGGTGGCGGCCCCGAGAAGTTTTTGTTCCTGGCTCAGCTGAGTGACGAGGGCGGACAGGACAGCGTCCAGTGGTTCGAGCGCGGCGCCTCTGCTCTGCGGAAACAGATTCAGACACTGAACGACATCACCAACCGGACACGTGAGCAGCAGGCTGCTCTCGACGAAATGCAGAGCAAGCTGGGCGGCGTCCTGTGCGCAGTCGCCGAGGTATACATGACGGACCTGTCGTGGGAAGCGGACGCCGAGCAGCGGTGCGAGGCGCTCATCACCGAAGCCATGCTCATTGCGCCCAACTACGCCGAGACCTGGCAGACCGTGGCCAACGTGCGCATCTCACAAGAACGAGTCGACGAGGCTCGCACAGCGCTGAAACGAAGCCTGGAGCTCTGGCAGGATCTGCCCCCCGAACACCCTTCGGTGCCGGAATTCCCCACCAGAGTCGCCCTGGCGCGACTGCTCATGGAGACGGAGATGGAGGAGCAGGCCCTCATGGTGCTGGAGCGACTGGTCACAGACGACGATTCCAGCGTCGAGGTGTGGTATCTGGGAGGATGGTGCCTGTACGTTGCGGGCGAGAAGCTGCGCGATGCGAAGCAGCCCAACGGCGCCGAGGATGACGCCAGCGAGGAGTGGAAGGCGACGTGGGGTTACTCGAGGAAGTGGCTGACGCAGTCTCTGAAGCTGTATGAGCAGGAGGAGTATGAGGACGAGAGGCTTGGCGAGCATGCGTCGGAGCTGCTGCAGAGTATTAATAAGGAGCTGGGCGAGCCTCCGGAAGGGGAGGACGAGGAGGAGTGGTCTGGGATTAGCGATGATGAAGAGGATGGTGATGAGGAGATGCAGGGTTAGAAGGAATATTAAAATGGGGAGGGATTAATAGTGAAATTTGGATGAATGGCGTTTAGACAAAAAAGGGTTCAGATTACGAAGAAGAAAAAAAGGATCGGTTTGGACGAAGTGAGAAGGCCATCACTAGATACGACAATCTAAATTTTTTATGACATGACCATTATCTCTCAGCATGAGACGTTTTTGTGCCAAACAAAACGACTTTTGAATGGATCAGCCAAGCATTGCAATGATTTTTACTTCTTTTTCTTTCTTTTTTTCTGATAGACATGGCGTCTGTTCTGTTGCTTCTCTCTTCTTTGCAGATTGTACAAGATTCCCAAAGAATAAGGACGTTTTATAACTCCACCGAACAAAATAATAAACTCCATACACGTTTTAAAAGAACAGAAAACCCCAAAGTTAAAAATGCACCATAATCTTTTTTTTTTTTTTTTTTTTTTTTTTTTTTTTTTTTCAATTCAAGCAGCCTCCACCTTGAGCTGCTCAACACCATCCGCCAACCCCTCCTCCTCATCAGCAGCAACATCATCCTCCTCAACCTTGCCCGCCAAGCCTCTCTCCCAAAGCTGCCGCCCCGTCAACTTGACGGGCTCCTTGACCTTGGCCTTTTTCAGCTCCGCCAGCCTCTCCTCCTCCTCGCGCAGGCGCTGCTCCTCCATCTCGCGCAAGAACCCCTCGCGCCACTTGAGGAACGTCTCGGGCGTGACGGCCGTGCCGTGGAACTTTTTGTTCTCCTCGCGCTCGGCGGCGAGGGCGGCCTCCTCGGCCACCTTGGCCTCTGCGTCGCGGCGGTCCTGGATGAGCTGCTCGGCGGCTTCCTTGAGGGTGGAGTAGAGCGTGAAGATCATGGCCATGCCGAGGTTCTCCTGGATGGTGTCGGCGAGGTTGGCGAGCAGCGCGTCACGGTCGTCGCCGACGTTGAAGTGCAGGTGCGCGGGGGCGTTGGGCGGAGCGATGATGTCGAGGCGAGGCGCGACGTCGGGGTATTCGTCGGGGTAGCGCACGGCGAGGAGGAAGCTGGGCGGTTCATTGTCTGTGTCGTCGGCGGGCTCTTCGCCGGGGACGTCGAGGATGATGTTTATTCGGAACTCGGTCTCGGAGATGTCTGTGGGAGAAGACGATTAGTTGGCAACTGTATATGGAGGAGAGCTGCTTGTTTTTTTTTCTCTTCCTGTTCTGGCTTGTCGCTTTTTTCTGTTCTGTTCTGGTGTTGAAAGAGACGGGATGTCAAGGCCAAGACAGGTTTGCAGGCATACCTGTGATTTCTTCGGGAAAGATGGACTCGAGCACTTCGCGCTCCTCGACCTGATCTTCGCGACCCATTGCGGCGGCTGGAGATGCTGGTCTTTTCTTTGGATAGATGATGCTTGATGGAGCTTTTCTTATGGCTTGCGGTTCGGTTTGCTCTTTCAGGTGGGGTCGGAAGGCTGTATGGCGGGGTTCAATTCGTGGGGACGGCTGTTTTTAGATTGGAGCTGCGTTTAGAGATTTTGATATTGAGACATGCAATTGTACACAGAAAGAGAATGGAAACATGTGTGATTTGATTTTTATATATGTGGCTTTGAATGATATTTAGCCAAGTATGAATAATACAACTAATAATGATATCAAGAAGAGTAAACAACATCAAGAGCTAAACATCCAACTCCCAACTATATACAGATGTGCATAAATTGGCCACTCGCGATTTCAATATATACCGCCTTTACAATCTCACAACAGCGGGGTGGTGTACTGCTTCCCATCACAGTATTGCACAAACCCATCCAGGTCCATCTTCTTCAGCACCGTGCTGAACTTGGCAGACCCGGCCCCGATGCCGGAATCCGAGCAGAGAGCAGTAGCCCGCGAGGCGTCAATGTTGGGAGCACCTGAAGGATACTCAATGTGGAAGACGGGCTTGCCGGCCTTGATAAAGGGCTCAAAGGTCTCGCACTCGGAGTACTCGGCGCACTGCTCGTTGACGGAGAAGTTGATGAAGCTAATCACCTTGGGGATGATGTCGCCGGCGTTCTTCAGGCCAATGGACATGTTGTACGAGCTAGCCACGCCTTGGAGAAACTTGAGAAAGTCGATGGAATCCTGTTGAGTCAGATTGAGCCCATTGTCGTTTTGCTAATCATATGAGACACACGTCAGCTTCTATGAATTCTTAACTTTAAAATAAAAAGGAGGCGGCTTACATAACCATCGACGTTGTCGGGGTCAATTGCATCACAGCCCTTGGACGACGCAAGCTTGATGCGGTCACTCATGATGCTGCGAACATTGGGGCTGCTCAGGTTCAACCATTTCTCATCGGGCCATCCGTCGAGAGTCTTGCCCAGGTCCGACGGTTGGAAGCGGTCTTTGTCGGGCCGATAGTTTTCATAGGAGCCCGCGCTGAAGTAGCAGATGACCTTCTTGCCGTCGTTCTGCAGCGTCTTGAATGTTGCCGCGTCGTTGGTGAAGAGGTCCAGGTCGAAGATGCCGACGTCCGGATCTGGGGCCGTCTTGTTGTCGAGCTTGATGGCGCCTTGGAGCACAATCTGCCATGTCGCATTGACGCCGGGCTGCCACGTAGACGTGCGACTGGAACCGCTCGGGAGGCTGTTGGGGTCGTTTGAAGAGGATGAGCTCGAGCTGTCGCTGTCGGAAGGGTCCCCGTGACCGCCTCGCTGCGTCAAGCCGACGCCCAGGCCGACGCCGAGACCAACAGCAGGGACGAAGAGAAACGCGCCCGCAATGGCGAGGACCTTCCAGCGCATCCACGGCTGCTGGCCCTTGCTTGATCCGATGAGTCCCATGTTGTACAGTAGATGCTATTCGACGACTATTATCTGTTGTGACCCCCAGATCGATGATGAATTGCGAGACAGTGTCTTGATATTTATCTCTACATGATATACCGCCGCTGCGGAAACTCGCCGAGAAATCCTGCCTCTATAGCGCATTTCAACTGGGAAGCCGTTCCTTTAAAGCTTTTAGCTACATAATTTACGTTTTTTAACTCTTCTAGGGCCGCAACTTCATGCCCAGAGTCGCAGTCGCGATGGTTTCATGTATCGAAAAGGAGGATGCGGCGCAGCAGGGGCTAGAAGCGTCCTCACTGTGGCTCAGGAGTCTGTAGTTCTGAGTAGCTCAGCGCCACAGCAGTTCTAGGCGCTCAGAGCAGAGTTTGAGCGGACCACTTGTCAGACAACACCGGCTAGGCAGGAAGAAGCAAGAGGAGCGTCATAGGGGACCCACTACTTAAAATAGAGATTGGCAGCAATTGTGCAAGAAACAGGTTGACAGGGGGTCCATTCTGTACCGAGTACGAGGCTCGTAGCGTGTCGAAAATTAATTCCATCTCGAGTTTTGTGTAGAAGTGGCTTTTGTAAGGGTCGGTCGCAGGTAGCCGGTACATGCTGCAGGAGGGTGCGTACTCTGACAGAAGCGGCGATAAAACGTCCGCCAGGCCGCGTGTGGTTGAAACAACCCCGGCATTTCCCATGTGATTTGTCTGCGTTGTACATGTGTGCTTGTGTCTTGTACTCGGTACCTGCAAGCCCTGCCCATCTGTCGATATCGCATTGGCCGGAAATCGGTCTTCTGCTCCCCCTTGCTTCGGCAGGCACCGGACCAGCATATGGAGTCTACTGATCCCTGGTGCTCAGAAACGAATAGAACCCCAGCAAGGCGAGAGAGGCGAACAGAAGAAAGGGAAAAGGAAAAGAAAAGAAAAAATTCATCGCCTTGGGCTTGTCCAATCTGAGGCCCTGTCTGGCGTGCCTTGATTATGCAGGCCGCATGCGAGATAGTGCCATGCAATGCGGCGCTGATGCAACGCTGCAGCAGGCAGGGGGCACTTAGCGACCCTTCAGCGCTGTCTAGTGGCCTGTCCGATGGGCTCGACCGCCCACGGTGGGCACTGCAGCGAGCACGATAGGCCCCCCCAGCGCTGTTCCAAGGCATGCAGCTGGATGGGCCCGGCGCAAGCTGTGCAGCCTCGCGAGAATCGCACGATTGCGCTGGTTCGACGGCTTCCAGCAAACGCGTCGCAGTGTCTCGCAGGCCGTGGCTGCTTGCGGTCAGTGGCCTGGCCCATTGGCCACCAAGGCCGCGCCCTGCTTCTTGCACGCAGTCAAGAGAACAGAGGTACAGAGTACCCGGCCATGCTACTGGAGGCACTATCCGACGCTTATCTGGTCCCAGAGCAGAGCTGCAATAACGCCCCCACCGCCCAAAGGCTCACCGGCCACATTTAATTTCGCACGATTTCAAACTAGCAAGACCTCGTACCTTCGAAACTCATACTGTCCTTGACGCCGCTGGTTCTTCCATCCCGGGCTGTGGCGACCCTCGAGCTTCTTTTTCGTCATCATCTCGTGGTCATCGTCTTTTCGATTCTTTTGTTCCTCGATTGCTTCGATTCCCATATTCCCCCCTCCACCTTATTTTACCTCCCCCCTCCGGCCACGTTGTCGACCTCATTAATATTCCTAATTCTTAATCACGACCATGGGTAGCTATACGTTCAAGTGGTGAGTTTTGCGCTTTCCTTTTTTGCGACACAAGTTTTGCGCCGCGAAAGCATCTCCGATCCAAGAACAAAGAAAGAAAAAAAAAAAAAAAATTCCGGTACTGCTCTCACCAATGGCCACGATTTTTTGCGAGACCACGAGATCAGACGAAAAAGAGATGAGCCTCCACCGGCTTGGCGCGGAATCGAAACGACGCCGCTATGGATTTACGCTATGAGACGCCGAGCTGAGCTGACGTTTGGGCTGTTGTTCTGATCTAGGGAGCATCCCGCCGAAGAAGTGTTCGTCACAGGCACTTTCGACAACTGGACGAAGAGCGAGCAGTTGCCCAAGGAGGGCGACGTCTTCCAGAAGACTGTCTTTCTGAAGGATGCCTCGCAGAAAATATACTACAAGGTGGGTTGAGATGCTGTCCTCGTGTAGCCGCCGCTGCCCTGATTCCGTCCGTTTGCTGTCTCTGAGCCACGTTTTGCGGCGCTCTTCTTTCCCTTTTCTCTCTCTCCTGATTTGCGTTACGACATGTACCAATCCCTCTTCTCCCCATTTCATGCTGCACCGGCGACCGTCGCCGAGCTTGCTTTGCCAGCTTCAATGCGCCGTCTATCCCATCTCTCGATCTGATCCACTGGGGGCTAGTGCCTCCCTTGTTCGCAATGCCGCAGTAGACGCCCGCCCAATCAAGCCGCCCGTTGCCGTCTACGCACACGATCCCGCGAGATGCGATTCCAGCCGCGGCGCAAACCATTGGAGACGAATCGGCCAGCCAGAGCCTAGCTGGATCGGATTGCGTCCCCTGATGGCCGCTCGGCGATGGGAGGCCTGTCGCTGGGCTGGTGCTGGCTGTGGCTCTCATCGCGGCGTGTTCGCAGGCTCTGCAGCGGTTTGCGCAACTTGCCGGATCCCCCCCCCCCCACGGCGCTGTCGCAGTCGTTCGGCACGGGGGGCTGTGACGCAGCGCAGCGCAACGCAACGGCTCGCGGGGTTGGACGGTTGGTGCTGATAACAGCGCTGGTCATCCGACTCGCCAATCCTTCCTCCTCTTCCGCCGCCTAGCGCTCGTCGACTGCGACCACAGCCCGGTGTAGCGGTGAGATTCCGCGGCCTTTGCTTTGCGCCACAGCCGCAATGACAGTGGTGATCTCCCCAAAGTCGTCGGTTGGCCTGATTGGCGCGCTGCCAAAGTCCGCTGCTGATCAAGGGGACTTAATCTACTTAATTCTACCTACCTAATCCATCTCGTCCATGATTCCCACTAAGCAGCCGCTTAATTGGGGGGATTGGGCCAAGCCCCCTTGTCTTCGTACCAAAAGCCCCCGCTCCGGCCTGGCCAACCCCCTTCCAAGGCTGTTGTCGTGCATATATCACGTCACACGCACCTAGATAGTGGATTCAGCCTGTTACGCACTGCATCATAGTACATATATATTTCTTGCCCGTCCTCTCCAGCAACACGAGGCTATTTCTGCCTGTCGAATCTTTTTTTGCTGACTTCTTCTTCTTTCTTCGCTCCCGCTTCTAGTACGTCGTTGACGGAGACTGGACCGTAAACGAGTCTTCCCCCAAGGAGGCTGATCTCGAGGGCAACGTCAACAACTTCATCACACCCGCGGACATTCTCTCATCCGACCCCGCAGCTGCTTTCATCAGCACCGTTACTCCTCAGTCCACCACCGCTAAGATGGCGAGCGAGCAGCCCATTGACAAGCCTGAGGGAACTGCCACCCCCTCCGACGTCCCTGGAGGCTTCCCGATCACCCCCAGCACTGAGCTGGATAAGCCCATCAGCGTCAACCCTCTGCCCGCTGCCGCTGGTGCCATCAACCCCATCAAGCTTGCGCCTGGTGAGGAGGTTCCTGCCGTCGGCATTGAGAGCACCAATGAGCACGTCAAGCTGGACAAGGAGTCTTATGAGAAGAGCGATGCTCTCCCCGGTGTCGACGCCACCGAGCTGCCTCCTGTCACCAGCAACATGATTCCCGAGTCCAGCCTCCCCGTCGTTGCCGCTCAGGATGCCCACATCAGCACCATCAACCCTGGTGCCACAACCGTCGGCCTGGCTGCCCAGGTTCCTCTCGAGGCCGCCAAGGTCCCAGAGGTCGTCAAGGAGAGCCAGGAGAAGGCAGGCGTCGAGCCCGAAGCCGCTGCTGACCCCAAGGAGGTCGTGGAGAAGGCTCAGGTTGAGGAGGAGCTCAAGGAGAAGGTCACTGAAGCCCCATCCACCTCCGAGGGCACTGCTGGTGTCGGTACCGAGAAATCGGAAGCCGACAACACCGACACCCTTGCTGCTGTTGCCGCTGCCGCCGCCACCACTGGCGCCGCTGTCGTCGCTGCTGTCGTTGCTGCTTCAGATAGCGCTGTCGAGGCCGCGACCCCTGTTGTAAACGATACTGTTGCGGCCGCTGCCGATGCTGCCAACAAGAACCTTCCCGACTCCGTCAAGGAGAACCTTCCTGCACCTATTCAGGAGACTTTGGCTTCGCATGAGGCTGCTGTCAAGGAAGAGACACGAGAGGAGGTCTCTCCCGAGGTGCCCGCCGAGGTCAAGGAGTCGATCACTGAGGCTGGCAAGAGCCCCGAGGCTGCCGCCAACACCGCCGCCGTCGAGGAGAAGAAGGAGGTTGAGGCTGAGCTGCTGAAGGAGGTCAAGGCGGTCCCTGCCGTTGACGAGACCAAGGCCGAAGAGACCAAGGCCGAAGAAGCCAAGGTTGTGGAGGCTGCGCCTGTTGTCGAGCCTGTTGTCGCGCCTGTTACCTCTGCTACCATCACCGATGTGCAGGCAATCGACAGCCCCGTCACTGAAGTTAGCAACGTCCAGGTGACCAAGACCGAGGTTCCCCTCGAGGAGGCCCAGAAGGCTGTCCCCGTGGTTGAAGAGCCCAAGGCTGAGGAGCCCAAGGTCGTGGAGCCCCAAGCTGAGGTGGCCAAGACCGAGGCACCAGCCACCACAGTCCCCGTCATTGATACAACGGTTGCTTCCGAGCCTGCCAAGGCCGACGCTGCCGTTGATACTCCTGTAACCGAGACCGACAAGACAGAGGTCCCTCCCACCGAGGCTACCACTGAGGCACCCTCCAAGGCCAACGGCTCGACCGGCTCTCACGATGATAAGACGTCTGAGAAGAAAAAGAATCGATTCAGCGCCTTCTTCAGCCGATTCAGACACAAGGTCTCCAACTAAGAGTCATGAGTGGATGATAGAGACCGCGCGTCGTCATGTTGAAACGCCTGGTTTACGGTTTTTACGGTGTCAGTTTTTCTTTGGCTGCTGGAGTGGCTTTGTTTATATGTCTATGATTCCCCACTTTGGCAGAGAAGTGTGACTTGGGTCGAATAACGTCGGATACCTGGATCACCATTTCATATACCTAAATTCATTCCGTTTCTTTTCCTCTTCCATTCTTGCGCTCGTTCCCCTCACAGTCTTGCTTTGTGTCGCTGGCTCTTTCATATGATGCTTACTCTTGTTGGATATGCTATGTGTGTAACCTGTGTCCTTGTGTGTGTTTTCTGAGAAGGAAAGTCGGCCAGTCACATCTTATTTTGCCTGCAGATGGATACTCGAGATGGGCCTTAGACAGCTTGTAGCTATTGTTGCGTCTCTCATTGTGCTGCTATGGCGTAAGGCTTGGCAATTTCTACTACTACTACTATTACTACTACTACTACCTAGTTCGTTTTTATCATGTGGCATGGGATGGCAAACCCCCCATGTAGATATTTCTGCCTGCTTTAATGTCTATCATTACTTTTTCTTCATTCTTCAGATACTCTTTGCTCCCAATGGATCCATGTCTGCATAGGAGGCTCCAATGGTAACTGGGTGAGGAGAATTGCTAGTTTGGTCCATACCTTTCCCAGAGTTCTTCTGCGGGGATGGCTCGATCCCTGTTGTGACTCATTGTCCGGAATATTTGCCCATTTTTTTCGTAAGATAGGTAGAGAGCATGTACCTTGTACAAGGGTACACGGCCTGCTACGAGCTCCAAGCAGAAGCAATCGCTGATGGCAAATGAGACGCAACTTTGAAGGCCTTAATCATGCGCTTTCATGTGCGCAAGCAGGCCATCATTACTAACTGTGACGACATTTTGGCTGAATTGATAGGCATTGATAAAGTCACATGCATCATCACGTGTTGTGGCTTGCCACGCCGGAGCTTACGAGCTCGCGGTTCAAGCAGCGTGCCTTCAGCCCCGCCCATCATTTGTCGTCCGAACCTCTCTCTATCTGACACTATCCTCCAAGACCGGGGCCAGCCGGGTCCCTTTTGGAGAAGCTCCAGTGGCCATCTTTTCCTTTTCTTTTCTCTTTGCATCACTTTTCCTTCTTTTTTCCTCCATTGCTCATCAAACCATCCATACCCTTCGCTTCTCGCCACCCTCTTCTTGCCTGGCTACTACGGATAGTTTGACGGCAAGACGAACTGCGACCATCGCCGTGCAGTTCGTGGGCATGCTGGACTTGGCGCCCTCCGCTTCCGATGACCTGGGAGGCTGAGCAGTCAATCAGCAAACCATCGGCCCTGACTGCTTCCATCGTCTGCTCGATCTTCTCACAATGAATCCTTCGAACCCGAGCGCGGGCAAGTCCCTTCAAGTCCAGTCAAATTATCCTCCGGCCGCTCAAGCAGCACCGGCACTGCCGAGTTTCGAGACGTCTCGCCGCGCGAACCCAGCAGCCGGGGGTTCTTTACCGCAACCCACGCCCCGAAAGGGACAGGGCTCTCGAAACCAACACCGACCCCAGCGCCGGCATCACTTGGGGGAGAGAATGGTCGACCAGTACGACGCCATGGCGGAGCTTCGAGCACTCAGAAACCCGACCAGCCGGCGTGGACAGACATCCATTACGCATCTTTTGAATTACTCAGCACCGTTGCATCATCATCACCACGACCACGGCCATCACCACCACTCGAACCCCAGGTCATATCGGCGAAATCCAACTTGGGGTCCGGGCTCGGGATACCATGCTGTTGATAAATCCAGATACGTCCATGCCAACTACCGCTTCGTCGTCTCTCCGGAGGGAGACTACTCCAAGAATGCCGCCGATGCCGACCTTTTCTTGGACTGGTCCAACGTCCTGCAGGTGATTGCTTCATCGGAGTCACAGGCGGCCTCATGTCCCATCTGTTTGTCGGAACCAGTGGCTCCCAGAATGGCTAAATGTGGGCATATCTTCTGCCTCCCGTGCTTGCTTCGCTTCATGAACTCGGTGTTGAACGATGAAGAGGCGAAACCGGGCAAGGGTGCCAAATGGAGGAAATGCCCCATCTGCGAAGACAGCATCTATCTTCCTGAAGTACGACCGGTGCGATTTTACGTCGGCCAGGAGAGCCCCCTTCCCCGAGTTGGGGATGACGTTGTCCTGAGGCTTATGGCGAGGAACGCCGACTCTACGCTTGCTCTCCCGCGGGAAAGTGGAGCAGAAGTGCTCAGCTCCGGTGATAGCATCCCGTGGCACTTCGCTGCCAATGTCTTGGATTATGCTCGTGTCATGAAGGGCACGGGCGAATACATGGCAGGCCAGTATGATGAGGAGATTGAGACGATGCTACAGCAAGCCATGGAAGATGAAGCGTTGTTTGGGCAAGACAATGAATGGACTCAAAAAGCCGTCAAAGCTGTCAATGCAGCAAAGGAAAAGATTGTTACTCTTGGTATGGCCGATGGGTCAAATACAGCATCGCTCTCTAATCCGGTGAGACCGTCATCAGATGCCGATTTTTATTTTTACAGCGCCCTGCCTCACCTGTATCTTTCTCCTCTGGATATCCGGATCTTGAAAACCACATATGGATCCTTTGAGGCCTTTCCTTCCACATTGTTACCTAGAATTGAGCACATCTCAACCGGGCATGTCGTCGATGATGCGGTACGAAAACGGGCAAAGTATTTGGGGCATCTTCCTTATGGCTGCGTCATTAGCTTCCTGGAATGCGACTGGACAGATATTGTCCCTGCTGAAACGCTAGAGTCCTTCATGCCAGATATTGAGAAGAGGCGAAGTCGTAATCGTGATAAGGCTGCACAGGAAGAGCGAGAACGCCTTCAGTCCGAGAGGATAGAGGCGGCTGCCCTTCGAAGCCTGACTGGGTCTCGACGGCCGCAATCCCCGCCTATTGAACTTGATACGCCTCCATTCATGGACATGTCGGAGTTTCAGCCTTTGGCGGCACCATCTGGTACAACGCCTCCAGAGCCGAGACCGGGATTCTCCACTCTGGCTTCAATGTCAACCAGCCCGTCTACTCAAAGGACGGTCTGGGGCACTCCCGCGCTCTCAAATACTCCTGGAATGGAAGACATCCCTCCACCTACCAACGCTGATGACGGGTGGCTCAAGGATGAAGAGTTATTTCTCAGCCCAAGCGAGCTTGCTAGGCAAATGGAGGCCTTGAACACCCTCGATAAGGACGAGAATGGACAAAGCAGCAATTCTCGAACCAGCGGCGGAGGAGGTGGAGGAGGTGGTGGTAAGAAGAAGAAGAAACAGAAGATTACGCTCATGAGCACTGGTGGGCGCCGTGGCATCTAAGAGGTCCGATAGATCGATACCAAACATGATTTTTTTATTTTTTAATATAGTTTTCCAAGGGATTGCATGTTCAGGCTGGGTTGGAGTTGTCTTGGGCTCCAAGGGGAGTGATGTGATTGAAGAAGTTTTTATATATAAATATTTAAGACACTCACCCATCTATCATAGCCTATTGAGTGGTTTAGCAATGGGCAATGACGACTTACAACGAGATTTCGTTGTTAGTACGACTTACAAGGTCATTCACTCACTATGCTAGATTGCGTAGCATAACACAAGCGTTGTTTGATCTAGTTATTAACCTTCAGATAAGAAATTCATACTCATGCTTATTCATATATAATAACATTCAATCTCAATTTCAGTCTCAAAAACGTTCATATGTGAAGCTGGGCTCTGGATCTTCATCATTGATTGCTTATCGGCTCTTATCGCGATAAGGTATCCTGCTGCGGGGCCAGCAACTTTTGGTCAATCAACTGAAATTTTTTTCCGCTACCATAGCCAGCGTCGCGTTATCGCAACTAGCCTCTGCTATCAGAAGGCAAAAGGAAAAAAAAAACTTTCTTTTTATAGAGCATGGCAGCAAACACATCGCCAGCTCTGACGTCTTCGTCGCACACAATGACTGGCCTACCGCTCACGTCGGTGCCGTCAATCTCGCCCACGGGCATCAATGGCAGCGAAAACAACAAGCTGCTGCTGTCTTTGCTAGAGAGCCTGCGGCCGGAACAGCGGCACGTATTCTTGCAGCCGAGCGATGCGCTGCCGACGGGGTCATTGAATGTGGTCAAGGACACCCTGGAAGGATTCGCTACGGAGGTTGGCGAGGAGCAGGAAATCAGACTGAAAGAGACCCGGAAGAGGAAAAGAGAAGGGTGGCCGAGGAAGGAGGAGATTGATGTGCTGAAGCTGCGAAAGGTGTATGTCGATGGATTCGAGACGGATCAAGTGTGGCAGCAGGCGAGAAGAATAATTGGAAGTGTGCTGAAGTTTTCGGGAGGGTTGTTGGATGAATTGGAAGAAGAGGGCGAGGTAGTAGGCGCAAAGCAAGATGATGCTGAGGATGAGGAGTTGGAGGACGAAGAAGAGGACGAGGAGGAGGAAGGATCAGAGGAGGATCTCGACGCGGAATTGTCTGAGGATCAATTAGAAGAAGATCTGGAAGACGAAGACGAGCTCGAAGAAGATCTTGAAGAAGAATTGGAGAATGGTCTCGACGATGAACTAGACGAGGAAGAGGATGAGGATGAGGATGAGGAGGATGAGGAGGATGGCCAGGAGCTTGTCGAAGATCCAGATGGCCTCAACGACGGCTTCTTTAACATTGATGAGTTCAACCGACAGTCACAATACTTTGAAGAGCAGGACGCAAAAGGAGACCCCAATACCGATCGGAACAGCGATGACGAAGATATAGACTGGGATGCAGACCCAACATTACAGTCAAAGCCTGGGTCCAAGAAATCATCCAATCACAACTTGGAAGATGATGACGAAAACCCGCTACAAGATGAGGATGAGGAAGATGACGATGACGAGGATGGTCCAACATTTGGTGATATGGCTCTCGACGCACCGGAAGGCGACAGTGAGGATGAAGCTATGGACGATGAGGCCATGGATGACGAAGGCATGGATATGAACGCAAACGGGGTCTTCTACAGAGATTTCTTTGCGCCACCCGCCAAGAAGGGCAGGCCTGGCAAGCCAAAGAAGAGCGTTCACTTCAAGCCGATACAACCTGCCGATGAGGATGTCGACAGAGCCATGGCCGATGTGCGCCGAGATCTCTTCGACGACGAGTCCGACAACGACTCAGAAGACGCCCTGTCCGACGTCTCAGCGGGCGATCCCAAGTCCCGACGATCCGCGCACGAGCGAAGGCAAGCCAAGCTGGCCGAGGAGATTCGCAAGCTCGAGGCCGCCTCCGTCGCAAAGCGCGAGTGGACGCTCTCTGGTGAAGCCGCCGCCGTGGACCGGCCGGTCAACTCCCTCCTGGAAGAGGATCTCGAATTCGAGCACGTCGGCAAGCCCGTTCCCGTCATCACGCCGGAAGTGACTGAGGGCATTGAGGACATGATCAAGCGACGAATCTTGGCCCAGCAGTTTGACGAGGTCCTGCGCCGACGGCCGGATGTCGATGGCGTGCCCAACGGAACCCGCCGTGGCATGATTGAGCTCGACGACAGCAAGCCCAACAAGAGCCTTGCGGAGGTGTACGAGGAGGAGCACGTCAAGAACGCCAACCCGGATGCCTACGTCAGCCAGTCCGACGAGAAACTGCAGCGCGAAGAAAAGGAGATCCAGGCAATGTGGGGCGATCTCTCCAGCAAGCTCGACGCCCTCAGCAGCTGGCAATACAGACCCAAGCCCAGCGCGCCCACCGTCTCCGTCGTTTCCGACGTCGCCGCCGTCGCCATGGAGGACGCCCAGCCGACAACCGCCTCCGCCATCACCGGCGAGTCCAGCCGCATGGCTCCTCAGGAGGTCTACAAGGCCGGCGCCGCCACCGCCGAGCAGGGCGAGGTTGTCACCAGCGGCGGCCTGCCCCTCGCGCGCCAGGAAATGTCCCGCGAGGACAAGCTGCGCCGCCGCCGTCGCGAAAAGGAGCGCATGCGCAAGGCGGGCGGCGCGGATGCCGCTGCTGCTGCTGCTGGTTCTACCAACGGCAGCGGTGGTGCGAAGAAGAAGCCGCTGTCTGCAAAGGCCAAGATGCAGCGCGAGACGATTGCGGATCTGAAGAAGGGCGGCGTCAAGGTGATTAATCGCAAGGGCGAGATTACGGACGTGGAGGGCAAGAAGACAAAGGTGACGGCCAAGATTGCCTCGGGAGGAAGCTTCAAGCTGTAGTCGGGGTTATGAAATCGAAGTTGAAAAAATGAAATAGCGAGGGGATTTTAAGAGGGAGGGGAGCATGGATAATTATTTTGCATCTCTGTATATTTATATGAGCTTTTTGAAAGAGCCATTCTTTCTAGAACACTTTTTTTGTTTCTCCATCATTATCAGCTGCTGTTAATGTTTTGTTTCTTTTAAAAAGTTCAACAAGTTGAAAAGCTGCATTATATAGCACGAGAAAAGGGGCGCAAAGAGAAAGAGAAAGAGAGAGTGAGCATTTGGTCATTTACTCAGCAGGAAGAGGACTTTTTAAACTTTTTTTTAATTCATTTTATAAATGCTTTCCTTCGCTTCCCGTCATATTCCAAGCCGGCATAGGTGGACTAATCTCATTATACAACCAAAAAGCAAAATTAAAAAAGGTGCAAGCATTGTTGAACCTGACCGTGTCAATTCATTACCCGTTGTGTGTGCGCCAACTCATAAGCTCCAATGGCCAAAACAACTGCAAAGTGGTTTTCTGGATCATTATTCGAATCTTCTCTCTCTCTCCATTCAGTCCTCGTTATCCCTCGTCCACTCCTAGACCCCCAAGAATCCCTCATCCCAACGAAAAAGGACTGGTGAATACGGTCAATTATAGAGTAAAACTAAACATAGCATTCTCTTCCAGAGTTCTTACCAGCGGCATAAGAAAAAAAAATCGGTAGTGAGTAGAAGGGCTTATTCCTTGGCCTCAGCAGGCTGCTCTTCCACCACCTTGGCCTTTTTCGATTCAAGCTCGGTAGATTCCTCGTCGGCCTTGCGCTTACTACCATTCGTAGGAGTGGTAGCCTCGTCATCCTTGGGCTTCTTTTTTCGCACAAGGCTTGAAAGGTCCACGGCGTTCTTGGTGGCCTCTTCAACGCGGGCTTGCACTTCAGCAGCAGATCCGCCGAGAGCAGCGCCGAGAAGGCCGCCTAGAGGGTTGACTCCTTCGCTCAGTAGGTCGCTGGCGCTGAGAGGATCTTTTTTAAGGTCGACAAGCTGTGATTTTATGTTAGCAAGAAGCGCGCTTGGCATACATGGAACCGAGACCAGGTCCTTCCGAAAGTCTGCAACATACTCTTTGCTCCAAGTCAGCAATGACCTCCTTCATCTCCTCAACGGCCTTGCGCGATAGCTCGTTGTCTTCTGGAGATGCTGAGCTAGCAATTTCGACTTCGATAGTCTGCATCTTGAGCTTGAAGCTCTTGATGGCAGCCTCCATCTCGACAACAGCTTCGTCGCGCAGGGTCTGGTCAATCTCCTCGCGCTTGGTGTTCTTGCCCTCATCATCAGCAACGGTAAGGGAGGCAAACTCTAGCGCAAGAGAGAGCTTGTAATGCGCCTCGGCGATGATTTCAGACTCTTCGGGGTACAGATCGATCTTGTAGTTGAGAGACGTGCGCCCATCCTCAATGGCGTTGGGGTATCTATACAGGACCATCCGATTAGCTGCGTCTCGCATCGTCATGGGCGCCGCAAGAGAAAAAGAGGATATCAGTTCGGTTAAACGTACCGCTCGTTCTCAAGCGAAATCTCGGCGAGGCAGTCGTGGGTCTCTGCCAGGCGCTCTTTGATGTGTCTGACGGCTGAAGAGTCTTCCTTGGCGGCTTCCTTGCCCTTGCCCTCTGCCTCTTCTTCTTCTCTCAGCTTCTCCAGCTGCTTGTGGTAGCAGACGCGGGCGAGATCGAGAATCTCAAAGGCAGTGGCAAGGTCGTCGTCTTCTTCCTCGTCTTGGTCTCCCTCTTCCTGGCCCTAGATTGGTTCAAACGATGGGTAATTAGACAGCGAACACAAAATGCTGGCATATTACCCACCTCGTCTTCGTCAGACTCGTCGTCAAAGTTCTCGTCGCCCGTGAACTGGAAGAAGAGCTTCTTGCCCTCTGGAACATCGCTCTTGTCATCGCCCTTGTTCTCTTTCCCCTCTGCTGGCTGGCCCGCAGTATTGGCAGCCTTTTCCTCGTCCGGTTTGGCAGCCTTCTTGGAGGAAGCACCGCCGTTTGCCTTTTTCTTCTCGACGGGCGCAGAGCCGCCGAGGACGTCGCTCTTGCTCTGGCCGACCTTGAACAAGCTGCGGCCGTAGTGGAACAGGATCTCGGCGTTCTCCGGTGCGGTCTCGCCATTGATTTCGGCCTGGAGGATGCTCGCTCTCGAAAAGATGTCGGCGGCGCCCTCGTATTTCTTGTGGGCGTAGAGCGCGGTGCCCTTGGCACTCAGGTCGGCGAGGGTGACCTTTTTCGACTTGATGTCATCGTCCACCTCGGACTCTAGCTCTGCCTCTGCGGGTGCCGCCGCATCGTCGTTTGCCTCTGCCTCGGCCTCAACTTGTCCAGCAACGTCAGTCTTGCTCGTCTCTTCGGCAATTGCCTCTGCGACAGGCGCAGCCTCGTCAGCTGGTCGCGTCTCGGCAACGGGATCCGCCATGGTGAAGAGCTTGCTTGGCAGCTTCGCAGCTATCAGACACACGCGACAGAAGGCGACTTAGTGAAGTGAGAAGAACAAAAAAGACGGTGTCCTCTTCCAATGTCAAAAATGCCAATCAGACAAGCTCGACTGCGATGAATTGATGATGCGCGACCCGGTTTCGAAGCCACAGAGATAGATGGCAATTGCAGAAGCAGAGAAGAGCAGCTGCCGTCGAGCGCAAACAGCTGATCTTTAGGCCGATTGGAAGTTGCTGCAGCCGTGACGTGCGTTCAGCTTGCTCGCGTGTGATTGGCCGAGAGACGGACAATAGAGTCGGCACTTTGTGGTGGCTGGGTGGGGCTGGAAGGCGAAGAAGAGTCGATTCCAGAGCTTCTCCAGCTTTGATCAGCGCTTACTTGTACTTGGACTTGGATTGCTGCGACGCTTGCTACCCTACAGGCCGCCCATCGATTTACAGTTTTGGCCATCTGGCGATTAGCTGCCTTTTGACGAGCTGGCACGGCGCCCATGACAAATAGCTTGCTGTGTTTAGTTGATCTCGAAATTGGGCATCGTTCAGATCCAAGTGAAAAGAGTCTGTAGCAGTCACAGCTGGTTTGAAGCAGCATCTTATACTTGAAAGAAGCACTCTGCTATTTCAGCCTAGGCGCAAAGCAGCAACGAGAACCGGCCCCAACGAGCTGAGCTTAAAGCAGTTACAAGCTGTGACTTGGCCCGTAGAAACAGGCAATTCATCTTCACACTTTGTCATGAAGGCTTAGGTCCTGTGCCAAGTTTTGCGCCACCCGTGAAGCCACTGCTGAAGCATGCGCTCATCGCTGTCATTATGCAGCCAACTTGGCAGCCCAGACTCCAAAGAGGCATTGATTTGCCCTCTTATAAATATCGCGTGAACCCAGTCGCCAATCTACGTCAAACCACAACTCGCTCACCACTAACATCCAGAAATTTGCTTCCATAGTCTTGCCTATATAAACACATCTAACACCAGCTCTTGAATATCGCTAGCACCCCAAGTCATGTCGTCGTCTAACCATACCGAGGTGCCCATCGAGGTAACCATGAGTTGCCCATGTTCTAGCCAGTCGAGATGCCGTTTACTACCATGCTCCTGAAACTTACCCACGCTGTAACAGGAATCATACGGCCAGATGTGCTGGCTCACCGTCCCCGTTGTAAACATCGACCGGGCCAAGGCCTTTTATGCTGAGATATTCAACTGGGACATCAGCCCCGAAGCCATCCCCAGCGATCGGCCCGGCGTCAAGGAGCTCCACCACTTCAATCGCGGAAAAACGCTGCAGGGGGCATTTACCGTGATGGAAGACGGATATCACGTCATCAACCAATCGATGGGCTCAACAGATGCCATTTCCGTTCACCCGAGCTTTTACGTGAAGAACTGCAAGGATACACTCGAAGAGGTCGAAAGGCTCGGTGGTCAGAAGCACCTGTACGTTGAATCGCTCCCTGCTTCTTCTTTCTTTCTCTCTATTCTCTTCTTGGAAGAGACAAGGATGAAGACGGAAATAGTACAAGTAAAGCTCGCTGACTATCTTCAAGGCACAAGACGGAGATTGGTGGGGATATGGGCCATTATGCTCGATTTATCGATACTGAGGGCAACTTGATCGGAATCTGGTCCAAAATCTGACTCGGATAAATAAATGACAGCTCCATTGTCTTCAGCTACCTACTAGCACATGGTTCATGCAACTAGTCTGCCGGTGGACTGCTGCTGCTGGTAGTAATTCGACGGAAGAAATATTGCGTGTTTTATGCTTGCTTATGGAAATACATTAATAATGAGAGCATTTTGTTGAAAGATATTCCGGCTCGTTGTGCGTTTCTCAAGCATGGTGTTTGGGCATACAAAGTACATGTAGAATCCAGCTCCGTACACTTTGTAATTACATGCTATGCCGCGGCTCATACTGACTAGGGGCTTACACTACACGGGTGTCTGCTAGGCGAAGATGCTTTTGTTGCTGCTTTGCCGGATTCCGAATATCGTTGAGATGGCCCGGACAAGCAGGGGGCGGGTATGAGAGAGTGGGATCCTCGGTCTGCAGCTTGACGGCCGCCGTATCCCCCCAAGTGCTCAGATTCTCCACGGCCCGATGCCTCCCAAGCTTATCCCACGTTGCATCTATATGTAAAATGTACACATACTGTTAATGGAAAAAACCAAGAGATACCGATGCGAGAAGCCGCGCCGGAGAAGCCTCATACGGCACTGCGGACCGTTGCCGGGCCGTACTACTGGGTACATGTAGTTACCTAGTCTAGAAGCCTATCTACGAGTTGTACATGCGTTCGCTTTAGATTGCTGCTTTTGGTAGGTTGTATCATTGTGTAAGGTAAAGTACCTGGCAGTTACCCGTTTGACATTGGTATTCATCTGTACGATAGAGACTTGAAGGGAACGGTGATCCGACGCCCCAGTTCTATTACCCAACGCTTTGGCTGTAGCTCAACAAGATACATGTAATGAGTCTCAATACATGTAAGAAACATTAGTTACTATATAGACTTGGAAATCGCAGTGGTAGCAGTGATGGCAGTATTAACGGTGGTAACAGTAATAGTAGTAGAAAGGGCAAAAGCAGCAGTAGCTTAGTATGCTATAACCAGAGTACTGGATAATAAAATGAGGTGCTGGATACATGTACATGTAACCCTCCCTACTCAAAACGGTAGGCTTTTCGTAAGTGCCGGGCAAAGAATATCTAACAAGGTTTGAAAGCGGGCGAAGCCTCCGCTGACCAAGCCACGGGTCGAGAGAACCACAATCTTGATATACCATTACATGACAGCTCGTAGCACATGTATTTGGGTCTGAGAAATCCTTATCTTGGAACGCTATGCGTGAGTTCTTGCGATACTGGACTGCCAAGAGCCTGGCTGCCTATTCGTGGAATTTTATTCTAGCTTCATCATATTTTGGAACGCCTCCACGATAACGAGATAGGCGAATGTGCTCATTAATCACATCATGTACGGACTATCCAAGATCATGGTATAAAGTAGTATCAATCGCATATCAAAAGCCGTGCGAAAAAGACCAAAATCGTGTTGTTTAGTAAACTGCCAGCGCTTGTCTCATGTTCGAAAGAAGGAAGTGCAACACTACCTAATCGGTCAAGAATCACTTACCTACACCAGATACTGCTTTCTATGGGAACTCGATACATTACGCCTTTGACATTGTACGCCCGTGCGCAATGGATCTATGATTATTTGTCGACATGTAATTACATGTATATTCCGCGGGGGTCAAGACCATGATAATACGTGTACTCAACCCGGCTTTGATGACTGAGCAGTGAACTCGTCCACGCTGCTGATCTCAAACAAGGAGCTGGACTTAAAAGTACCCGTGGTACCTACCTAGGTATGGAAAGTTACACTCCGGCATTTCTGTCCCCCCACGAAATCTGGAGCCAGTTCGGTCTTATTCTGCTAGCCGGTTGAGAGGGGCAAACGCGAGATGCTCCTACACGCAGCTTGGTGTTTTGAGCCTTTTCCTAGCTCAAAGGATGGAATATATGCTAGAGAACAATGTGTTGCCTGATACTATATGCAGTAGACACGAGGCCAATGTATTCTAGCAGCTGTAGATTCTGATATCCCATGGATTAGTCGTGAATTTGGCTAGTCTACCGATAGACGGGTATCCTGCTGACAGGCACATAGAATCTTACATACATGTACAGAACAAACAGGGGGATCGTATGTAGCAACTGGCAGATTACATATAGCTGAGATGACATTTGCCAAAAAAGAACAGATTAACTCCGCGTCGACGCCGCTAGTGTTGCAAAAATTGCAGTACCTACCGACTAGAGTCTGAAGCACAGCCCTGGCATTGTTTTTTCCACCAGACGTGATAGGAAGGACTTGTATTTTCCTTGATGGAGTTTGCCCGCAAACGGACGGGCAGAAGGATAGGGGATAAGGGATGGCGGCATTCCGCGACAGGTGTTCCATTCGCAGTATAGGAGGCTGTAAGTGAAGTCACATCTATGTTCCGTGGGGACTCGATCCGTGGTAGAGAATTCCTCCGGCTTGGGGTTCCGCGGCGTTCACTAATGGCAATAACGGGCGGTTTTTTTGTTTGAAGCAAAGCTCCTGCTGACAGGAGAGGACATGTACTGTTGCTCATGTATTGGAATTATCAGATCGTGGTACAGTAGCGTTATAGTACTTTGTACTTTTAGCTGCCAGTCCTAGTAGTAGTTGTCGTAGTACCATGATACGCTTCGCATCCTTCGTGCTTCCTACGCCCCGTATCATCTATTCCATGGCTCAATTTGAGCCCCAAGCCAAGGAGCAACGCCCGCTGACATGTACGGAGATGAAGGGAAATCCGGCTGGATCCAGTACCTCCGCAGAGATAGACCTGGAGGTCGATGCAAGTTTAAACAAGTTGACGTCTCATTGGGGGGTAATCTCGTCCAGGTATGCGGGGGGTTCGCGCCGTGATTGGCGGAGAATTGCTGCGTCCCAAACGGCGCCGGCAAATAGGGAGAATTTCTGCTCTCCGGCGCTGCACAGAGGCCTGGCTAGCGCGCTGCTGGGCCTGTCCTTTTGCGGCCTTAGCGAGGTCAGCCTTGCCCGCTGCGAATCGCTTCCGGCCCACTGCCAGCCAGCGCCGTTCTTCAGGGCCCTGCTCCAGCAATAGCTCCAGCGGCTCCCGCGCTGGGGTTGGCGATTTGCGGCGCACCCCACCAACGCTGGGTCCTGGGACGGAGAAGAATGACTGGCGCGCAAAACCCCACGCTGCGCTGGCTTCCATGCCTAGCCAGGCCGTGTACAGGCTCTTTTTCAACATCAACCAAATCCTCCTCGCGGATTCCTGGCGCATCGGGCTCGGCCTCTCGTCTAACGGCACCGGGTGCGTTGTAAAGCTGCGTTGCGAGTCGCTGCGATCCTGTGACCTGGAGCCATCGCACAAAAGTCGCCAAGCAGCGCCAAGAGCCTTGAGCGTTGTTCTGGGCGCATCCCGTCACTTTGTCCTTTTCCATCATCGCGGCTGCACATTTTTGCCTCTATTTAGGGCCTTCAAGTTATTTCCCTGCTCTAGATTTTTGCCTCCCCCCCTTTTTCTTGTCATCAGTCGATCACTCAGGGTCTGGTGGGTTGCAGAAACAGGTTTGCGACTTCATCCTAAGGGCGCAGCCCGTGGATATCTAACCCGGGAACAAGCAAAGTCTGCTGCGGAAGAACAGAAAGAGGGAAAATAAAGAAGGGGGAAAAAAAAAGGAAAAGGGAAAGGGATACTTCGGCTTTTGGGGGAAATTATGATAACCAATCTGCTCTCGCTTCCATCACAAGCCACCGACCATTAAGCCCAGATTCTGGACCGATTAACATCTTACGACTACGACGACACGCACCGATTTGCGTATCCGACACACACGAGCGGCACACCACCGAGCTCGGTCTTGCTCCTGGCCTATAGGAAGGATCAAGATTCACTAACGCCTCCGCTTCATGTAAGTCTTTGGTCCAAGGAGGTGCCAGGGACCTGCTGCTTTTTCCAGGCGAACAAAGGGATCCTCTTTAATCTTGGTTGGCCTCTAACCTGCGTATCCTGCTGCGTATCGCGCAGAGTTGAATCCTCTGGGCTGCCTCTTATTAAGGCCTGCCATCTGCCGTCTCTGGCGACACCGAGCCTGCCCTCGCCACTGACGCTAGAATTTTCCACAACCATTCCCTCTCTTCTCGTGTCACAGCGGTCGGAGACTATCCGGTCCATCGGTTGCCAGTCGGTGCTCCTACTGGCTTATTGGAGCGGCTGGCTGCATGAGCCACTATTTTGTCGATAGACGAACACCGCCCGCATCGCAATCCTTCTGCTGCTTGCGACCTGCCCGAACCGGGGTTTCGTCTCAATTCTTCAGGGGCCGTCTGAGACCTTCATTCGTAGCGCAACTAGACGCCATTCTTCGCGAATAGCTGCTGCCTAGTGAAACTCGGAGTTTAGCCGATCTTGCGGATTCAGTTACCAGGCTCGCTGTGCCTATCATACGGCAGGTGGCCAAGAGTCGAAGCGCTTTCGTCGCCCGCAACACTCACTAAACCACCGCCCCTTGGCCTTTGGCGCTGCGGGATTGCAAGAGAGTGAGTGCGTCTCTTCACACTTGAGCTCGATTGCTAGGGCCAACTATTCCCCGCCTCCCCTGGGCTCGTGTAACGTGGAGTTTGCAGGGCCGCTAAAAGACACACAACATTGAAGCCTTCTGCAGGCGGCGTCTTGCATTTTACCGGGACGGCCGACCGCCTGGAGCTCGAGGGATCTGTCAGTTTTCATCGCTCGGGCCAAGCTAGCCCGGCACAACTCGACAGTACAATGGCCGCTGTCCAGCAACTGCTGGTAAGCCCATCGCCCGCGCCAGCATCTGTGCCTTCACAGCGAATCACCAGCCAAAGCGCAGAGTCTGGCAGCATGGACGTTGATGGCAGCGCCGGCAATGACCCGGTTATGATTGACAGCGGACTGATGAAGGGCGCGCCGCAGACGGGCGATGCTCGGATCGTCGTCATCGTGTATGGGCAGGGGCAGGACAGCGTCGTCTCTGTTTTCGCAGAGGTTCTGGGCAAGCCGGTCAAGCTGAAGCAGCACTTTAAAGATGTTGATCGTGAGGACGAGGGCTTCGTCATTGGCCTGCCGCTTGGAGACGCCAAACACGACGTGGAGGAGAGGGACCAGCAGCTCCTCGTGGCGATTAATGCCCACTGCGTCGACCTCGGCATGCCTCCCGACCTGCATCTCTCCATCCACTGCGACTATGAGTTTCTGTATACCGAAACGCCCTTTTCCAGACGCGACCTCGCACGATTCATCTCATTCACACTGGGCCAGACTAGCCCGCACAGTCAGCTGATGGCCAAATCGAGGACCTTCTTCATCTCCACCACATTTCCAGACGTTCATGCGGCTCTTCCCAACTTGGATATTCTCACCGTTGGGGCTGATGCGGTCGAGATCCGTGTGGATCTTCTGCGCGAGCCCAAGGGCGACGGCGCCTTTTCTGATATCCCGAGCCTGAGCTACGTCGGACAACAGGTCATGCTACTGCGCCAGAGAACAGAGCTTCCCATCATCTTCACCACCAGATGCACAAATGAAAATGGAAAGTTTCCCATGGACAAGCCCGACTTGTACTATGAATACCTCTACCGGGCCGTCCAGTGGGGCGTCGAGTATATCGATGTTGAGTTGTGGCTGCCCGAGCATATTCGAAAGAAGCTATACGAAAAGAGGGGGAACTCTCGCATCATGTCTGCATTCCACGACTTCTCGGGCACGTTCAAGTGGCCGTCGCAATACGCACAGGACGTCTTCGTAAAATCCAAGCAGTATGCCGATATCGTCAAGATGATTGCCATAATCAACGACCACAACGAGAACTTTGAGCTTGAGTACTTCCGCTCAAAGATCAAGGCCGAGTATCCAGACGCGCCACCACTCTCGGCTGTCAATATGGGCGAAATTGGCCAGTTTTCAAGAACACTAAACACGGTATTCTCACCCATCACGCATCCCCTCCTACCCATCATCGCGGCTCCCGGCCAGATGAGCACGGCCGAGATCAACGGCGCCCTGGCACTGCTCGGCCAGCTTCCAAAGAAGTACTTTTACGGCATCAGCAGCGCTGCTGCTCGGAATATTGCCCCGCGAGCGCCCTTTTACGAGAAATGCTTCAACGAGCTGGGGCTACCGCACCAATTTGCTGTGGTAGAGCGCCAGCACAACAACCCGGCAGGTATCCAGGCATGGTGCAACCAGAGAGACTTTGGAGGTGCCTATCTCGACCCGGGATTGTCGTACCAGACCATCATGAGGCACAATCCTTGGTTTGCGACGCTGCAGAACGGCAAAGGGCCAATTCTGTCCGAGGCGGCACAGGGGATCGGTATCATTGACACAATCGTTGTGAAGCCTGCGGCTTCCGGATTGAACGCGACACCGCCTTCTCAATATGACGGCACATTACCGCCGGGAGGGCAGCCGGGCTTGACCTCGAACACCTCATTAGTCTTTGACAATGCCAGTTGGAGAGGCATCCTGTCTACACTAACCCGTGATCTAGCCCCCTCTGCATACTTTGACCGCACAGCAGTAGTGCTAGCATTGACTGCCGACGACGCCGCGCCAGTCTTCTTTGCGCTGAAAGCCCTCAAGATGTCAAAGATATACACCGTTGGCTTCAGGACGCCATCGACATTGGCCCGAAACGCGCCCCCGATCGAACAATTCATCAGCATGGAAAGCCTTCAGCGTGCCCGATCCGTGGCAGACAACCGAGCGCCATTCGTTATCATATCGGCCCTTGGCCGAGGCAAGAGCAACATTGTCGGCATGTTGCTGCGAGTTTTTGGAGAGGCCGATCCCGAAGCGTCATCGAACACGAAAAAGGTCTTTTTGAACCTGGCCGAGGCGGCATCGCACCAGAAGAACGATCCCGTTGCAGTTGCCGAACAGAGCGGGTTTACCGCATACGATGCGGCTGACGTTGCGGCCTTTACGACGGTCGAGAGCCTGCGGCTGCTTGTTGGCCAAAACGTACCATACAGCTTCGTACGACTGGCTAGCGGTAGGAACTTGTTCTGAGAAGCTAAAACGATTTCGATTTTCGAAAGGATCTGGCTGATATTATAATACCCACTGAGAAATGGTCTAGTCCTCGTTTTAATGGGGGCCAGCGCTGAGAAAAGAGAGGGATTTTTTTGTCTACTGAGCTGTTTTCTTGCCTGTAATTTTACTCTTTTTTTTTCGGACAAGGCCGACATGGAAGACGGTTGGTGTCTTCTTTCTTCAATGTTGTTTGGTGTATTTGCATCTGTGGCGTTGGAAGCGAAACCAGTGGCCAGAGCAGAGGGTATGCATTGATACATGGCGTATTGCTGCGGGAGGGGGTGGATGTTTTTTTTTTTTTCTCTCTCTTTTCTTTTTATGCTATCTGTTCTGATTCTTATATATATACATATACCATTGTATACGGGAGACATACACGCTGTATATAATCGATGAAAGGGAAGGAGAGGTTTCGGGTTGATATCGGAGATTGCGGCTTGTATACGCACCTGCAAAGAACGTGGAGGATCTACAGTACAGTCGAGAGCGGAAATATATCCGGCATCATCATCATCGTTATTACGACGGAAGCCTGCCTGAATGTACCCTTGATATACGACACAACACACAAGTCTAGACCAAAATCAACAACGTGGTCCTCGGAAGTGAATCTTGTGCATGGTGGTCCCCCCGGTCGGTGCCGTAAGCGGGCCTGAACGGTCAGCTTACACACCTCGTACATTGCATCGGGGCGATGGGCAAGAACTTTAGGGCAGTAGGGATTTTGGGAGGGGCAAAAAAGGGCGAATAGCGAGAAGAGGGAACGGATGCGGCCGGACGAATGAGTAGGTTGCTTTGTGCTACGGCGAAAGAGGGAGCTGCTGACCAAAAACTTCCGATTACAGATATTTATTGCCTTTTTGTTGAGGGGGAGACTGAATAATGAAAGATTTGCTTGCCTTGGATGGACCTGAGAAGTGGTTTTTGCCCCTCGACTGTTGCTTCTGGGATTACTACCTATCGCTCGTTCGCTTATATCCTTGCGAGCTATGATGCAGACGACGCAGACTTCTACCTGGAGTAGGTAAAGTGACCGTGCTCGTATTCACGAACTGCTAGGGACAGTGCCTGCTCTGTACAAGTACTTATAGTACCTGCTGTACCTGGTAGCATCAGGAATCGAGATAGGGTTGGCTTTGGATAACAGCTTAAAGAGGAAATGTTCCGAGGTCCCATTGCCGACGGTTGGACGAAACGGCATGGCGCCAAAGAGCTCATCAATTAGCATCAGATCTGCATGCGCTTTGGAATAAGCGCTGACTGAAGCGAGCTCCGCATGACTCTTGTTTTCTTCTCTTGCGGCTAGGTACTCTCTTTTGTCCAATACCGTCTCTGGATTGCCTCATGCTCATGCACTCGCTTGCGCTTCTTTTCTGCTTCATTCTATAAATCGTGCTTACAAGTGCAAAGGGCTTCACACTCCCTAGTACCCCAAGTATAGCTTGATGTTTGGAAGCGCGTTTCGCAAGCTGGGGAGTTAGTTTTGGTAGCTGACAAGGGGAGGGGGGCGGCGGACACTCCCCGTTTCCTTGAATCAGCAAGCATGGAAGCATGCATTATCACTATGCCGAGTGTAACGGCCCTGTTGGGCTATGCGATTTGCCAACCGAGCTTGTACCTATTCTTACCGCTACAATACTATCTTGGCAGCATTAAGCGCGCGGTGGGGAGAGTTGGGTATTTGTCATGTCTTGTACATAGTATATGCTGAGATTGTTGGTTAATTGTGAAGACGAGTTGAAAGTGGAATTCAACTAGGCTATGAAGCTGCATGGCGTCTTTTTGATATTAATTCCTGCTATTCATGGCAGTCGAATCTCTTCCGTGATGATGCTCCTATTAACCTTGGAAATTCGACTCGTCTTCCTCTTTTTTGCGAATTTTCATATTGGCAAGTATTACTGTTGCTCCGGGCACATCGAATCCTCTACAGATGCGAGTCATTTGCAGCGGCATCTGTCCGTTTTTTTTTTTTTTTCCTTTCTCCCTGTTGTCATCTTTTTATTTTTGGGTATCCAATGGGGCCAGTGGTGAGATATACGATGCTGCTATGAACCAGCTAGGAAGGAGCTTGATTTCCCCGAGTTAGCTCTTCAGCTCGGCGGCGGCCTAGCCGAGTCCCTGAACAAAAAAACAAAAAAAAAGTCCAGGTTTTTGGCCCGACACGCCACTATTTTGAACAAACCTTGCAATCTATTCAATCATATACGATATGCCCCTCGATCTTGAAGAGGGAAGGGGCGGACGGCTAGTATAGTATATGGCTTCTGGAATTATTTCCGCGCGAGATAACAGATGAGCTGGTTTCAAACTTGGGAAAAAAAAGAAAACAATTCATAAAGTGGAGGCATCTCGTTTAAACAAAGAACTTGTTTTCCATTTGCTGGTTTCTGTCTGTTTTAGGAATTTGTAAAGGAGGCAACCGGAAGAGAGGAAGCGGACAGACTTGTTTGCTTTCCTGCCCCGATGTACCTAAACCAACCCCTGTGTCGTGCACGGCCGAGGCCTGTTTCGATCGATCAGATTCAGTGCGTGCCAGCCTAGATGTTTTGGCTGACTCAGTTTTGAGGGATCCGAGCTTAGTTTTGCGGGAGGCGTTTCTTTTGTTCCGAGTTCTGAGTGTTGTCTTCTTTTTTTTTTTAACTCCTTTATTTATTTTTAACTGGTCCTGTAATATGGCAGGCCCAGTATCAGTTAACGTTGTGGCAGATAGATAGTATATGGACCAGCGGCTCTAGTCGGGTTTATTCCAACGTGGTTCCAGACAAGGCCAGGCGACCCCTGTTAAACGAACAAAAAAGAAAAAAAAGAGGAACATTAAGAAATAAAGAGGAGCTTTTTACAAAGTTAGCCCTCTTTGCTGGGATGGGAAACCCTCTTCGCTGGGCTAAGATGGAGTAACTTTTGCTGCAGGGCATGGCATGCCCAGTCGATGAAGGCGGCACGAACCCCAGCCACCCCCACAAGATACCACCCAGTGGGAAATGGGCGTGTCAAATAGCACGGCTGGGGGTACTGTAGGTAGTACGGAGTCGTTATACTAGTTAGTTGCCTGTATCAAAGAGGGTGAGTAAGCGAGAGGCGCGGGATGAGCGAAGGCCTAGCCCAAGATGCAATGCGGCTGATGGGCATCACATCACACTCGAAAATCAAGGAATCGGAATCCCGACGTCGCGGATTCGTTGGAGAGACAGAAAACGACAGCAAAGTGCGAGAGGCGGGCTGGATTTCTGCTCGGCAGTTGGACGGGGCTGTCATCAAAAAGGAGAAGAGCCCTGCGCGTGCCTGGGGCCAAGTTTGAGCCGGTGCGACTGCAGCGTAGCACTAGCATGCATGGAGAAGGCAGACCCCGGTTCGTTTGGGTGAGATGAGACCGCCAGCGGGCTTGATGCGGCAATACGCAGCTGTGCAGGCGTGCGGTGCGAAGAAAAGACCGGCCTCATTGTTTGTCCATACTGGGTTCGAAGTATGTGTATGCTGCCAGTCTAGTCTGCTGTACCTGTATCCCGCTTTGGCAGGTTGGCAGGGTACATGTAGCCTCGAGATATCGACGGTATGCCCGGTGTGATTGGGCAAGGTAATAATGTTAAGTAGGTGCATGTGCACATACTCGAGCCGGGTTTGACGATAGGGCTGAAGACTATCGCATTGCATCGCCTGTTGGATGCAACACGGCTTATGCCAGGCTTCAGTTCGTTCGGCGAGGGCCCGAGAAGAACCCGTTGCTAATTGGCCCCTTGCTCGTCTTCCACAACGCATCAAATCGTCACATCATGTCATGTCGGGCCTTTGCTTGCCTCACGAGACCCGACAACGCGGGATGGTGCGCCGCTCTCACTGCATGAAGAGACTGGATAGAACGGCCACGATGTCACGCTTTGCTTGGAACGTCGCCCGCAGCAGCACACGAGAGGAGCCTTTTGCGAGGGCGGTGCCAGTGCTAACGCCGAAATACCTTTGGCCAAACGCCGTCCTTGGTTTCTGATTCACATGCTTGCTGGGCGTCAAACAGCCACTGGCTGCCTGTCATCTGCAGAGCCTGACGACAAGTCCTATTCCGATGCGTATCTATTCCGCGCAATGTCTGGCAGTCTCTGACAACTGCATGGACCAAAATAGACAACTACTATTTCTCTCATGCCACCACTTGGGCAAGGGTTTCGGAACAAGTGGGGATGGCGAGTCACCGTGCAGAACCGGCTTTCAATGTCTGGTGTGTAAGTTGGCAGTACTACTTACTTGTAGTCTCCAGGGAGCTCAGACTGGCGGAGCACCGCTCTGTAAGGCCGGCCGGCGGACAGGGCAAGGAATAGGCAAGGCAAGGCACGGCAAGGTACATGTAATCCACGATGTGCTCCGGAATGGGGGTGGCTGCCCACTAGACGCTGCTTAGCCTCGACGGCCATCCCAGGCTGGTCCCTTTGCTCTGAAGCTACTTGTTCATAGGGCGCCAGCACTGGAAGCATGGGCGGGTTGCCGAGAGGCGTCGGTAACAGCCACACCCGCAGCTGTTTGTGGTGGGTGCCCGCTGGGGAAAGGACGCCGAGCAAGGGACCGGATTCATTGATGGAGTTCTCGACACCTGCAGCCCTTTTGCTTCCCAAAGAGAGGCCGAGCCTGGAACTGCACGCAGCCTATTCTGCACTGCACTGCACCGTTTAAGATTGATCCCAGACTCCGAGTAGCGATCGTCGCCGAGCTATATCTGCGGCGTCGTGTCTTCCAATTCCTGCATCCCGACTTTGACGACTGGCAGTGGGTCTGGGGTTGAGTGCGAGTCCCGTCTCGAGACCAGACAAAACCGCCGTCCGTCCAATCTTGCAGCAGCAGCATCTGGCCTCTTCAATATTGCCATTACTGTACGCGACCGCCCAGGCACGACGAAACGTGGTCATGAACGAGTCGCAGATCCGGCCAGTGACATCCTCGTAGCCCGCAAACCGCTAGGGCTCCCAAGGCGGAAACCACTTGTCCCGTCGCATCTTTCCGCCAAACGTCTCCTGTCCCTCTTCCCGCCGCCAATCCTCGTCCGCCCGCAACCTCAGCCTCACGGCCTCACGTCGCCCGTCTGGACCCTTTTTGCTGCATTTTCTCCGTCAACCAGTCTTGTCCGCCCGTGACTCTGTTCCCCGGCCGGAGACATCGCCAACCGCCGCGCCGGCCTCGCACCGCAGCCTCGGCCCGCGCGTTCTGCAGTTGCAGCTCCAACCGCAATGAACGCTCCGCATCGCCCTGCGGCCCAGCCCGTCGCTCTTCCGCCGCAGCGGCCTCAGGTTGGCATTGAGCGCCTGCCTGCGCGCAACGTCAATTCGGAGCCTCGCGAGTCGATGAATTGCAAGTCGTGCCGGAAGCGAAAGGTGAGTCTGCCTGGCATTGCAGCGCTTCCCCTCCTGCTCCCCTATTTGATATCCACCGTGATTATAAAATACTGTGCGCAAAGCCTCTTTTCTGACACGGCGTGTATCTAACCTTCAATTTATGCATTAGATCAAGTGTAATCGTCTTCGCCCATCTTGCGAAGCGTGTCTGGTGTTTCAATGCCCGTGTGTATACGGTAAGTTCTGCTTCCGCCTCCTTATGGTGGGGTGGAGGGGGGAGAAATGGGGGGATTCCTTCCGAGAGCCACGAACGAGCTCTTGGAGACATCCGCGTCGCGGCAACCCGGTTTTTAAACTTTGGTACAAGTACTCATGCCAATTGGTCCCTTATAGATGCCGTGCCCAAGAAGCGAGGGCCAAAGACTGATGTCTTGGAGGCTCTCCTGAAGAGAGTGGACGGGTTGGAAGCCAAGCTGAAGGAGAAGAACGCCGAGAGCGAACAACCATCTTCGTCAGAATCGACGACGCAAGAGCCCCAAGCAGCGGAATCAGCGACAAAGAGGCAGCCAGCCGAGCGAGATGCTGCAGAACCTGTTGCTAAGCGACGGGCGACCGAGGACAAGACGACGACGACAACGACTCCTAATGTCACAGAGCTACCGCTTTTTTCTCCACAGACATCGACGACTGGGTGGGTTGCGCCTTGCCTTTATATAGTATTGGCATCTGCTTTAGTGAATACTAATAGAATACTAATCACGACAATAGAGACCCCGCCACACCCTCCGTACAGACAGATGCTCTTCTTGACACCTATTTCAACCGCTTCCACAACAAGCCTTTCCACATCGTGGATGAAACGCTCATCCGGAAACGCATCCAGCTCAATCAGCTCCCGCCCTTTCTGTTCAACGCCATTGCTGCCGTTGCCGCTAGGTATGCCTTTGTCATCACACTCAACGCATCTTCAGCCGTTTTCTAGGCTTCATACTCGTTACTGTGACCAGCTTTCTTACCTCTTATATAGGCATACGCCACATCCCAATGGGTTTCGGGCAGCCGTCAAACTGGGCGATGACTACGCCTCTCGCGCTAGGAGCGCCATCGACATTGATGAGCCTTCCATTGACAATCTCCAAGCAATTGTCTTGTTGGCGATTGCATATACCGCCTCTGGAAAGGGGAGGAAGGCCTTTATGCTAATCAGTACGTACATATCCCCCCCTGCCAGTTAGGCTTCCATAACACATCAAAAAGAATGGCACATCTAACCTTGAATACAGCCAATGCTATTGGCATGATCATGGCGCTCGAGCTACATCGGGAGATGGACCCGCAGGCACAAATTACACCCTTGGAGCGAGAAACTCGAAGGCAGCTCTTCTGGTCATGCTACCTATTAGACCGCTTCTCAGCCTCTGGTTCTAAGCGTCCATCGCTCATCGGCGACGACTGTATTGCTCTCAGACTTCCCTCATGGTCTCCAGTGGTCTCTGGAATGCCCGTGGACGGCGATTTCTTCCTTTGCGGATCCAACCTGCAGTATTTCCAGGGCAGCGGCAAAAAGTCCCAGGGCACTTCGGGCATGCTCATTGACATAACGCGCATCCTAGGTGTAACGAATCGATACCTTGCAGCCGGAGGTGTCAAGGGCGACTCACATTTCCCTTGGCACTCGCTGTCAAATCTATCCAAGATCAGACAAGACTTGGACGTTTGGGCGTCGGGCACAGATGGCGTTTTCGCCACGACAGATGTTCTGTTTGGTCAACCCGACTCAACCGTACTCGTCTTGTGCAAACTAATCTACCATCTCATTCACTGCTTGATCTACAGACCTTTCCTCCCCATCAGCCTCGCCGAGTTAGCCGGAAACGGACAGCACCAGTCATGGCAGATTGAGGCCACCAACATGTGCTTCTTCCACGCAAATGCCATTACGGAGCTGGCAGAAATGGGTAGGCAGATGCAGACCATTGAGTGGCCGTCATTCGTCGGCTACTGCATCTGCACCGCCGGTACCGTTCATATCCACGGCGCACATTACGGCAAGCAAGGCACCAGCGGCGAGATGAGCGCCTTCTCCGCCTCCTCAGATTTCTTATCACGCGAGATGCAGTTCCTGAGCGACCTGCGGTTTACGTGGGCCATTGTTCAGCACCAGCGAGATATGCTGCGACGGCTGTACGAGGCTCATCGAGAGCTGGTCAAGACGCTTACCGCAAGCGCAATGCGATATACCCCCGGCTTCCAGCTCGAAGACTTTTTCGACAGATATTCCAACATTGGAGGGCCCGGCGGACCAACTTTCCATTTCGACACGGCCAATCTTAGTTTGGCGGATGAGCTGGTTGACTACTCCAATGAACCGACTCCCTTGTCTGACGTGCAATCTCCGTGGCCCACGGAAAACAGGCCGAGCCATAAACGCAAGAATACGCCGCAACCTTCCCTCCAGGGCATTCCTCTACCCCTCACTCCTACCATGTCGGTGACGAGCTATCCCCGCCAAACTATGCCAATGCAGTCAGGGTTGATGGCCGCTCCGTCAAATCCTGCAGTTGCTGCCATGGCCGAGATGATGCCCACGCACCTGGATCCTCAACAGCAACAACAACATCACATGAGCGCCATGCGCAGCTCTGTCGACTCTCATCCAGCCATGGGCGGCTTTGGCCTTTCACATCCTGCTCATCCGGGCCCAGGAGGCATGGCTGCCATGGGCGGCATGGCATTTAGTCCCACATTCACTTACAACCTCGCATCTTCCCAGAACCCATCCAACATTCCTCAGCAGCCAGCCATCAACGATACCAGCGGCGGATTCGACATCATGTTTGGAACAATACCTGCCAGTGCCTATGGCAGTCCTGCGACATGGCAAGCGGGAGTTGGCCAGGCCACTCCGGGCGCGACGGCTCCTAGCCCGAGCAATAAGAGCCACACGGGCAGCACTGGCACGACGGGCGACGAGAAGGATCCCTTTATGAGCTTGTTGGAACAACTTGCCAATGACGAGCAGAGGCAGAACAGTGGGCTGAAGAGCGAGCTCGATTTCTTCTTGTCGGGCACAGCCGGTTCCTCATAACTTGATGGCCGAAAATAAGGGACTACTTTCCACATGTTTTATCCTTGATCTTTGATCATGTCCTTTCTGATTTCTCCTCTCGGATTTGATTTCCACGATGTGATGATATTGAGGCACATGTACATGAATAGCAAGCTCTCTCTCTGCTGGGTAAAAGGGGCAAGAATAATACTTACCAGCCGCAAAGAGGATACGTTGACAAGTTTTATAAGAAAGGGATTCTTCACACCGATTCCAATGAAACATTTGTACAAAAAAAATGATGTTACGTGGGCTGCTGTATGTATTTATATGATGATTGGGGAGCAGGAAGGAGTTGATGTATATATATGACGAGGGTTAGGGGTTTGCATAGCACGCATGTTGAACGGCTTGAAGACATTAATGCCATGCAGTGATTGGCCAGTTAGTTACTTAATGTTAAAAGAAATAATGATATAACCCTGTACAAAAACTTGTGTGATCTATATGCAGGTAGTACGCGCGTATAACATGCATGCTTAAATCACTCGAATAAAAATAACATCATAAGCAGCACATCATGTCGATATAACTCACATCATGCCTCGTGCTCATGCTCATGCTCATGTTGCAACTTTCCAGCTCCCTCCTCTCTAGGAGACGTCCATCCAGCCGCAGCCTGCACCGCAACAACAAACACTCCCAACACCGCGGCAGCTCGCCACACGCCCCTGATGGCATCTGCGTATCCCTCCACGGCAATCTGTCTCTCCTGCGGCTCCAGCCTCAACAGCTCGCCGCCGTGCCAGACAAGTTCCGGAGACTCGAGCAGTCTATCCACGAGCCGCCTCCTCGCCGGGCCAAGCTCAGCCGTCCCGTCGAGGGCGAGAAACCCCGCGACGAGATCGGACCGCAGGATGCGGTAGAAGATGCCTCCGCCGAGGGACGTGCCGAAACTGGCGCCGAAGCCGCGAAAGGTGGCGAAAAGGCTGGTGGTGACGTACTCTGTGTTTGCGTGGCTTAGATGCAGGATGTGCACGAGCGCGTAGTTGATGACGATGCCCGTCACGAAGCCGCTGAAGCAGACGGTGGCGACAAAGACGTACGACGGCGTATATGGGCGCGACAGCTCGGCCAGCGCGTAAAACGTCACGTCGAGGCACAAGATGGACACGAGCAGCGAGGCGTAGTAGGACCCCGCGCGCCGAATGTGCAGCCAGCCGATGAGCAGGCCGCCGAGGGAGAGCGCGACGTTGCTGGCGATGAGGACGGAGCCCGCGGTGGCGGCGGAGCTGCCGCGCACGGCGAGCATGAAGATTGGCGTGTAGAAGATGATGCTCATGCGGCCGGTGAGGAGGCCCAGCTGGGAGAGGCAGGAGAGGAGGATGCCGCGCGAGGAGAGGACGGAGAGGGGGATGATGGGGTGGGACGTGAGGGTGAATTCGACAAGGATGAAGGCGAGGAGGGAGAGCAGGGAGAGGAGGAGGGGGGTGAGGTGGATGTCGCCTGCGAGGGAGGAGAGGAAGAGGACGATGGTGGTGATCTAGATGGTGTTTTAGCATTGTATCTTCGGGAAAGGGGGGCAACTTACGAGGAGGACTGCGCCGAGGTAGTCTATGTTGGCGAGCTTCTGTCTTATGGAGATGGGTTTCTGTCCATTCTGTTCAGAGGCAGAGGACATGGACGTTGGCAAGCTGAGATAGAGTCCCAAGCCGGCCAGGAGGAGCATCACAGATTGCAGCCAGAAGAGCGGTCTCTGTCAGTCATGAAATTAGCAAAATTTGCATCTCACGAACAAAATCGAAGACCAACGAAAAAAAAAAAAAAACTCACCCATCCAATCACCGGCTGCAACACGCCATAAACCGCCGCCCCCACCGAAACGCCCATCGTATACGCCGTGTTCACAACCCCAATCATGACGCCCCTCCTCCTCTTGCCCGCCAGCTCAATCACAAACACCACCGACATGACGACGACGCCCGCGCCGCCGCAGCCCATGACGACCCTGCCCGCCATGAAAGCGGCAAAGGAATGCGCGCGAGAAGCCAGCAGGCTGCCGAGCGAGAAGAGCACCGCGGTGGGCAGGACGATGGCGCGCGGGGAGAAGGTGGTGGCGAGGCTGCCGGCGAGGGGCGTCAGGGAGGAGCTGGCGATGAGGTAGCTGGTGGTGAACCACATTGTCTGGGAGGGGGAGTGGAGGTCTGCGGCGAGGGAGCCTTGGATCATGGCGAGGCCGGACATGTTTGTTGCTGATGGCTGTGTCAGTGATGATGATGATTATATATATAGTGGGTTAGATACTCACTGTGGAAGAAGATGAGCACAAAGAGGCTCATGGCAATGGACATGCTTCGAGCAAAGCTGATGGTGTGATTTGGCCCGTCCTCTGGGGATCCATCCTGTGTTGCTGTCGCGGCTTGCGGCTGCGATGATGGTGATGCTGCGTAGCCGTTGATGGCGGTGATGTCTGATATGCCGGATAGCAGAGCCGTTTCCTCCGATGGGTTGGCGGCCGTGACGCCGTGGGAGTTGGCCATGATACGAGGGCTCTGTATCTATGTCTTGCTTCTCAACAGATGTCTTGAGGGAAATTCTTGGCTGCTTGTGAGATGAGTTGTCGCGATGGTGTTTTGTGTTTTTTTCACACGATGGTGTGCTCACTGGGGGAGTTACATAATGCGGGGGTCTGTGCCGATTGAGACAAAGGCCATTCTGGACTCGACGACTGGCTATTCATCTACAATTGATCGTGAGCAAAATATCATTTATTTAATATTCATCTTATTATAAGCAGATTTTAAACTATGAAAATTCTAGGTGTGTAGGTTGGACCAACCAGGTTAACGCAGCATACATGAGAATCCAACAGGGCTGGTTTACGGCCATGTAATAGCGCCATGACCAAGCCTCGTTTTTTCCTTCTACCTCATCAAAATACAATTAAAAGACAATATATTCACCACAAATACAAATAAAATCCATATCCTCAAAATTTATACTAACCAAGCCTCTCCTTAAAAACTTTTCCCCTTTCCATCCCGAGATACATGTGAGAGGCATCTTAGTGTCACAATCATCCACTCAGCTGCTACTACTCCAAATCGAAGGAGTGCAAAGTGTCCGCTTTCTTCAACGGGTACCTTGCAGATTTAGATGCCACTTAGACTAGCCTAAATATTATGTAGTTTTAAGTAGTATATTTGGCCTTTTTTAAAATATATGGGAGATGATTCTCAATCATTGTAGCTGCAACGTTCTCATTCTTCTTGCAAGAACGGCAACGAGTATTCATGAATCGACACTGCAAGTGCTGCTTTATTCACCGAACCTACACAGAGTGGCGTGATAATGCTGAATATGGAAAACTACAGTTACCCAAAACAGTTCTTTTAATTTTTGTACGTCATTTTAAATTATCAGTATTGAACATGACTCAGTTACGGCGTAAACGAACAAAGAGTCTGATTTCCCACCAGCTTCGTAGAGGTTACTACAGTATACACCAAACACAAAACTATACTGAATCAATCCAAGCACAACTGCACAGGGAGCAATAGTCGGCGCCATCTTTAATGCTCCAATCTCCTAGACACAGGCCATGCGGAATCCAAACGCCCCGTGAAAGAAGGAGAGCTTCCGTGGCGTTTTTTAGAGGCCGTCACCACGTGTTTTGCGCATTCCCCTGACCAAGGGGTACTTGCGATTTAAACCAGATTATGTACGTCTGCCGGTAGCGTCCCAAAAGTGAGCACAAGTCCGTCTTCATCAATTCGCCTATTTATCTACATCAGGTGCCAGGGCAATGTCTTTGCAGCATAGCGGGCGATGCTAGCGTGAGAGTCGCAAGCCACAATGAATCCCGTAAGCAGTAGTTGTACGAGGCAGAATACATGTGATGCAACGGTGTTGAAGCAGCCCAGGGGAGTTCTTTGAAGAAGAAAGAACATGAAATAATTTGGGTGAAAGAAATCGAGATTTGATGAGATCGCATCTCTAGGATATCACGATTCCAGCTGCAAGGTTGTATTCGTCAACGTAAACTACTGCATAATAGTTTACACAAAACAGCACATACGTACATTGTATATACTGATTCATGTGTGTCGCTGAGGCATACTTGTTGTCGCTAGGCATACTTGTACAGCAAGACCCTTTGGATACCAGTGAAAAGCTCGGCACTTTGCCTTGGCAGCTCTACCCAATATGGAGAGTCGTATTGGCAGCACATCCTTGGACCAAACATACTTGTACATAGCACCGCTACCTTCTTCAGCTCATCTCACAACTGGCGTGGTCACCGACCAGTAATATTTTAGTCCCAATGCCTGCCTCAGGAGAAACATCATTTGCGCTTCGTGCTGCTGCTAACGGCAGGAGAGTCCACTTTGGGCGCCGATCCGACATTGACGGTCTTGTTTGGGGAGGCTAATAATATCACCATGGCTAGTCTAATACGGACAGGCCCTGAAATCCCAGTGCGGCAGATGAGATGCGCCGCAGGATCGACAGAGTTCACGACAGCTGGCCGCTCAGCTCAATCAACAGCAACACGAGGATTCCGGTGACGATGTGCGCTGCTGAAGATATGGAGCAAGCTAATGGCTAGGCGCTCTGTAGTTTGCGGGGAAATAGAATTGCGGAAGAGAATAGTGGAGCTCAACTCCGAGTCAAGTATTTGCCTTTTTGGTCCAGCTTCGTGAATGTAGTGGACATCAATATCATACTCGAAGACGTACAACTAGCACGCACCAGGAATGCTCATATCCCCTAAAATGCATGTCTCAGAGTGATGTGAGCCGCATCATGGGCTGTGGATTGAGGCCTGACCGCATACAGCAGCGGCGGGCAATGCCAAATGCAAGTTTGTGCGTGAAGATTCTTGGCAAACAATGGCTGGCTCCTATTCGCAACCGGTTGGCCTTTGTCCTATTAGCCATCGCAGCTCTTACTGGACCGGCTTTATTCCCGATTGCACGAACAAGTATGGCGCTCATGTACCGGTACCTGCGAGAGCCACATTCGAAAGGGGGCTGTTACGAGAGCATGGTTCAGCACCCTAAAGACATCGGCGCGCGCCTCGTACGTAGTAGCGCATAAAGATGGGCGAACCGCCTGACGCTGGGATACCTTTGAGGCCCCGTTGACAACGATTCCGGACGGAGATTTACCCGGAAACCTGGAATTGGCCGCAATGACATCTCCAGGTCCTCCAAGTGATCCAAGCTCTGATCCCGTCCCAGATCAAGAAGGGCCAACGTCTTCATATCCCCCGGGGAGGTATACTGATGGAAATGAATGATGGGCAATGCGAGAAAAAGGGAGGCCATGGCCATTGGTTACAAAGCACTCTCCATAGGTCGGCGCAACCAGAGGTGTGTGCCCCCATGTCCAGGCAGCCATATTCCTTATGGTTGCTCTCATCGTCTGCCCGCCGTTCTGCGCGCTGGTGGCGCTCTGGTGGTGGTCAGGGTCCAGCTGAAGCCCACGATGATTTGCTGCGACTGCTGAATGTTGAACCAGGCTGTAGCCGTTGTAACCGTAACAGTAGTAGCAGCGGCAGCAGCGGTAATATGAGTGCTTGTATAGTAGCAACAGCTGTGAGTCGCAGTGCATACGAGAGAGCATTACCAAGTCTCAGGTAGAAACACCCCAGCAGCTATTGTGATGATGGATCTGTGTGTCACCATGTGCAACGATCTATATCGTCTCGCTTTAGGGCCTCTCCTTGGGCTCTCCTCTGCCGCGCCTTTTGCCAGCCGAATATACTGCTTCTGGGGGTAATATCGGCAGCCAAGATCCGATGTTTGTCAGACCCAAAGCGGCGGACCGGACAGGCCACCGAGTTGAAACATGAGAGCAGCTGGCCGACTTGCAACATATACATGTGCATAAGTAGGATGAGTCCTCTGGGAGCAGAGGTCTCTTGGCAAAGGAGTATCTGGCTGTCGGCTACAAGGGTCTCAAACACGCCCAATCTGCACGGGCCGTCATCCCATTACTCGGCCAAGCATAGTGCTACAGTATGCCATCTGGTCGAGGCTGGCGCCACGAATAGCAGCACTGCATACCATCTTGATGCCCTGGCAACCCTGACATCGACGCCTGGATCTCGCCCGACCGGCGGCTGCACGGCGCTGCGCTTTTGGTAAGCGAACAAGGGCCACGATTGGTCCCAAGACGGCGGGATTGGGAAGGGGTCTGCGGAACTGCTAGTATGAGAATGGGCCAGCGCCAGAATCCTCCGTTTCCCGTAATTTGTCTGCGAAATGCTCCCGGCCGTCAAGAAGTTGTCCGACGTTGTCTTTAGCCCGTCATAATTCGAATTAATTACGCATCCCGAGCGTCTCCTCCATCTGGGGTCCCAACGCCATCGGCCACTTTCCAGCACTTGGCCTACAGCAGCGGGGCTCGGCAGCTTCAGCCGCGGGCTTTGTGGAGGAGGCTAGCCATTTGGTCTGATTTGGTTCGCTGCTGCGCTGAAGAATGAGGGTACGGTTGCTGCATTGCACCATCACACTGTATGGAAACAAAAACGAAAAAAGTGAGAAGAGAAGTGGGTGGAGGCAGAAAGAAGCGGCAGCGCCTTGACCGTTTTTTGGGCTGCAGCATCTGCAGAGGCAGGCGGTAACCACGTCTCGTCTGCGCTTACCGATTGTTCGCAGATGGGGCAACGAGGCACATGTACTCGTACCTTTTCTGTACAAGCAGCGCTCTTCTCTCTTCGCTACACTCACTTGTCTCTTTTCTTGCCGCCTTCACACGCACACACGCCATTTGCATATCATCGTGCATACGCATTGTTCGTACAAGGCAATCAATCTATGCACCCGAGGCCACCCCAAGCAAGGAGAAAGGAGATGCTCCCAAAACGAGTTGCCGTCGGTCCGGCGTTGCGCCACCACGACATAGGCTCGCGTTTATAGGATGGACGCAAAGACCTTTTGGCTAGGCGGTGATTTAGTTTTCAATTTCTTACGAGCTACCAGGGACTACCAGGAACCACCATGCCCTAATTAAATACACGTACAAGGACTTGTATATGGACTGATTTATCATTGATCGATATACCCAGCAAGGTAGGAGACCCCTAAACTTTATAAGATACAAGCAATATCGCCAAAATGCAGCCCTCCCGCAGCTGGCTCTCCAGTGGAACGTTTGGCAGGGCAGGGCAGGGCCATGCTTCAAATCTTCCGTCGGGCAAGGCTTCCTACACGGCATGCTAGGCATCCATGTTTAGAGTCGATGGCGGTAACACTTTGCGTGTAGATCCCTGGATCAGCCATCGAAAAAGCACGCAGTCTCGTGTATGTACATGTACCGGCAAAGAGTGGACATGCAGCGCTTTTATGCGCAGAAACAACTCTCTCAC